CCCCTTCAACACAGGCACGGTGTAACAACCACTTCAGCACACAAGAACTAACTGGCTGCTTGTTCAGCGCCACGGCGACACGGCTGCTTCTTCAGCGCCGTATGGGCTTTATAACATGCAACTACATGCGATGAGGCCGCAACGCAATGCGACCCAGTCAGCAGAGAGCAAGAAGAGACGCCTGGGCAGCAATTATGTCGTAAGGTGGGCTCTGCAGTTAGCATGCGCCCACATCAGCAAGTGCTCTGTATGTTCCGTGAGATTCACATGTGAAGATCGGCTCTTTTCACCCGGTGCCGCATGCTTCAGCTCCAGCAGCACAAACGTGGCCACTAAGACTCGGGTTCTCGGGTTTGTCTTCTCCTACATCTTCCTTCTTATCTAGTCTCCTGTCTAGTGCGGGAATGTTCTGCTGCTATTGCCGCCGTTCCCCCCGCATGGAGCTTTGCATTGACATCTCGAAATGCTATATAATTAAGCCACCTCGGCTAATCCGCGGCAAACCCGAAAGCCCAAGCCCCATGGCTGTTGCAGCCACTGTCTGTGGCTGATGCCGGTGCTGTTGCTGGTGGCGTGGCTGCTGCCGCTGCTGTTGCTGGTGCTGTGGCTGGTGCCGGTGCTGTTGCTGGTGCTGTGGCTGGTGCTGTTGCTGCTGCTGTTGCTGGTGCTGTTGCTGTTGGTGCTGTGTGCTACACCCCTCGTGCGACAGCGACAGTCAGGATCCTCATATTGGCGTACTGGGCTCCCTGAAAATTAAACTGTCCTGCAGTCACCTGCGTTTGCCGCTGGCACTACTACCCCCAACTCCGGCATAGCCGCCGGAGCCTCCCTCACGGCCGCCACCGCCGCCTCTCTTGCGGCCGATCATCTGCACCTGCCAGAATGCTCCAGGGTGGTGCCGCGTAACCAGCTGTAGTTAACCGCGCCTCCAAGGCGATGTTTTTCGCCTGCTCGCTGAGCAATTCGGCCCGCGCTTCCTTTCTGTCCTGGCGCTCAAGGCTGTCAGAACTTTCACAAGAGGCTGGCAAAGGGCAGTCCTTGCGAGCCGCCTCCTGCTCGTCCTGCAAGCGCCCGGCCAAAATCCGCCGCTGCGACTGCGACTCCTGCCAGCGTCACTCAGAAAGCTTAATGGAACTAAATGTCCTGTCCGTCCTCGAGGTCGTCATTCAAGGACTTCCGCACCCCGAAGTGCCATGCATCGCGGTGCTTCACAGCTGCCGTCCATTCCTGGTCGCGGTGCTGCAGCTGCAGCTGCGTCTTCTCCTGGGAACGGGCCGTCTGTCTACTGCGATCTCGCAAATGCAGTCAGCTTCATCGGGCCTGCTGTTTCAGCAACTCGCGGCTCTTCTCCTCCTGACAACAGGGCAGTCTGTCTGGCGCCATCTTGGCAATGCAAAATTCGTCGCGCCTCCATCTTCTTGAGAGTCGCCTTGTGCTGCTCCTGAGAAAAGGGCATGCTGTCTGGCGTTACCTTGGCAGTGCGCACAATTCATCCGGCCTCGCGCTTCATGTTCTCGACTCTCTCATTGTGGAGCTGCACCGAGCTCCGCTTCGCCTCACGGCCGGCTGTTCCAGCCGCTTCGTCTGCCTGTGATGTGTGGCTCTTGCGGCAGAACCCCTCCGCAGCCATGTGAGCGTGCCTCGCCTGCTCGGCTCGCATCTCCGCGCGGCCCCAGGCTTCCTCATGGGTTGGTTTGGTCTGAAACCTTCCCTCAGGCTGCTTACTCAGCGCCTGCACATCAAGCCTGGGTTCTATGTTATATAGGCTGCTTGTTCAGCGCCTTTTGTGGGCTGCTTGCTCAGCGCCCTTCCCCTCTTCTAACAACCGGCACCCCGTCCTGCCACGCTTCTTCAGCCTCTTGCGCGCGATCCGCTGCGCGATCTGCGAGGCGTAGTCGCTGAGCAGGTGTCTTCCCTTAAATCCAAACAGTACGTTGTGCACTGGTGTTTATTGTCGAGTCGTTGTTGAAGCCAATTTGAACCAAGAGTCGGGAGCCTCTGAACTTCCTCTTCGCGGGGTTGTGCTCTCCGCTCCCCTGCCACGATCCATGGTTGTCTTTCCGCGAACGCCCCATGGCTTCGGAGCCGCTGTTGCTGCTGCTTGTGCTGTCGCTGGTGCTGTTGCTGTGCTGGTGCCGTGCTGCTGCAAGTGCTGTGGCTGGTGCCAGGTGCCGGTGCTTTTGCTGGTGCAAGTGCTGTGGCTGGTGCCCTAAGCTTCAGTCTGCCGGTTGCCGCTCTAGGCTGCTCGATGCCCTGATGATGTTCTAGGCTGTTTCTGGCCTCATGTCATGCGTGATCTTCCGGCGCACTAAGCCACAACATGCGGCCCAGAATCAATCCAAGATTCAATCAAACATGCCATCAGCAACAACAACGGCTCGCATCTGACCGTGGCCAAGCCCGGGCTCCTGGCCATTGCCGTGGCGCAGGAAGGCCGAGATCAGGCGCACGCCTTTGAACACCAACGACGAGGCAATTCTATTTCACTGGATTAGTATGAGGCCAGCAGGGCTGCTTAATCAGTGCCCTTTCAGGCTGCTTGTTCAGCGCCTTCCATCCCGTCACGAGCTTCAAGCCTGTTTCATGGGGGCTGCTTGTTCAGAGCCCTCTGAGGCTGCTTACTCAGCGCCTTCCATCCCATCATGAGCCTAAGGTCTGGAAGGCCTGTTTGGTCGGGCTGCTTGTTCAGCGCCCTCTGAGGCTGCTTGTTCAGCGCCTTCCTTCCATCCCATTACGAGCCCAAGGCCTATACGCACCTGCTCAGCGCCTCCCATCACACCATCAACTGTGAAGCATTGCTTACTGAGTCACGTGCCGCCTATTGCGCTGCGCAACACCTCAAGGCGATGACCGGTGTGGACCCACTCCACCCAAGCAGCCCTGAAGCAGACTCCAGTCGGACTGTAGTAGCTTTTATGGCTCTTCAGCACCCTCTCAAGCTGCTCGATGCTGCTCGTTCAGCTCCTTCTAGCAAATGCTAGGCCTGCTGAGGCCTCCACATGTCATCCTGGCACACTGCTTCAGGTCCTTAAGATCGTGTGGGAGGGGGGCGGGAGGAAAGCGTGGCACCGAGCTCGCTCTAGTACAGGCTGCTTATTCAGCGCCTTGGGGCTGCTTGTTCAGCGCCCACCTACTTACACTGTAGCGCAGGCTGCTTATTCAGCGCCTTGGTGTAGTCTATCACGGGCTGCTTGCTCAGCGCCCCCCCCATACCAAGATACCTTGCTCAACTCCCCGCAGAGAAGCTGCACTCAGCCGAGGACTCGCCGATTGCGGCAAGCTCTGCCAGATGCACTGGGTACTGATCCGTCTTTGCTCTTTTTGTTGTGCAGAGGGAAAACTTGCTAAGCAGGGTAACCTGGCCTGGTCACAATATCATAATGAAACCACGCATCACTAATGGATCACTAGGCCACTGGGTACCAACCCCCTAAACCCTCAAACACTAAACTATAAGCACTCAGTCCCTAAAGCCCGTGGATCACGAAGCCCTAAACCCCAAAAAACCCACACCAGCAACACTAAGTCACTAACCCAAAAAACGCAAGCCCCGAGCTTATAAGCGCATTTTCGAACCGATCTCTTAACGCCGGAGTCATTCTTGATTTGTGGTGGGTTCCATCTGTAATAAACCGTAAATGTATCGAATCCTAACCCGGAACCCTGTACCTACCGGACTGCATCAGTCCATTTGTAATAAACATAATAAACCATAGATGCATCGAAGGTCCTACGCCTATACCTACCGGACTGCATCAGTCCATTTGGTATTAAAAACCCCAAGATATATTGAATGAATTAGCCTGTACTTACCGGACTGCATCAGCCCATTAGCCTATACCTACCGGACTGCATCAGCCCATTAGCCTATACTTACCGGACTGCATCAGCCCATTTGCTACGCAAACCTAAACTATCTATATTCATCCTACCGGACTGCATCAGTCCATTTGCTATTTCCGCATTTGATGTAGTTATGTACGACTTTAAGCGTTACCCCTATATAGTAGGACTGCCTGTACTCTAACCCAATCCCCACTGAAGCCGTCGATTTAGTAGTGGGGCGTTTAGGGCTTATAGGGCGTAGGCGGTGTAGTGTTTTCAACCTTATGGTTTAAAGTTTGCTCATCATGATGGCTGCCGATACATCATGCAATTCTGTGGCCGGAATCACGAGGCACCTGGGTGTCATCAGTACCTGCTGCCAAAACATGCAATTCCGTGCCCGCAATGACAAGGCGCCGGTATACCTGCGCCTGGCAGGACAATGCATCTTCGTGCTTTAAGAGTTTAAGGTCATTTAGTCTAGGAACAAAGTCGTACTTGGAAAAGGCAAAACAAAATCAAGAAACATGTGGCCGCGAACAGAACGCACCTGGGTGCGACCTGTTTTTTTTGGCTGTTTCAGCCACCAGAACCATGTTTCTGAACCGTGCCTGCACAATATAAAGATTTGTGTGGCCAGGAACAGAACGCACCTGGGTGCGACCTGTTTTTTTTGGCTGTTTCAGCCACCAAAGCCATATTTCTAAACCGTGCCTGCACAATATAAAGATTTGTGTGGCCAGGAACAGAACGCACCTGGGTGCGACCTGTTTTTTTTGGCTGTTTCAGCCACCAAAGCCATATTTCTAAACCGTGCAGCACACACCTGGTGGCGACCTGCTATTTCTGATTAAATGATCAAAACCATGTTTCTGAACCGTGGCTGCAAAGTTTGGAGAATAATCTTGCCATGGTGCAACCAATAACTTGTTTCTGAACACTTCAAAAAAGGTGGCTGCATGTGGCTGCTCAACCAAAGCTCAGAGATTCTACTGCGAATGAAGTTGAACAATCAGGTTTCCAAATTCTATATTTCACCTTCTGCGCTCTAGTTGTCTATATACAAAACAACGACCTAAAAAAAGACAGAAAAAGAACCGCTATAGAGAAGCCAGATGCTGCCGGTAAGGGCAAGGGCGGCAAAGCCCTTGCAAATCAAGCCCCAGCTGGAAAGGATGGTGCGGGTAAGGGTGGGTTGAAGGGTACCGGCAAAGGCCCAGCTGGCCTCAAGGGTACCGGCAAAGCCCCTGCTGGTAAGGATGGTCCAGGTAAGGCTGGCCCCAAGGGTGGTGGCAAGGATGTGGTCAATGGTACCGGCAACCCCCCGGCTGGTAAGGGTGGGTGTAAGGGTGGTGGCAAAACCGCAGCGACAGAGGATGACGCAGGTGAGGAGGGGTTCAAGGGTACCGGCAAAGCTGCCGGCAAAGCCTCTGCTGGAAAGGATGGTGCTGCCAAGGGTGGTTTCAAGGGTACCGGCAAAGCCCCTGCTGCCGGAAAGGATGCTGCGACCCAGGGTGGCCCCAAAGGTACCGGCAAAGCCCCTGCTGCCGGAAAGGATGGTGCGACCAAGGGTGGCCCCAAAGGTACCGGCAAAGCCCCTGCTGCCGGCAAGGATGGTGCGGCCAAGGGTGGCCCAAAGGGTACCGGCAAAGCCCCTGCTGCCGGCAAGGATGGTGCGGCCAAGCGGCGAAGCTGACGGAAAGGATGGTGCGGCTAAGGGTGGTTTCAAGGGTACCGGCAAAGCCCCTGCTGCCGGAAAGGATGGTGTGGGTCTTAAGGGTGGCCCCAAGGGTACCGGCAAATCCCCGGCTGCCGGAAAGGATGGTGTGGGTAAGGGTGGCTTAAAGGGTACCGGCAAATCCCCAGCTGCCGGGAAGGATGGAGGCAACAGGCCTGGCCAGTCAACGACCGCCCCTGCCACCGGTGAGACTGGAGAGGCCCTGCACACACCCCCACCAAGAACTGCAATCGAGAATAGCCCGAACACCGGCACACCCCCGACCAAGCCAGCCGAGACCAACGGCACAGTCGTTGCACCCAACAAGCCAACCAATCCGGGACCCAAGGGTGCGGGGTGCAAGGGTGGCAATAAAGGAACCACAACAACCGCAGCCAACGCGAGCTCCAGCGACGAGGGAGCCAAAGGCAAGATCCCAACGAGCAAAGGCAAGGGCAAGGGCCATCCTTCAGCGAAAGTTGGATGGGACCAGGCAGACCATTCAGTGCGTCGCCGAGTGTCGTTCGACGGAGGCAGGACTTCATATTCGCAAATCCGTGTGGAACAACAGTATGCATGAACGTAGTACACAATTGCAACACATACGTTCTTGAATGCTTGCAGTCTCCGATGCTCCATCGAGTCCATCAACGCCAAACCTGTCTGCGAAGCAGCCTGCCGATATGTAACTTATGTTGTGCATTATACTATGTTTGTGAGTTTATTAACTAGGACTAGGTTGTACCTCGATCCAGGTCTGGTCGATCCATCCTACGTTCGGATACCGGTATCTCGACGGCAAGTGATGGCACAGGGCCTGTGGATATAAAGCCACTGAGTATCCCCGACCATGCTGGTGTGTCTCGGTGGCATCAAGCGCGGGTGTCAGCTGATACATGCGAACACACATATTGCTATATATGATTGTGTTCGATTCGAGGTACGAACACTCAGTGACGAAGAAAAGGCGCAGATTCAAGTGCCCTGATTCGATATTAGAATTATTGGATCGGCCTATAATGATTTGATTTCCATTCCCCCTACAGAACCGTAAACCCTGAACACCTATAGGTTCCATATATATTAAATATAAATATAAACATAAATATGTATATATATATATATATCCCGATATTAACCCTCAAAGTTAAGCTGCCTGCCCAGGCTCTGTCGGGCCCAAACGACATCCCGTTGCAGCAGCGCAAGGCGCTCAATGAGAGGCTTCGCAGGCGCATGACCAGTGGCCAAGGCCGGATTGCATTCATGCCTGGGGTAGTATCAAATTATGTTCGATGAATGTCGATCAGCGAGGACTACGCAAGGGCTTGGTTAACCAATGGGCTGCGACCCCCGCGGGATCGATGGCACGGCTCCTTTAACTATTTTAACACACATCACTTTAAACCCTAAACAGCCCCGAACCCCTGATCACATAAACACCCCATAGAAAGCCTGAGCCCAATAAAACCTAAGAAACTTATACGCTTTAAACCCTAACCTTAAAAACCCTAAATCCTACTATTCCCCATCTGTATTGGAACCCTTATCCAATTTATCTAAGGTTCGAATTCTTGAAGGCCTTCCTATTGGACAAGGACCTATCGACAATCGTCGTTGAGCCCTATTACGAGGAGCGGCCGGGCTGATTGGATAACTTTAGCCGTTGTTGCTATTTCTGGTTTCCTACAATATACCGAGGTTGTCGGAGTCCAAAGAGAAAGAGACCTTCGAGGAGCTTCCTCTTTGCCTGATCAAAGAGAGGTACAAGAATGTGGAGGGCGGTGACAAATTCGTGGAAGACCTCCAGAAAAGCGACTGCCCTAGTCTTCACAATCACGACTTAGATCGGGATCAGATACTCATGCGAGCTATAGAGCCAGCTATCTGTATCCGTGGCGAGGCCAGACTGGAAAGAAGCACCCACAGACTGACTGCCCCAATTGGCGCATTTACAAGATCTTCAAATCGATCAGTACGACCAGTGCCTTGGGCAAGATCATCAGAAGCACTATGTGTGTGTACTAGCTAATATTCTCATGTGTTCCAAGGCGCGAACATCAATCGAGTGGGCAACAAGACCACCGCCAGCTCGCAAGCCTCAAGCAACAAAGCAGAACGTGCTGCCATCGCAGAAACTCTTGAATCTAGAGTTGCCTCGATGGGCAAGTTTGCCACAGCGGGGACCAACGCCAAAGGAGGAGGCAAGCAAAACCAGAACAAGCGCCGCAAGGCCTGTGTACTTATAGCACGTGGCAATTCCAGGTGCTGTCTAGTATTGGATTTGTTACATACCGTGTGCCTGCAGGAACTGACTCAGGAGGAGCTGGACCAAAAAAGTTTTACCAAGGATCTGCAAGCGCGACTTATAACAAATTTAGTTCCGTGCGGTTTTGCCACTTGATTGTAATGATTTCATGCACTCATCTCAGGGTGCGGGACCTCGGTGACAAGGCTATCAATGTTGCGTCCGGATTGGGCAATTGCGGATTGGCGAATCAGGAATGCCTTATCAAACAACTCGGCAGCATTTCCACGGACTGTCGGCGGATCTATGATGAGTGTTTTGTCTTGAAGGTTTGGAGTTACGGTTTCATAGTTTTGGGGGGTCGCGATGTTATCCACAATCGGCCATGTAATGTATATACCCTTACTACCCCATTTCATTCATCCCAGATCTAATATTATCCAAGATACCTGACCGACATACTGAACCCGAAGACCCTGAAGTTATATGTGCATTACATCCAAAATCAGCCACACTTTTATTATGTACATGGCCAGCTCACAACCTCGATGCCAGGTTCAGCCCTGATTTATCCCAAAGGCCTTAAATTGTAGTCCCAAGCTCCACTAAAGCATCCAGCATCCATCCCAGGATCCAGCAGATGGTTATTTCAGCGTCGCCATTGGCCGAGAACCTCACAGCGATGCAGTATTACAAAGATGGTGTCCTGAAGGAGCATCTGCAGTACGTATAGTTGCAAAGTGTTGTTAGTGTACCTATATCTGCACTTGCAGGATTACCAACGTCAGGTTCTGGATGCTGAGGGAATCTTCCAAGGCCAGGAGCGCCGTTCCTTGCTCGCAAATAACCCATATATGCCAGCCTTAAACAACCCTAAATCCCAAACCCTTAACCCTGACCCTAAAACCCTGAACCCTGCCAAACTTAGGTAAGGCTGCCGAGAAGAGAAAGGCCGAGAAGGCTGCCGAGGAAAAAAAAAAAAAAAAACAGAAAACCGGTGACGAGAATGAGGAGTTTGCAACCGAGCAAGACAATGAGGAGCAGGAAGAGGAGGAGGAAAACCCCTTTGAAGAGTGGCCGGAAGATGACCAGCAGCTTGAAGCTCCCGCCGCGAAGTGAAGGTGTTTCCTGCTGAAGAAAGCATGAGCTGATCGATCCGGTGTTGTTTGATCAATTTCGGACGGGGCGGGCAGCCTACACTGTGAACACATGCAGCTCAATCCCGACATAAGGCTAGCTTTCAATTGCTATCCGGGCCTTGCAAGCTTTAGCTAGTCAAGATGGTGTCAGTACGTGCTGGCTCAGTCGGGTGGCTCTGCATGTGAGTGAGCTGATGTGGTTTTGGCCTAGGCATAAGAGCTGTCTGGGCTTCATGGTCATGATCACGGGGTGAACTCACAAGGCGCCGCGAGGGCAAAAATGCATCGCCCGGCCTGCGGTGTCCGCTGTGCAGTGCAAAGTGCAGTGATGTCGTTCATACCTGAGCTTGAGATTTGATTGCTCTTTGAGGATATGGCTGCTTGACTCAGACCATATTCACCCCGTTAGCCTATAGAGCCCCTGAGCTTATTAGGCTTAAGCGATCCTAAGTACCCCGTATTCATATACTAAATCTATGCATATTGATGCAGTAGAGCAGTAATCGTCTTTCTCCCGAATATGCCCCGTAAACCCCAATCCAAGAAATACCACACGCGAATCATGGAGTGCGAGTCGCGATGGTCGAGACCAAAGCTAACTGGGCCAGCCAGTATGTCAAGGAAACATGTGACGACATTCTGAAGCTGCTATCTCTTGGCCAGGCTTGGCCGCCCAAATCATCCATTGATCCTTATTATTCTCAAATCCAAGCCAGTACCCGTAAATACCCAAAGCTAGCTCCTTTAAACAAAAAACAAAGCATGCACAAGCCTAGAACCCAACTAGGACCCTTAAATCGGTCGTGCCGGGGATTCTGTTTGCAAAGTTTTCCCAGAGAAAGGCTTTGGGCTTAGGTTAGGTTTTAGGTTAGGGCTTTTGATAGAAAGTAGTCTTTTTTAAAGAATAACAAGTCCAGGTCCCATTGGATCAGCTCGCAACCTCGCTTGCGCGTCTTCGCCGTCTTCCTCAGTGTGTTGTGCCGTCGCTTGGAAGCAGCTGTAGTCATGCGACATGGTTGGGATATTGGGACGTTGGTGAGATCATGGTTAAAACCCCGTATCTGAGGCAAGATTTCCTGGACCTGGCTCATAGGTTTATCAATGAGAATTCTTGGGGCCAACTTCGTTGCCTCATTCGATGGACGGATCGACAAGCGTGGAGAAAGGTTTTGCCGCAGCCCTTCATGAGACCTGGCTGCTTAAAGACAGATTGGACATATGCGTGAGCTTCAAGCTCGATTTCTTGATGAACCCAGGATTCAACTGAAATCAGCTCCGTGATTTGAATAAACGACCCGTCGTCCTTGGTTGCAGCACAAGTTTCGCCCAAGGTATATGAAGATGCATTGGGAGCCAGGAGTCGCCTCGTGCAACATCATCTTCTATTACCCCACGAGATTCTTGGTTCCCTCTATGATACTGGCAACATCGCACTGGTATCGGGGCAGGTAACTTGGTTCGAAATCGGGATATTTCTGCAAAGATTCTCTCTTCCTCTTTTCTTCCCGATCCGTCTCCCTCTCCCTCGATCTCTGCCCCCTCGCTCTCTCTCTCTCTCTCTCTCTCTGTCTCTCTCTCTCTCTCTCTCTCTCTTTGTCTCTCTCTCTCTCTCTCGCTCTCTATCTCCATCTCGCTTTCTCTCTCTCTCTCTCTCACTCTCTCTCCTCTCTCTTTCTCTCTTTCTCTCTTTCTCTCTCTCTCTCTCTCTCGCTGTCTCGCTGTCTCTCTCTCTCTCTCTCTCTTTCTCTTTCTCTCTCTCTCTCTCTCTCTCTCTCTCTCTCTCTCTCTCTCTCTCTCTCTCTCTCTCTCTCTCTCTCTCTCTCTCTCTCTCTCTCTCTCTCTCCCAGTATTATGCTAAAGCGCTGATTTGAAGCCGAACTTAGAACTTATAATAAGGAGCGCTGAACACAACACACCATAGCATGATTCCAGAACCTGATTACCGGCAGCCCCACTAAGCAAGACCAGGTTCTAAAATTTGAGGGCTTTAGGATTTAGGGGCTAGTCTGACTTTTCTTCGAGTACCTCATAATAACTATTCCGCAAAGTTTCGGGCTTTCGGCTTTAGGGGTACCATGGTGTTTAGGGCATGTTTAGTTTCGCTTCTAACATATATTATTTTCCCTGTGCCTTATATTAGGTCGCTCTGTTGTTTGCCAATCCAACTAAGGAAGATGACTTGGTGCGGTACTGGTATGAGCTGTCCGATACAGATTGGTTTCGGCACCACCCGATTCTAAGTGCCGCAAGACGGCACGCCTATACTCATACCATCAGTTGTTTGTATTGTTCTGGTGAACACGATCGCTTCCGAGATCACCGATCCCAAACTTTGTATCCCGCTGAGGATCTATGGGGATGGGGCAGAATCCACTAGCTACACGGCTGGATTTGGACTCACCAAAGCTTGTATATACCGTAAACCCTACAGCGCCTATACACAGAAAGTTGTTGTTGTCCCAGGACATCAAGTCTTCGAGTGCTTTGCAATGTTGGCACCAATGGCTCCGGCAACGACGTTGCAGTCACGGTTTCTGAACTTAGGCTCGCAATTAGATCGAAACAAGATAGATCTATGACTAGTCCCCGAACTCGAGGATCAGCTGTATGAATATGCGATATCATTCTGGCAATTGCCGCAAAGCAGTACTGCAGACTCTCAAGTGGTCATTCGACAGCCTTGGCCGCTAATCTGCATCAGTATAGAAGTTAAACCATATATTTTCGACCTGTACGGTATCATCTATCTAAGGCATCGGTGTATACCCGGCTTCAGATCCATTTGGCAATGAATTTGGACCAAATTATATGCCAGATCGCTGGAAAAAGGCGGGGAAACGGATATGTGGACCCTACGTCGGGGTCTTCGATGCTGTACAAGCTGACTTAGAGTTCGTTCGCAAGCTGTTCGACCTGAAGAGAGCCTTGGGACGAGATTATTTTCTAGAAGCCTGCAGGCCGAAACGCATCATGACAGACCCCAGGAGATTACTCTCGCAAGCTGGTCTGCCCTTTCTGCTCAGTGCCTTATAGCTACATATCAGTTGTTTGTAAATTGTAATGTCCGGTGAGCCCCATCGATCGATCATTGCAATGCCAAACATGAGGCTTTGGGTTGGACATATGTACACGGCGATGATGCTCCGAATGATCCTGATTTGCTGTATACCGCCTTTGGTAGAGGAGCGGCTCACCGGCAAACGTGGCTTGCTCGCGATTACATAGTTTTGGCAGACCCCACCCCTAAACCCTCAACCCCTAACTCTGAAAGCTAAACCTAAATGAGGCTTATATCGGGACCAGATGAATTCCGGGCGGTGCACGGATCGTCACCGTTGACAGAGATCATCGGCTTCAGTCCTTGGAGTGTCATGTTTGCACTGATAAAATGTTTCGGAGTCTATAGCTTCTGGCTTTGATCGAGTGGCTTGATCTACTCCTACCAACCCCCGGGCCCTACAAACGCTGGACCCCTAAAACCGTACATATCAGGAATCCTGCCAGATGTTATGCACTTATGCCACCTGGCGATCTACACCGATGTTTTGATTTCGGTTTTGCTGGATATCACTGATGATTTCCAAAAGCGGGACTCCGAGTTGGAGAAGCTCTATGAAAACTATCGTCAGTGGTGCGAATCTCAGCGCAACTCTGCTAAAGTACTACCAACAAGATCCGGTCATGTTAATTGTGTCTGTGAATTCGATCCCAGGCATCAGCGACAGAGCCCGAAGGAGACTCTTTACGAGCAAAATATTGAAGCCAATGTCTCGGGAGTATCGAACCATTTCCCAAAAGGTCCTGAGCGCATCGGCGAGCCGATACTTAATGTTCTGGCTCTCGAATTACCTTTCGGGATTGCTGGCCGGTTCTCCAGACGATGCCTTCCTGCAGTGCCCAGACTATATCTCTTTGTGTGCACGCGCTGTTGTGTGTTTGTGAGTGCCGTGCGCGAGAAAGGGAGAGCGGGGAGAGAGCGAATGTATAATACACGAGAAACCACGCCGCCAAAACCACCGCCACCGCCACCACCGCCACCACCACCACCACCACCACCACCAACAGCAAAGCAGCAACCAAAAAAACGCACAACAGCAACAGCGACAATAACAACAACAACCAGAACCACAACCACGACCGCGACCACGACCACGACCACAACAGCAACGGCAACAGCAACAGCAGCAGCAACACCAACAGCACAACCAACACCAACAACAACAGTAACGATACCAAGCCACTAGTGACACGAATGACAACCAATAATTACGAGATGTAAACCAAATACCGACAAAGACATATATCTAGAACCGTGATTGCTCAGGGAATAAGGCTCTTGAGACCTTGTAATGCTAGACATATATGTACAAAATTAAATATCTACTGCACCCCACAATCAACGCTGTAATAGTTGACTGATCTGAGGCTGCGGGTCGCCGTGTGCCTGGGCCTCTCCAAGATGGAGGAGCTTATGCTTTCTCATGGGTCCGTCGGCTGAACTATATGTATAGAGTAGCAGTTCATATACTTGTAGACTATCCGACTATGTACCTAGTGTCGCGAAATTCCTTTCACGATTTACCACAAGAATATGGTAAGTAAGAATAGATGGCCCAAAACTAAACCACACGTCCATTATTAAGTTAATAAGGCCTGTAATTCCTTTTAGCATCAGCAAAATAGCACGGCGCTAATCCCTGTATTATATAACCACCCCGGTATAACGACTCAAAGTAAAGCCCCGCTCAATATTGCATCATAAGCCACCGTATTGGACACTTGAGGCGATTGTTGTCGGAAGACGCCACATCCCAATTCGAGAATTATTACCTTCTCTATCGATCTGCCTACAACAAGTTATCGCAGGAGGCGGTAGATTGGGCCGTCACTCGATGGCCCGTGCGGCCAAAGGACCACTATTTCGAACACGGCATTTACGATCTGCGGGGGCACAGCAATTGCATGGTGAACATGCGCTATTGCTCGAACTACCAAAACGAAGATCTCATGCGCCATACAAAGCAAATGGCGGTCAGATCACACCAGGCATGCCTTTCGAAGCATGTCATTTTCAAATATGCTCTCCAGTTTACGTTGGCTTGGCGCGCATGAAAATGAAGGAGTTGCTGCGTCCGGATGCTTGCAAGAGCTAGCTAGCACGCAATCAAGCCGCAGAATTTGCAGACCTGGGATATATATATATATATATATATTGTATATATATATATATATATATATTGTATATATATATATATATATATATATATATATATATATATATATATATGTTCTAACTTATAATTCAGAATCTTTAACTTTGGTTTATAAATACATACATACATATATATATATATATATATACATATATATATATATATATATATATATATGATTTTATACATACGGACACAAGGAACATAAATTAGACACATCTTATATACACATGTTTCGAGGTAATATACATACATATACATATATACATATACATATATACATATACATATATATATATATACATATATATATATATACATACATATATATGTATATATACATATATATATATATATGTATATATATACATATATATCTACTCATGCATGAATGCAGTTCATACAGATATCTACACCAACTACTATATTTCCAATATATTTACATATTTATATATATTACCTACGCATATGCTAATGCACAAAAATGTAGGAAAGACGCCCCTATATATGCCCTAACGTCGTTTGGCTCAAACTTCATGAGGTTCAAGCGAACGTTCACTGAACGTTAAGTTTGGCTCAAGACTGGGTATATGGGGGAATTCTCCTATATATTCCACTGTACTGAACACAGCCGATCGATGGACGGCGGTTCAGTTCACAATTCGTTTGTGAGCATACTTTACAGTATCGGTTTAAGTCCTGTGATGTATCATTTATGTGGATACCGATCATCAAATCTAATTCTTATAAAGTAATGGATCCATCTGATGGAGGGATCAAACGTGCGAATAGCCTATTCACTTGCTGCTACCCGATGTACTTTGTATTCGACGGTTTGGAACTGTCGAACAGCCCGTGCTGGTAGAAGATCGTACCACTTCCATGCCCACGAGCGAAGTCCGCTTCTGCCACACTGCGTGCCTTCCCCTCGGGTGGCACTTGCTCGCCACGCCGCTGTGTAGCCGGCCTCCCGGGTGCACACTAAGAAATCTTTTCCATCATGTTTATCTAGAGGAGCCTGTCAGCCATCGACACGAGCATCTGTGCATTTTTTTCAAAAAAAGAGGCTGTTCGCGAGGCCCGCCAAGCTGTCTTTCGCACGACCGGCCCGGGCGTTTCGCAATGCCTTCTGCATGTCACTCGCTGCTGCCCGAAGGTCGGCCGTCGGGTCACGTACTTGACTCTTGTGCAGGAGCCACAACAAGATCTCTAGAAGCGGCGATGTCGTGGCGCTGCACCGCCAGCTGAGCGCCTCATGCTTTCGTGTTGTTGCGAGAAGCAGTCTCGCTTGGCGTCCAGCTTCTCGGCCCAAGACGATTGTCTTCTGGTAACCAAACTGCGCCTACGCTGGTCACGCCCTGCGTGGTGAGGCTTTTCTGCAGCGCCACGACCTCCCAAGGCTTTCGGGAGTATGCTGGCAGGCCGTCGGCAAGCAGGCGCCAGGCGCTGCCCCAGGTGCTGCTTTCGCCTGCGGTCCCTACTCCTGCCTGTCCAAGTAGACAGCGCCCAACTCGAAGGACTGCCTCCGCCGATGTCTTGTGCGGTGCGTCGTAGGCGAGATGGGTCAGGATGGCTTGCTTCAAAGCCGCGCGAACCAGTGCTGGGTCGCCCTCCGAAACCACGACGGCCTCCTGCGCAAAAGAGGGCTTCAGAAACGCAGACGCTAGCAGTGCATATTTTCAAATCTTCGGGAATACGGCGGCTTGGGAAAACCCGTCCTGGACGAGCTCCGAGTACCGTGTGGCCGTCCCACGGACATTCAGTGTCGGCACTCTCAACACATGCCGTACATATTCGGAGGCTCGCTGGAGAAGGTTCTTTGCAGACCAGGCCGTCCGCGGCTCTTTCTCGATGGCTTCTTTGATGCCTGCGGCCTCCGCGTGCGGCAAGTTGCGCACGGCCTCTTCCGTCTGGTCGATGAAGTTGAGGAGTCCTCGGTTGGCCGTGACGAAGATGGTGTCACCGTCATAGTCGCCACCGCCCAAGGCTGTGATGCCCAAACCTTTTGTGCTGCAAACGCAGCAATTGTTCGGTCTAGCCCAAAGGTCGCGCGGCCATGGTCGGGCCTCCCAAATCTGGAAATCGCTGGGACCCGCCACCGGCACCCTCCAGACTACCACCGGACCGACGATGGAGCGGCCTTCACTAATGATCCAGCATTGCCGGTCCTGCAAGCAGCACAGCAGTCTCACTGGCCAATGGAAATAAAGGCTACTAATTAGCACGTATTTCCCGTTCTCGCTCGCTCTCTCTCTCTCTCTCTCTCTCTCTCTCTCTCTCTCTCTCTGTCTCTCTGTCTCTCTCTCTCTCTCTCTCTCTCTCTCGCTCTTTCTCTCCCTTCTACATTTCCCGATTCAACATCAAGCTCTACCTAGCATGGCCTCAAGGTCTCCAGTGCAGTCAGCGAGAGCGAAAAGCACCCAGGCACCTCCCGCCAGTGTGAGGTGCGGGTCGTTGCGCTGCTGTGTTAAAGCACCGTTGAAGGCTCCGCCGCCACCAAGCAGCGCACGCTTGGTTCCCTTGCTGATGTGTGTATGCTGCGCCTCTGCCACGGTCTTCGTGACGAGGTTCCGGTCGCTCTCCGCCGGCTCTTCAGTGTCGTCTTCGCACAGCCGCACGCGGAGTAGATGCTGGGGCACACGCTCGATGACCTCCTTGTCTGCATCTTGGGATGCCAGGCCAGCGGCCGCTCGCGACGGCGGCGAGTCGTGCAGCACTCGTGCTACTCCCTTGCGAGCTTTCCGCGTGCCATCGGGCAAGCCCCAAGCAACCGACTTCAACTGCTCGACAGTGTCTTCTTGCAACTGCTTCACCAAGCTCGACAGAGCTGCGATGGCCACGCGCCTCTCGACCGCCGTTGGGAGGCTGCATGCACGCATCATTAGAGCCGCTGCGGCCTGCGAGTTGATGGTTGCCGGCTTCATGGCAGCCTCCGTAGTTTGAGTAACAGCGAAGCCGTGCTCTATGTTGGGGTCACCTGACAGGCACGCATGAGGTTTTAACTAGCGATACTTCTGCAACCGTGCCTGCCAAGTTTCAACAGTCTTTTTGCTGCCGAGTCACTCCGGTTCCAATGCACTTTTCGACACTCCTTGCGAAGCCTTATGCCTTTCTGGAGATACACATCGACAACTAGCATGCCTTTGCAGAGGCAGCACTCCAGGGCACTCAAAGGCAAGACCCCTCGGATCTGCCACGGCGAGTACAAGCAGGGCTTGTCCGGCCCTGCGTCCGGCGGCAGAAGGCCGATTCTCTTTGCCGCTGCAGGGCTGCACTCGCTCTGTCCATCTGTCACCGGGGTGTCCCCGCACCAGATGTCGTTCGCTTTGTCTGCGAGGATGCCGGCAGCAGTTTTCCAGGTGCTGGGCGACAAAAGCAACGGCAGTCTTTTGTATGCCGTTTGCACATCCTCACATGCTTGTAGAACCGCGCGCGCTGTGGCGCTGTGCCAGAGAGGTTTGGCGGCATAGTAGCATTGGCCTTGTTCTTTTCCCGTTATGCAGAAGAGCTCTGGATGCGTGCAAGGAAGTTCCGGGATCTGGAGGGGCTGCAAACTCAGAGGCTTGTTCTTCGCGGTCTTGAAGTCCACTGTGTACACGGAGACCTTAGCTTCTCGGGCCCAGATGGAGTCTGGCAGCTTTTCGGGAAGGATTGCCTGATAGCCTTCCGGCACGACGCGCGGCGGCGGCGTTTTTTTCCATAGCCGTCTCCTCTTGTTGCTTGCTGGAGTCGTCAGAGTCGTCGATGCTTGGAAGTGCCAAGCTTGAAGGTCTGCGCTGCTCTCCTCTGCGCAACCCGGAACGCATTCCTCCTCTTCCTCAGTGGATGGATCGTAGTTCACCTCGGACATGAGGTCCTCTTCGAAGGAGTCTTGTTCGCAGCGTTGAACTTCTTCCGGCGAAGGGGAAAACGAGCCACCGTCCCATGTGTCAAGGTCGTGCCGCAGTTGCTTGTCCTGGCCGGCGTTGTGCTCTGGAAAGCAATAGATTCCAGCCGCTGCCGTCGCTGCAAGCCTGATATTGGCAGCCGTTCTTTAGACTGCAATGGGTTCAAATGCTTTTGACTCGCTACGAACGTGATACAGTATGTCCTTCCAGGTCTATGATTGCATGCTGTCGCTTGCACTGCTTGCTAGACTACTGCTTGTTAGATGTTCTGTCTTTTGGCCCCTTGTCGAGCCTGCGCCCAACGTCTAGCTGCTGGAAGCTGCGCCACGGCGCCGCAAGCTTTTTGGGCAGCAGCACGGGCTTGCCGTTCAGCAGCGCTGTCAGTGTCTGGGGATACGTTTTCTTTGCGGCTGCCTCCCACTCGACTTGGCTGAACTTAGGTCTGCTCTCCTTGGGAGTGGCTTGGGGAGCTGCATCCAGAAGCCCCGTCCAAAAATCTTTGCGGATGACGACCTCGTGCTCTGTTTCCTTTGCCGCGGGGCCTGGATGCTGAGCTTCCCCGATTCGCTGCCCTCGTAGCGGCCAGCCCCGCCAGGTAGGCAAGTTCTTCGGGGCCTGCCCTTGTCGCACGTGCCGGCGGCCACGACTCGCTCGCAAGCGAGGACGCAGCAGTCTGGCACGGCGCTGTGCCGGGCCTGCCCAAGCTTTGTTGAGCTGCTCGGTCAGTCTGCGCCGCTCGTGTCGGCCCAAGCTTGGCCAGACAGCCTGTGCACGCGCCGGGGCGCGATCACACAGCTGAACTGGCACGCCTGACCACAAGCATTGCAGGACTGCCAGCCACCATGCCAGGCTGCAGCCTGGTTTCATGGTCTTGTCTCTAGTGCTTGTCGGTTGTCGTTTTTGCTGGCTAGTAACTAGTACTACTTGTGCCAGTCATCATGTTAGGCGGCAGCGGAAGTTCATGGTGTGCTTTGGTTCCTGTTGCTTGCTATTTCTGCTGGCCTCCACTGCTTGCACTGATGCCAGAGAGTGTGAGAGCCACCACGAGCTTAAGGCGGTATGTGACAATAGCTTGGCAACCCCGGCCACGACGGATGCGGCGTGCCGCCCCCCGGCCTTGTCAGGTGCGCGAAAGCCGCAGATAAAAAGCTTTCTTTCGCCTCAGTACAATACTACACTTCGCTCTGAGTCAGGCTAGAGGACGCCTAACGGGTACAATCGCACTGCCCCCCGGCTGTATCAAGCGACAAGGAAGACCAGGAGAAGACGCGAGATACAAATTGAAGGAACCTCCTGAGATTTGATAAGCAATAAAATCGTCGAGGAAAAGCCCCGGCCTCGACGGGCACGGCCATGCCGCCCCCCGGCCTTGTCAGGCCAGAAAGAACATCAGAGAAGAACAGAGATCGAGACTAGGAAGACGGTAACACGTTCCGCTATTTCGCTTTCCCAGTGCATCACCAAATGCTGACTTCCACGTGCAAGGTGCTCCTCAGCCCCAGGGGTCCTTGCACGGTCAGCCTCTGGATCTTCTGCACTAGGAACCCTGGGGTATAGCTGCATTATTGTCGGTGACCTTCATGCTACATATCTAGGCTGTCTCGTGTTACTCACCAAATACAGTGACTTCAAATGACAATTATGGTGATTTCGAAAATGGTTTCCAAAACCATTAATTACCTTGACTACATCTAGTTGAGGTTCATTTGTGATTCGGATATACTTCGCATGTGTGAAACTCTTTCTACTTTAAGTAGCATTCCACTATGGTTGCTACGCACAGCACTGTAGACCATTCTGAAACAAACGTATTCCGGACAATGGACTACTGCTGACGACTTTTTGACAAAGTTTTGGCGTGCCGAAACAATTTAGAAACATTTATATCCCGCGCTGGGAATCATAGTAACAACATAAGGAAATCATGCTGGAATGTTCGTAAAATCTAGGTGGGCGATCTTTTTGCCAGTTTCAGAAATGACAACTCATATTAAAACCATGTCGAAATCACACACATGCTTCTTTGGTTCCAGAAAGGTTGCCCAACAGTTTGCGTTGTGAGACAACTGCAAAAATACATTGGATTTCATAGATATAAAAAATAAAAACCCTAAACCCTAATAGATTTAATGTCTGGGTGGTCTTGGGGTGGGATGTCGCGTCCAGCTCGGCGCGCCGCCCCGCGACCCTCTGGGTCGAGGCGCGCCGCTTACGATGGGAAACCCTGAACCCTAAACCCTAAACCCTGAACCCTAAACCCTAAACCCTGAACCCTAAACCCTAAACCCTGAACCCTAAACCCTAAACCCTGAACCCTAAACCCTAAACCCTGAACCCCAACCCAAGACTAGGAATTCGAACCCTGGACACTAAACTGGAAATGCCGAAGCAAGGAACACGCATCCCAAACCCAAAAACCGAACCCAGACCCGCATTCCAAAACCCTCTGAACCCGAAAACAACAAACTGAACCCTAAACCCACCGCACGCCGAAAAACCCAAACCCTTTTCCCGCACCCCAACCCCCTAAACCGCAAACCCCGACGTTCCAAAGCAAGAAAGCTTCCAACATCTAAACACAAAACCTGGCAGCGCTAAGGAACCGGCACCACAGCGGCCATCATTTCGCCAGCCATTGGGCAGTGGGATCGACCTCGGATGTGTTTTGTTCAGGGTTTAGGGTATGGGGCTTGGGCTTACAGCTTGTTGGTGAGGGGTTTAGGGCTTAGACTTGATAATGGGAGGTCTCTAAATCTAGATTGTAAGGGATTTATGGTGTCATCTATAGAGGCTTTATAGGGATTCATCGATTTGCTTTTCTGCGGGGTTTTGCAAGCGATATCCTTCAAAGGATCTTTATCAAGGGTTGTACATGCACTTTCTAGTGCGTTTGGGGAGTTGGGGCATCCTTTGCCTCGCCGCGGGCCTCAAAAGCTAGGATGAAGGTAGGTGGGATATTCCCAAATATTAAGAGTCCTTATATAAGGGATCCTTAATCCTACCTACCTTCATCCTACCTTGTGAGGCATCCGAAACCCTCCCTAAACCCCGTTGACCCCGGTAATAGTCTCGAATCTCGGCTTTCGGTCGGGTTTCGGCCGATTTTCTCTTGGAGTAAAGACGATCAGCCAACTGTCCCGCGTGTTTCTGAACCCTAAACCGGAACAAAACTCGCAGAATGCTTCAACCATTCAGAACCCTGCAATCTCCAAACCGGGAAGCCTCATAAGCCCTAAACTCCTTCTACCCTGAAACCGAGAAATCGGAACCCGAAACCCTACAAATCCCAAGCCGCGTACAAGCCCTAAACCCTACAGAGCCTATAAGCCTCATAAAGCCTAAAGCCCAAAGCCTAACTGGACTTTGAAGTAACCAGACGAAGAAGCGTATGACATGTATGGTTCCTATTTAAGGAACAGGTCCGAGAAAAGCCTTCCAGTATGGTTCTCCGGAACCCAGCTAACCCTAAGCCCAAAGCCTAACCCGTGCGTAAACCCTAGACTAGTTTAGGGTTTAGGGTTTAGGGTTTAGGGATTAGGGTTCTACTAGAAACCCTAAACCCCTAAAGCTGGCTCATAAAGCCTGAGGCATCCTAAAGCCCAAAGCCTAATGTAGATTCCTGAGTAGCTCCTTTCCAATAGGGAACCCCTTTTCCTACTATTCGGTGTTAACAAGGGGACCCTCAAATATAAAGGGCACAGGGTACTACTCAGGAACCTAGGAATAGCGGAGACCCGACATACCCCAAACTGTATTGCCTCATACAGCCTAGAACATCCTAAAGCCCACAGACTAAACCCTTATCAACCCCAAATCCCTAAAGCCCTAAACCCTTGACCCTTAAACCCTTAACACTAAGCCCTGAACCCTAAAACCTCAAACCTGAAGCCCTGAACCCCAAAACCCTAAACCCGAAAAGGAGCTGAGACCCGAGCGCGCTCGTCGGGCGAAGCTTCGCGCACGGAGGCGGTCGACAGTCCTCAACGGTTTAGGCTTGCTTTTTTTGGTTGCCCCATTTTTCCAGCAAACCCGGTTTAGGGCTTTTAAGGTTTAGGATTTAGGGTTAAAGGGCCCATGGTTGGGGTTTAAGGTCGAGCTTTAGGGCTTGAAGTTTCAGGTTTAGGGCTTGAGGTTGAAGGTTTAGGGTTTTTTGGGTTTGAGGTCGAAGGTTTAGGGCTGGAGGTTGCAGGTTTAGGATTTCGCGTCTTTCGCCAGATCTTCTAAGATACATGACATAAATCAAACGAGAGTCCTATTACATTTGTAGAGTTTCATCGGCGCACCCCCAAAATCTTAAAATCGGCAACCAGAAAAAATGCAAAGGTAGGACAGCTACTCGTGCACTTGAGATGACCTGAGCGTTAGCCTTCGTCCTTCACCCCAATCCCGAACCCCTTAACCCCTAGCTCAAACAAGCAAACTACCCAAACCCTTAGCGTTAACCATTGCCATGTACCCTAACCCCAAAGCCGTAAAGGTCTCTGTACACTGGTATAAAGCCCTACTGGAACCCATGCACAACCCTCAATCCCAAAAGCAACGCCCGAATGTTTTCAGCAGCGCTTGGGGTATATTATACATCATATGTTTCAAGGCACCCAACGAATACAAGGAACAAATATGTTGCTTCTTTTAGCCGGAACCGTAAACTCTTTGTCCCCGAACCCTTTTCAGCACGGGCCTGGTTGCGTGTCCCCGAAACCTAAACTTATAGGATCCTTAAGGGAGGGTGGTTCAAGGGGGAGGGTATAAGGAATCCTTAGGGGACTGTAATGGAACCTTACGGAGCACTAGGGAGAATTAGGGATCACTAGGCTATCTACCCCCCTTGGACCCCCCTCCCTTAAGGATACTGTAATTGCATGTCCCCGAAACCTAAACCCTGAACCCAGTCACTGCTCTCCAATCCTTGGCGTAACCTGCGATCTGCTCGTTGCACGCCCTGCAATAGAGGGGCCATGGTAGGGTTTAGGGTTTAGGGTTTAGGGTTCCGTTAAAGGGGTTATGTCATGATCAGGTGGTTGTCGATTGCATTGTACTATTACTGGCTGTAGTGGGCTCAAGAGTTTTGCCGCAGCTTTAAGGTTATGGGGTCTGAGTTTGGGGTTTAGCCTTTAGGGGAAAATTCTGTTTTCGGGTTTATGTAAAGGGTCCTTCATACTTAAACCCGTTTGGGTGGGCTTTGGCTTACAAGGAAAAAGGATACCTAGGAAATGGTCTACCCCATATTGTGTTTTTGCTGGCTTTTTCTTCGCCCCTTCACACAGAGAATCCCTAAACCCAAAGCGCAGCAATTAAGTTTAGTGTAAAAGTTTCGGGATCAGGGCTTCCAGCTTCTTCCTTGGGCCGTACTTGCGAAACCAATAGTTCAACCCATGTCCGGTCAAGCCTAAAGCATGACAACCTGCACGACCGGGCTGCCGACCACACGCCCACTGGAGCGTGAAGGCTGAGGACGGTGATGTTGCTGAGCGGTGTGCGCGGTTGTAGAAAGGAGATTGATGCTTGAACTCGCCGGAACTAGTTCCGTCTCAAACCCCTAGGATCCAAAGGACCCAATAATTAGGTACTCGGTTTCAGGATAGTAGTTAAGTAGCTTAGGATTTTGGAGAGTATATGATTGTTGGGTACTTGGACCCTTGGGGAAATGTGCTGCAGATGCTGTCGTGCTAGCGGTGGAAGTCGGGCCACCCTCAACCCGGACCCCCCCCAATGGCCCTTTAACGGAGCCCTTATGGTCCTTAATAGTGGGTATTTGGAGTATATTAGAGGGTAGTTGGGGGGTCCAGGAACCCTCTTATTATAAGGTATATTCCAGAATTAAAGGCCTTTTGTGTCTACGGGGAGAGACAACAACACGCCAAGCAGCCCCCAAAACCTCGAAGTTGAAGCACCCAAAGGAAGAGCACCAGTGAGGACTTACTGTGGTATACCACTTATCTACGCCGTCTATGTGGGTGGTTGTCAAGATTAGGGTCCCTTTTTGGGTCCTTAATATTTAGGGTACCCAAAAAGGGGGCCATAATTTTGACAACTACCCATGTTGATTTCAGTTGGGTTTGCAGAAGCCTTTGCTGGAGGCAACTTAGCTTGGACTTCCGAACCGGTGTAGGGTTTAGGGTTTCGGGTTCAGGGTTCAGGGTTTTGGGAAACATTGCATCTTTGATTGTCAAGAAGGGGTTTGCGTGAGAAAGAAGTCTGGCAAAGAACAGCGAAACCTAAATGCCGATCTATTCAACGGAAACGTGTCCAGGCTTTCCCAGTGAACGCTCTACTGTCTTCTTGCACCCATGCGAACGAATATCCCAGAAGAAGTTGTTCGCACACATCGTCCTCAAAACAACCCCAGACTCAGGCAAGACGCTTCATGAAGACTTCGGGTGTACCCAGGAACTGCACCAGAGCGCCTCCGCTTCTCGGGCGTTGAGGTTTAAAGTCTGCCGGACACTGAACCCACCAGCGAGCTCCCGGAGTCTTGAGAGTCCCTAAACCCTAAACCCTATACCTCTAAACCCTAAACCCTGAACCCTGAACCCTAAACCCTAAACCCTAAACCCTAAACCCTAAACCCTAAACCCTAAACCCTGAAACCTAAGAGTCGTAGAGCCACGAAGCGCCTAAAGCCAACACCTTTCAAGGCTGCTGAAAGCCGGAAGGCCGTGTGGCACTTTGAAGCCCCGCAGCCCGAAACCCTTCGAGGGGTTTCGGGCAAATTTTGGGTTTATAGGGTTTAGGGTTTAGTAAGGCTTCCACAATAGGAATCCGCCGAGGCAACAGGCCCAGGCGTTACCTCAGGTACCCTCCACCTAATCCTCCTCCCTGCACCCCCTCACCCCCCTCCCCCCCCCTCCCCCCCTTCCTCCCCGTGCCCGGAAGATGGTGCTCGCACAATCGACACTCACCCGTTTCGAGGTTGGGGTTGAGAGGCCCGCTTAGCATGCTGTATACAACCGCCACTGCCGCCTCGCCCTGCCGCTACAGAGCCGAGGCGGGCGGCGTAGCGTTAAAATTACTATTTTGATTTGGGATTAGGGTTTAGTGTTTAGGGTTTGGGGGTTCGTTCCTTTTGTCCTTGCTGGCGCGTTGTCCGGCCTGTCGTAGGGCCCCGGACCCGGATTTCCTCAAAGAACAAATCCGACCTTGGGCTTTGTTTTGGTAATATCGGGGACTTATTAAGTACAATAGAACTTGGGGAGCTCCTTTAAAGTAGTTACTATAAGGGCTTTGCTTTGTAATATAGGGACCCTAAACCCTCAACCCTAAACCCTCAACCCTAAACCCTCAACCCTAAACCCTCGACCCTAAACCCTCAACCCTAAACCCTAAACCGTTAATAATTCGAATAGGGTTTTGGGAGCTCCTTTAAAGGGGCTACTCGCAGGGCTGCCATAAGGGTTCTATAAGATAGGTGCCTTTAATAAGTAGGATAGGGTGACTGGGGCCCATTATACTAAAGTCATAACAAGGAGCCTGCCAAATAGTATAGGTAATTATTTAAGCCCCGACAGTCAGGGTTCCTTATAAGGATGTCATTAAGGGTTCGCTTAGCGGACTAAGGTTTAGGGTTGAGGGATCAGAGGTTTAAGTGTCTGAGTTCAGGGTGCTTTGTGTCTTGCTGTAGCTCCTTTTGGGCGTTGGGCGTAAGGTGTGAGTTCGGAGGCTCGCTGCGTTCCCTCTCTGAAGCCTCCCTACCCATAAGCTCCAAGTGAGTTCCTTTTTGGGACTACCTTGTAGGCGCCTAAATATGAACCACAAAAGGGAACTACAGTGGGGTAAGCGCTAACTTCTTTCGCGTACCATTTCCCAGTGGTTCGGCTCACGCTTCGCATACGAACATCGCGGGAGTCTCAAACCCAGAAAGAATGGCTTGAGGTTTAGGCTTCTGGGATTGCAGGGTTTAGGGCCTAGGGTTTAGGTTTGGGTTTAGGCCTTTAGGATTTTGGGGTTTGCAAGTTTTGAGGTTTTGGGTTTAGTATGGTTGAATGGCTAAGGGTTTCGTGTTCAGGCGTTGCAGTCTTAACCTAACATATCCCTGAGGGAATCTATAGCAGGTTACTAATCCGTCTCTATGCACACCAGTAATAACCCCTAAATCCCTAAATCGCACCCATATTTAGGTAACTTGGAGCCATTGACTTGCCACGAGTGCCGGGCACACTGGGAGGTGGCTGCCGGCCGTTGCAGAACGGGTTGTTCTCGGGATATGAAGCCATGACAACCTCAGAGGTGGCTCGGGGTAGTCGCTGTCTTCAGGGCCCTTTGGTTTGATTAGAATAGGGTTTGGGGGTATACTCTTCGAAAGATACATTAGGGACTGTCTTTGGTATTCAGAGAGGCTCTTTAGGTATGTTTCTTGCTTTGCAACCCCCTCAAAACCTGAAAATGTCTGCACTCACTTCTCGGTTGCGGCCTTTGGTCCCCACAGGGACCTAAAACCGCCGAATAAGATCTATCTGATATGGGGTGGTTGAAGATGGAAAAGTTGTGAAACACCGGGGTAGTCTATTCTGGATATTGCAGCGTATAAGAAGATCGAATCATATTCCATCATAGGCGTAACTACCGCAGGCTCTGCAATCGTGATGGACAGCCACAGCAGAAAGAGAAGCCGCAAGACCTGGGCCCTAAACAATTGAAGCAAACCCAAACTGAAATCGTAAACCCTTCGGCAAACCTACACCGCCAACCCTCAACACCAAAACGAAAGCCAACACCCAGCCACACAAACCTGCAACCCTGTCCCAATCCTAAGCTAGACCCCAAACCCGACACCCAAACCCTACACCCCAAAAAGCCCCAACCCTAAACCCCAAAAAGCCCAAACCCTGAACCCAAAACCCCAAACCCCAAAAAGCCCTAACCCTAAACCCTAACCCCTAAAGCCCCAAACCCAAAGACCTAAGCATGATCAAAACGTTGAGGGCCTGGCTAGCCCCCCACGGGAGGTTGAATCAACCTGTGGGAATTGGTCTAGGATACCCAGTAACCTAAGAATACAAAGGCCTCTCTTTTTGGTATTGGGTAACTTTATAAGGAACCTAGGACTACAAAAAGGGAATAAGGGTACTACTGGGCATCCTAGTGGTGATTTTCAGGTCGAGGGTTCCGGGTTTATTAGGGGAGGTATTCAGGGCCCTGTGGTTGAGAGAAGCCATTTCGCTTGAATCGGTGGTTTAGGGCCTGAAGGGCATACTCATAGGCTCCATAGTAGTTCTTACCTTTTAGGATCCTAAATATAAATCACAAAAACGAACTACAATGGAGCCTATGGGCCAATGGGTATATAGAGCTTTAGGCGTATGGGGCTTAAACCCTACACCCCTAAACCCCTAAACCCTCAAACCCCTTTAGGGATTTACGGTGGAAGGCTGGCCCTAACCCTAAACCCTAAACCCTAAACCCTAAACCCTAAACCCACCCCTAAACCCTAAACCCTAAACCCTAAACCCTAAACTCAGGGCCTCCGAGGTCGGGCTCGAGGACTTGGGGAGCTTGGGAGGCGAAAGGCTCTGTAGAAGGTTCAGGGTTTAGGTTTAAAGGGGTTAGGGTTTTAGGGTTTAGGGGTTTAGGGGTTTAGGGTTTAGGGTTTAGGGTTTAAAGTAAAAGCCAGAAAGTTGGAATATGGTTATCCTAAACCCGTTATGGTAAATTATAAGGTATCCTACCCTGAAACCATATTCCAACTTTCTGGAGTTCCCTGTAGGGAGTTCCCTAAGGCTCCAGTTAATGTAGGACCCTGATTCAGAAACCCTAGGCTTCTTAAGCAGGCTCCTACGTTACCCAAATCACAAGTTACTTGGGTACATGCTATGTGCTAAGTAACCTACAAGTTGGGAGTTTCCGAAAATCAGGGGACCCAAGTATAGTACCCTAAATGGTAGGATCCTTATTATAAGGACCCCAAATACAGTACCCCTAATTTTCGGAAGTTCTCATTTGAGTAACTGGAGCCCTTGGGGTTCATGTTGATTCCGCACCTCAAGATCCAGCATCCACTAGTCACTGGTAAAGCTCGCTACTCCTGCATCGGGATTGATGTATGCATGCATACATACATACTGCGGTATATATTCAAAATTCAACTCTAAGACATAGTATCACTATAACTCTTTCGGCGTCTACATTAGAAGCCGGAACAGCCGGGTATCGTCCTGGGTGACCCGAAGCGATGATCCGTGGGTTTTGAAGCCTCAATCAAGAGACCCCTCGGCCCCCCCAAGGGTCCAAAGGACCCAATAATTATGTACTCGGTTTTAGGATAGTAGTGATGTAGGTTAGGATTTTGGAGAGTATATGATTATTGGGTACTTGGACCCCTGCGGCCCCCGTGAACCTTTAAATCCTCAACAGCCCAGGTTCAGGAAGCCGCGATCGCATGGTGGTACTGTGAGGTTCCCTGAAATGTTTACTACAAAAGAACCCCTTGGTCAAATTATTCAAACCCTTCTCATATTCTTGATTCAGTAGTTTATTGGAATGAGGACCGGAAGCGGGCCCCGCATGCCGGCCCAACGCAGCTCTCTAAACCAGGCCAGCTTGGGGGACCCCCAAACCTTACACCCTACACCCACAATTCAGAAAAACCCATGCGCAAGTGCCTGCAGTCGCTTGGCCCGAATCCGCCGGACGAAACCACCCCGGCTCGATCCTACCTTACTTTAGTCTCTAGGGCGGAGGCTCTGGACTTAGAGGTGCATGGTTTGGGGTTTGGAGTTTAGGGTGCAGTGTTCAGGGCGTGGTTGCTGGGCCTAGTTTGTTGTCTTGAGGTTTGGGCCTAGTTTGTGGTTTTGGGGTTTCGCGTTTGGGCCGTATAGGGTGGATCGGCTGGGCTCAGCTGTAAATAGGCTGCAAAAAGTTGGTCTCGGGCGTCAAACGCGTGAATCAAGTTCCCCGCTTGATCACCACCCACATAATAAATCCACGTTTCTGAAAATCCGCCTTTAAAGCCCAGTTTGGATGAGCAGGAAGAGTCTAAGAAAAGGAGCAAGAAAAAGAGCAGGAGCAAGAGCAGGGATAATGGTAAGAACAGGAGCAAAAGCAAGAGCAAGAGACGCAGCAGGAGCAGGAGCAAAAGCAAGAGCTGGAGCAAGAGCGGAAACCACAGCAAGATCCCCGAAAAGTGACAGTGCGGATAAACGGCCCCGCCTAAGAATGAAAACAGTGTTCGATTCTTTCTTGCGAAGGAGGGGCGGGAGGGGGGGGGAGGGCGGTTAATATTGGGGGGGAAGGGGTTATGCAGAAGCCCAAGCGAAAATGAAAACTGCAGCTTCCAAACCCAATACAAGGTCTAGGGGACCTGGTGTGGAAGCAGAAACTTGACAGCTTGCGACTTGGGTTTATCAGGTTCGCGGGGTCAGGTGGCGCATGGGCTCAGAGCAACATAGGAAGACTGCCGTGCCGCGCTTTGTTGGGGCTGAGAACTAGCACGACATGCTGAATGAGAATAGAATCCCGTTGATGCTCCCTGACAATAAACCTGGTCCAGTTGATGGCTCGCTGTAGGGACGTGGTCACTATCAAGGCGCGAACCCTCAAACTTAAATCCATAAGCAATATCTGATTGCTGCGTGGCACCTTGATCTCCACGGCAACTCCGGCATTGATCACATGACAATCCTCGATGTTAACGTCTTGCACCTCGGACGTGACCCTTTCGAGGATGAACGAGGATGAACGACCGAAGAGATCAATCTTAAACACCCCCAAATCCCCTGAACCCTGGTTGGCTTCAACGAACAATGGAGATCCGTCAACATCGCGACGTGTGCACTCTACCTCGCCACGTCCGACAAAAGGTTTTAGGGGTGACTGAAGCTATTCTCCTCCCGGTGAGCGGCTTAACAATTTGGTTGACAATGTCTCTTAATCATGCGATTTATGTCTGCAGAACGTGGAATGATACGAAACGCAGCAACAGCATGTAAACTCTTCGCAAAAGCGCAATAATTAAGGGCAATGCTCTTGCCAGACAAATATGCCAGCTGTTAATGTTAATGGAGCTCCGGGATCAGTATAGGAAGTCGTTTCCGAAGGGTTTAGAATTTAGGGGTTTAAGGTTTAGGGCTTTGGGGTGCAGGAATACCACAAACCCCTGAGTACCTTCAAACTCTCTTCACCTGTATCAAATCTGGTCATACAAGATAACATGGGGGCTTCTTAAGCTTCGGAGATACTTTATTTCGGGTTCTTTCTCTGAGGGTCCTACGGTTTAGAGTTCATACTGAGGCCAACTATTTTATGAATATCCTGTACGAAACGAATCCGCTTTGCCATCTCGATACCTCCGCAACTCACCCCACCACAACATCAAGTACAGCGATGTCTCTGCCTCTGCCTCACACGATAGCAAAGCTCCAGGAGCTTTCATGTGCTGCAGTCGCGGAAGCTCATCTCTGTTGCCACATAGTTATGATGGCGTCTTCCGACCACACCCGGCCCACGTCCCTTCCTGGAAGCCTGCAAACAGGCGTCAGATGTTCACCATCGATAGCCCTGCAAGCCTGGACCAGGACTCCACTGACCATTGCGATACTCCGGACCCTGAGACGTGCGGAAGCGAATGATTAACGCGTCGTTACCTCCTGATGTAAGCATGCGACAACAACTTTCTTCTCCGCGTGCAGAGAAAGCGCTGCCGTTTGGGTCCTAATGGTCAAGCAAGCGATGACGGCTTAGTGTGAGAGTTTAGGTTAGGGTTTAGGGGTATTGATGTCAAGCCCTAAACCCTGAACCCGAATCTCTAGCTACCAGCTACCAACTCGCTGGGCTTCATTATGCTTAATCTTTCTGCCCACAAACGAACCTAGCACCCCAGACAAGACCGCTGTTGGAAAGCCATCAGAAACCGAAAATCTAAACTAAACCCTGAACCTTATGACTCTAAACCCTAAATCTTAATCTTTAAACCCAAAACCTTTGACCTTAATCCGGAGGTTCCCGCAAGCCTCTGCAATGTTCCTTTTTTCGGAACAGGGCGAACAATGTTACATAGAATAGGGTTTTGGGATGTGTGCGTATATATCTTGATATATATATATATATATATAGATATACATATAGTAAATACCTGATTGAGTTGATAAAACAAACAGTGATTGAATAAGTGAACTAAAAAACAAAGAGAGAGAGAGAGAGAGAGAGAGAGAGAGTACTACTAGTTGCTCAATCCTTCTTAGTAGCAGCTTGGTTGCCTACCACCCTTGTCCTTTTAGAAACAATAGACAGAGCCCTATACCTATACCCCTTTTTAAGAAGGTCTACTCGCCGGTCTGTTCATTCCTCTGGGGGAACCATGATCAAGGACAAGGCTGTTGCCTACTCGGAGCACCTTGTACAATCACCTCGACCGGACCTTCGGACAATTAGGCACGCGCGGAGGGAAAGGGAGAAAGAAGACATCTATCCGTCTTTACTGTAGCATCTATCCGTCTTCACTGTAGCATCTTATGGAATATGATAGCTTATCATCGATTCTGATAGTATACTATAGCGGATTATGAAAGTATATGAAGAACCTGGGTGGGGCAGGTCTCTAAACTAGGGTCCCTTTTTCGGGACCCAAAAGAAAGCGGCACCCTTGTAAGAAGAACCCGAAAGGGAAACCAATTTAGAGAACTACCTATCTGGGTGGTTGTCAAAATTAGGGTCCCTTTTTGGGTACCCCAAATGTTAGGTGCCGTACTATAATAGGGACCAAAAAAGGGACCATAATTTTGACGACCACCTATCTTTTTCCTCGAACTGAAATGTTCAGCCTCGGGATGTGACTCTGGTTTGGCGTAGCAGACTAACCTAAACCCTAGTTTTGCAGCCAGGTGTACCCACAGACTCCATAGTCGTTCCTTCTTGGGATTACCTCATATATTATAGGATGCTAGATATCAACCACAAAAATGAACCACAATCGAGCCTATACTATACCCCAAACCCTAAACCCTATACCCAAAACCCTAAACGCCACTAAAGAAAATACCGAGGAGGCGACCCCTCCGGACATTTCCGAGCCAATGGTGAAAGCTGCAGCATTGCAGCCCCTGGAAACAGGTCTTGTGATGGTAGTGTAGGTGCCTTTATCACTAGAATAGTGTTTTGGGGGTTCCGTATTATGATTATGGTATAATATAACACCCCCGAGGTTTAGGGGTTTAGGGTTTAGGGGTTTAGGGTTTAGGGTGGAAAAAGACTTGGGGACTCTGGAAAGCCTGCAGAAACCCACCTCATTGGAGGGGTATGTGCAGCCATAAGGGGCTGAGGCAAAGACTTAGAGGGAACTCCAGAAAGTTGGAATATGGTTTCAGGGTAGGATACCTTATAATTTACCATAAAGGGTTTAGGATAATCATATTCCAACTTTCTGGCTTTTACCTTACGGTCTTGGAGTTCAGGATCGCTGCAAAAGAACTCTCCACCTACAACACGGATGACTGGAATGTCAGGCATTTACTGCAGGCCGGGATATCTATTCTTCAGTCGATCTCTGAATATGGGAACAACAACGCTGAAACCGTGCAAACAGGCTGAAGGCTTGTGACTACCATGGTTGCTCATCGCATTATGGTTGTACATATGTATATTGGCATTACTTGTTGCTGTCTACTGAACCTTGATAGGGTCGACGAAAGGAAGTTTGAGATGTTAGCTGTGAAGGACTTTGGCGGGCGGTGGGTTCACACGCTCCGGGCTGAACATGGCAAACAAAAGCTTCATTCTGGTTCAAAGTCAGTTTGCGCAGAGTTCGACATGGACCCTGAACCGAACGCCACGGACCGAACGAGAAGCCCAACGTCCCACGCACGGGTATCGTCCGGAACCACAATCGTAAAGGCCGCAAGACTGACCTCCAAGCCTTACACCCTTTGAATGCCCATGTATCTATCCTATAAGCCCTACATGTCCAACCCCTGCGAACAAAAGGCCGCCTGGTTTGTCGGACGGTCACCCGTCGGATGGTGATATTTTCCGAAGCCACTGCGAGCCGTCGCCTCATGGTACAAAGGCAATCGGAAACGAGGTCTTCCGTGCCTTGGGACGTTTCATGTTTTTGGCATAACATGTTGCATGCAGCTTGAAGTTCGATCTACCCCACCCATGTCTCCCCATCATCGGTGCCTGGTCTCCTCATACAGTCTACCCGCGTTCGAGCATTAGCAGCAGGCATCTCCAAAGGTTCAGATGGCTAGGAACACTGGCAGCTGAGATGTCTGCTTCTTAATGATCTGCTATCCCAGAAGACTCACACAGTCGCCAATTTTAGCAGCCCGAAGCCAGACGCGGTCTGGCGACATGTTGCATATGGAACGGAACAGCCCGGTGATGCTGCAAGTATATAGTCCCTTAGTTCCATAGTAAGGGACTAAGGGAAACTTGGAACTGCAAATTTGCTACAGGATTCCATGATGTTGCTTGGAATCCAGAGCCTTCGTGGCATGATGCCTGCAAAACGTCTTTAGGTTTGGAGGTTTCAGGTTCACGGAGAACCAACGGGCGGTTGGAATGGATATCCACATATCCGTTAAACAGAAAGTGGATCAGACAGCCCAATCAACAAGAAGCTGACATGACGATCGTCTCCGTTGTCAAGTAGCTTCGATCTTGGACTACCTTGGAGGATCCGCTATATAGACAAGTACACTTAAACACGAACTACAATGGAGACTATAGGTTTCAAGGCCTTCCAGAGAAGACCTGGAAGGCATCATTCAAAAATTGAGCGGGTTCATGATCTCACTCTGCTTCCCGAGGCTTCCGTGCAATCTTCAACGCGGACTGTAGGCACTGTAGCACACTGAGGAACAAGTCGAACACCAACATTGCCATTGACATCATGATTCCAAACCACGCGTACCTTGCATGCACGCATCGACAGCCCGTCTACAGCGTCCGTAACATTTTACAGGTGCACTTGCGATTGAAGCCACGTCAAAAACATCTTCGGATGGTAGGCGCTAGAACTGAAAACCCAATAAAATATTAAACCCTAAACTAAGCCCTAAACCTTACCCTAAACATCAATTATAAAAGCCGTAAACCCTAAACTAGACCCTAAACCCTAAACCGTGACAGGTTGAAAGCCTGGGTGCCAGGATGCCCCGAAATAGACCTCGGCACTCAGCAGATTGAAAGTGATTTATAGGATTTAGAACGAAATCTATGGTCTATGGTTTAGGGTTTAGGATTTAGAACGAAATGGGAGTTTCTGAAAAATATGGGTACCGTATTCTGGGTCCCTTATCATAAGGATCCTAGTATTTAGCTATTCGGGTCCCCTATCTTCGGAAACTCCCAAATCTATGGCTTAGGGTTTAGGGTTTAAGGTGGCAAAGTCACTGAAACAGTCCGTTTTGACCCAACACTCGTTGAAACATCTGTTGCATTGCTAAGTTTGGGGGTGCCATGTCGCGGCGGTGTGAAAGACCTGTATAGGATTTTGGGTACCCGATAATAAGACACTTAAATATTCAAAGGAAGAACATAGTCAATTACTCCGACTCCTATAGTGTGTTGCTGCGGGGTTGAGAAGCTGAGCGACTAAGTCCACGCGGCCGATGACCAGCTCCGGAATGTCTTCGACGACTCGAAGCCCCATGTCGAGAGGAGTGCGGTCGGTATTGAGCCTGTCGACGTCTTCCTCTGACCTGCAAGCCGGAGCAAGCATGTGTCATGGCAGTCGTGCAAGACTATGATGAGAAGTGCTGAGTGGACATGAACCCTTGTTGCTGCAACTTGCTGCAGGCAGAAGATGAACTAGCTGGGATCTTGTATGGCCAAGCGTCAAATTGAAAGCGACTAAGACGTTGAAAACTGGAAGCTCGAAGGACTCGATCGCCTGCATGCGGAACAACGCGATTGTAACACAACGTGTAGGTCCAAAAAATCATCCTTCAGCAAAGCGTCAAAGAAGCCTTGAAAACAACAATACTATCGAGCTAGAAACCCTAGTTTCCAGTCTATGTCGGTGGCTTATGAAACTTTCACGGCTGAGGGTGCCTGGCCTCCTGGCCTTGAAATGGTATGAACACGAACCCTGCACTCAGCGCCCACGCAGTCACTGGCAGCAGAGGGCACAGCAACGCCATTGCCAACACCGCCCCACTGCCACCTGCAAATCCTGGGCTTTTGAGTAACAGTATATACTTTATTTCATACTAGTTTCTTTAAGACAAAAGAACTGTAGACTACCGAGTCAAGGTTATAAGAGCTACCGTCATAGTTATTGGCCACAGCAAGGTGCTGAATGCTATTCATGTCTCGTCGACGGCTGCGGCGTGGGAGATCCGGAACGTTCTCGCCTTCTGCGCCTGGACATGCAGGGCCACCCCGCGCTTCGACAAGAACTCCGCAGCTCGGTCGACAGCCTCCAGCCGATCCAACAGCATCGATGTTTGCCCAGCCCCAGCGCTCTCCTGGTCCTCGTCGCTCAAGCCGTAAGTTTCGACCAAGGATTGAACCTCTGGTCTTGCGAGTTCCAATCGAGACTCAAGCCGCATGGCCAGCGCCAGCAACAAAGTCTTGACGCCTCGGTCGTCCTCCTCCACAATCCCCATCTCTGCATCGTCGTCCCAAGGAATGATCGACAGGTGTCTCATGGACCCCAACAGACCTCCGCCATTTAGAACGTAGGCGATTCCCAATATCTCACAGACAGGTCCAGAAGCTGGTTGTGCTGATCGTGCCGCAACGCCGTGGAATAGTCGCTCGGCAGCTCGCTTCCAGCCTTCTCCCAAACTGGAATCGAAGTCTCCGTTCGCGAGGCCAGCATGCGCATGACTTCGTACTTGCCCGCCATGAAGGAGTACACCGAGTTGGCCAAAGGAGTCGGTCGTAAACAAGCTAGCCACCACAGGAATGTGAATGTGAAGCGCTCCGCATACTCAACTGTTGCAGACTTCGATGCCAAAAGTGCCGCAGGCAAAGCTTGCCCAACACACAAATCAACTAGATCACGGCTTTCTGCGCATGCTGACAACTTCTTCAGAAGCCTAAACAGAAGCCTAAACGCGATTGTGCCAGGTGCCTGAATAACAAGCTCAACTGGGAGAATGCACTGCATCACGAAGGGTTCTAGGTGTTCCCTTTGTAGGAATGCTCTGCATCTCCACAAAGGTGCTGCTGGCATAGTCCCACTTGTAGACCTTGGAGTCAATGTTGTAGGAACCGCCATCGAAGTAATTGGCCACCGCGAGGTGCTCAATGCCATCGATGGAGAAGGCCTCCCAACCCGTAGCGTTGTTCGTTGGAATGCTCTGCATCTCCAAAAAAGCCCTACTCGCATTATCCCATTTGAAGACCTTGGAGACGTCGGTGTTGATGGAAACTGCAAGGTATTGAATGCTAGCTATGGAGAAGGACTTCCATCGCTAGGCTCCATCAGTAGGAATGGCCTGCAGCTCCACGAAGCTGTAGCTTTGACACACCACTACCCAGGCCAAGCTCAGAAGCACGGCAGGCGACGAGAAGCATGGCATTATGAGCCTCTTTACCGGCCCAATCGACGGGCAGCTGAATCATCTACTTCTCGAGCCACCAAACTATTTTCAGCGCCCAAGCCATGTCGCCCATGACGATCACGACCTTCCTGACTAACTGATGCAACTGAGTTCAAAGAATTGGTGCTGGTCGTGGGCGTGGTGGCGGTGCTGCCGTGGCAGTGCTGGCTGTGGTAGCAGTGAGCCATACTCAGTGTCCCACAGTAGTCGTCGTCGTCCTTCACATCCCTGCTGTGGTGCTTACTCATACTTGTGCCAAGTCGATATTTACTAGCGATGCTGGCTGGCCAAGGCCACAACATCGCCAAACGGCGCGAACAAAGCTATTCATCATGTGGGGTCGAGGCCAATTTCATCTTGAAAGCCTTCACTGCGAAACCGACGGACCCAAGCGCCCAGCGCTGCCGAAACCGCCGCTTCAGTGCCGGGCCCCCGCGCCCAAAGCAGTCCCATCCACTCTTGATGGCCACTGCATCGTCCCCGGTCTGGAAGTAGCTATCCTCCACAGCCAGGGCAAGAGGTCTGAGGCACAGCGAACCCAAACCCAATAATCCGCAAACTTACGGTAAGCAAGTAGACAAGGCTAGTCCAATAACTGTATAAGCCCTCAAGTCCGGGCAACCGAAAGTTCGTAACCCTATAAATCCTCAACCCTTCATTGGTGCCCAGTCTGATGCCATCGGGCTGGGATCTAGGAGGGGCAAAAGTCTGGGAATGCATGTGGGAGTGCCCAAGCACGGGTTTGGACTCATCTTACTGTCTCTTTCAGAGTCCTTTGAGGGATCCTTGGCCCCGGTCTAAACCTTGAACTCCCCTAAACCTTCCAATCCAGGCCCTGAATCCTAATCCGCAAAAGGCCCTAACCTGAACTGGCATTTGCAGAGCTGCAGCTTGGAGGTTTAGGGTTTAGGGTTTTTAGGGTTTATCGGTTGGGCTACTTAAAGGAAGATCGGACTTAGCAACTGGGGTTAGGAATAAGGTAACTCTAGGTGAAACTACTTGTAACTCCAATTCAGGTACTTATATCCTTACTTGCTGAGCTCCATGACCCTCCAAGCAAGCACTGAAACCTGAATCACGACAGGCAATCCTCGATCAGCACATGCCGGCTGGAATCTGGATTCACGCCGTCCGTGTTGGTCGGCCGAATCAGAGGGTCCCACCTGTTCAAGGTTTACGGCCTAGCGCGTAGTATAGGGGCCTTAATTATTAGAATAGAGTTTTGGGGCCCATTATACTATAACTATAATAAGGAACCCCCAAGTAGTGTAGGCGATTATTTAAGCCCTTAGTGGGCAAAGGATGCCAGGTATATCTTAGCTTAGGGCTTGGCTCAGGGTACTCGACCCAGAGCTTCAAAAACCCCTTAATTAAGGAATATACCTTAAATCATAATAAGATCCCTATTATAATTTAAGGTCTATTCCTTAATTAAGGGGTTTTGGAGGCTCTGAAACCCTGTAACTTACTTCCCCAAAAAGCCACCGAAATCAAAGGTTAAACTTTCCGGTTCCTACTAAACCATGAGAACCCAAAAAGTTTAAAGGTTGGGTATTGGGGATCTTAAGTAACCTTCTTGACAGTTTCTTCAGGGTCAAGCGCTGCAAGCTTTTGGCTTCCACCTTTCAAGAGTTTCCGATAATTAGGTACGTTATTTGGGGTCCTTGTAATAAGGATCCTACTATTTAGGGTACTATATTCGGGTCCCCTATTTTCGGAAACTCCCTTTCCGTGCCGAAAGATTTCGGTTGGCCGGGGGATTGAGCTTGCGGTTAGGGCTTCGCGGCCTGAGCAAGCGATGCTGCACTGCAACTAGACTACGGTCTTGAGCTTCATGATAGGAATGTCATGAGTAAGCTGCCTATGACGTGCTAGTGTTGCTAATTTTTCAGACCTCCACATGCATCCCTCGACCCCGGAGGAAACAAGTCCTGAGGAGAGAACGGCTCAACGAGGATGGTGAGGTGCTGGACAACGACCTGCAGGGTTTGGCGGCTTGGTTTTTGAGGTTTCAGGGTTCCGTGCATGATGTCATGGATCCTTCTGTTGATGATATAAACCCTGCATTTCCCATAATAAGGAATATACCATGATTCCCACAATATAGGGTCCTTAAGGTCATGCAAGATTTATATCCTCAACCGTTCCCTTTACCCTCAACCCAAACTTGAACCCAGCCCTGAACGATCCGGACCCCTCGAACCTAAACCTCTTCAACTACAACCCTTCTCAAGGCAGGGTGGGGGGCCTCTTCTTCAAAGCCCAAGACCCAAACCTCAGACCCGAACCCCCAAACCCTAACCACAAAACTCAACTCCCCGACCCTCAACCTTAAACCTAACCCCGAAACCCTCAATGCTATCCAAGGGGCTACCGCTTGCAAGATTGATTGGTTGTTAGGGATAGGCTCCATAGTAGTTCCTTTTGCGGTTCATCTTTAGAATCCTTTCAGGTAACCCAAAAAGAAACTTCTATGGAGCCTCTGGGTAGGCTCTGAATGCCCTCCGAGCCCGCCACATGCTCGCAGTTCCAGAGGTGCACCGACCAGAATCCAGGGTTCCTTTCATGGGTTCTGGCTTCATGTGGGAGTCTCCGAAAATAAGGGGCCCTTACAGGCGGATCCTTATTGTAAGGACCCCAAGATAGGGTACCCCTAATTTTCGGAAACTCCCATGTAAGGCCTCTGGCCTTGTAGGGCCATCACAGTATACCAGTTCCCAGAACGGGGGTCTAAAGAGCTGAGCTTCAGGGACGTCCAAACACTCAACAGGGAAGACCTTACTCAAAGCTCCGCAAGCCTACAGCACCTCAATCCTAACCGCAACTGAAGTTTACAGCATCCGGACCTGAGCCACAAGAATAAAAGGCCAAAAGACCCAAAACCCTGAACCCAAGGATCCCGAATCCTAAGAATTATAAACCCTCGAACCTGAACACACAAAACCAAAAGACCTCACCGAAGCTGTACTTCCCCAAGCCTCCACCCCTTTAACCTACAAGGCCACGCACCCCTACCCCTGCGCAAGGCTGACATGAGGTACTCGGAAGCCTAGGAGCCTCACCACTGATACTAGAGATATGGGAGCTTCCGAAAATTAAGGGCACCTTATTTTGGGGTCCCTATCATAAGGATCCTACTATTTTAAGGTACCATATTAGGGTCCCCTATCTTCGGAAACCCCATATGGTTATGGGAGCACAAAACGCGACAGAACTACGAATTCGACTCTCTCTCTGGGCCGACTACGGTGGGCACCTCATCGACCGCTTCAACACCCCCCCCCCCCGGGGATGTCAGGAAAATTGGGGGGTACAGGTATTGTGTTTTAGGTTTAGGGGTTTAGGATCCTTGAGGGTTTCCTTTAAGGGTTTATAGGGGCTTAGGATCCTTCAAAGTTTCCTTTGAGGGTTTTAGGGGTTTAGGAGGGTTTAGGGGTTTAGGATCCTTCATTCCTACGCTTAGTCTTTTTGACGTTGGGGGGCCCCAAGGCTTAGAGCGTAGGAGTTGCTCCAGGATAGGGGTTCAGTTTTTTCAATGGCGCACCCCTAAAGCCTAAACCCTACACCCCTAAACCCTAAACCCCTAAACTCTAAACCCTAAACCCTATACCTCTAAACCCTAAACCCTATACCTCTAAACCCTAAACCCTATACGCCTAAACCCCTAAACTCTATACCCCTAAACCCCCAAACCCTATACCCCGAAACCCTAAACCCTAAACCCCTAAACCCCAGAGCCCGCACCTGATCGTCACATTGCGCAGAAGGATGCCCTGCAATGGAGGGCAGATTTCAGTCGGAGGTCTGCTGGGTCTGGTTAAATTTTAGGGTTAGGCTTAGCGTTTAGGGTTTAGGGTTGAGGGTTTAGGGTTGAGGGTTTAGCGTTTAGGGTTTAGGGTTTAGGGTTGAGGGTTTAGGGTTTAGGGTTGTTGGTTTAGGGTTTAGGGGGTCAAAGGCTCTCAGTTTCGGATTTGTTTATGTTTAGTGTTTCAGGGTTTACCTTAACCCGGAAGAACCTACATTGTTAATGACTTAGATAAGGAAATCATAATCAGGAACCCTCAAAAAGGTAGGTTGTTCGGGGTTAAGGTAGGGTTCAAGGTTCAGGGTATACGATCTTGGGGTCGAAGGTTCTCAGTTTGGAGCTCGCTCCACAAAAGGCTGAGTGTGCCTTTTACCATGAACTGCTGAATCCCACTCCCTGCACCCTATTATTGGGGCCTTAATCGTTAGAATAGGGTTTTGAGGCCCAGTACATTACATATAGTTATAAGAAGGATCCCCCAACATAGTATCGGTAATTATTAAGGCCCCTATAGTCAACCTTTTCGGCATCTCTGTCGAGACAGTCCGGTCGTCTGCATTCGGGTACGTAGGGTGATGAATGGCCCAGGCAGACTTGCAGTCTGTCGCTGGACCCGCCCCTTAAATGCGGGTTTTCAGCAATCTAGGGCACCATATTGTGCCATGTTTCAGGGTCCTTAGATTAAAGATGCTACTGTCCTGCTATGAAACTTTAGGGTCTATCTTAAGATCTCCTATTTCAGAAACTCTATACTCAGACTCTAGAGGACGCTCGAGGGATGTAGGATTTTTGATCCCCAAAACGCCGAACATCCTTTGCTTGAGGAATATGTCCGAAACTTCTCGAACTCCGCGGGCTTCAGGCTCCCTACTTAGAGCATCATGGGACTTAGTACGTAGGCTATAATTAGGGGTTATAAGTCCCCTAAGTGGGGCTATCCTAATTATAACCTACTTCTCACCTAACTTACCAAGTCCCATGATCCTCTAAGTAGAACCTTACTGAAGTCCTAAAACCCTAAACCCTAATGACCCTAAACTAAACCCTAATCCCAAAGCCCCTAAACCCTAAACCCCCTAAACCTGAAACCCTACCCTAAACCCTATAGACCCCTTTAAGGAACCCTATAGATCCCTTTAAGGAGCCTTACTTACTAAGTCCCATGATCCTCTAAGTAAACCCTAGACCCGAACGCCACACCGCAGCTGCCATGAAAACTGCAGAGAGCAGCAACTCTAAGGCTGAGAAGCCAAGGGCTCCTACCCAGAGCCTCCAAAACCCCTTAATTAAGGAATAGACCTTAAATTATATTCGGGATCTTATTATGACTTAAGGCATATTCCTTAATTAAGGAATAGACCTTAAATTATATTAGGGATCTTATTATGATTTAAGGCACATTCCTTAATTAAGGGGTTTTGGAGGCTCTGGGTAGTGTTGATGAAGCCTGGGGTTCCTTTAAAGGGATCTATATAAGGGTACCTGTAAGGGGCTCCTGCAAGGGATCTATAGGGGGTTTAGGGTTTAGGGTTGATGATATAAATCCTGCATTACCCATAAGAATAAGGAATATACGATAATTCCCATAGTTTAGGGGCCTTAAGGCAATGCAGGATTTATATCATCAACCGTAGTACGGGCCCGGAACCCCGGGATCCTTATATGGGAGTTTCCGAAACTTGGGGGTACCTATTTTGGGGGCCCTGAAAATCTGGATCCTACTATTTAGGGTACTATGTTAGGGTTCCCCATTTTCGGAAACTCCCATATAGCGACTATATACCCCATATGCCGAGAATTCCCCGTGAAGGGCCTATAAGGGTCCATGTTGAGGACCCATGACTTCTAAGCCTGAAGAGAAATGCTGTCCAACTCTGGCATACATCTTTATGAATACACAAGACAATACCTACGAAGGTAACACAACAGATAAATCCGTATGTACAGAGGAAAGGATATGACGAGGCTCCGGCAGCGGACTCTTGGAACTGCAGAACGTGGGGTCTTCCGAGAAGGGGCTCGCGCAGCCATCGCCTTTTTCAGGATTTCTGTTGGCTGTTTCAAGGTTTTGGGGGGTTTAAAAACCCTAAACCCTAAACCCTAAACCCCAAACCCTAAACCCTAAACAATTATTGGAGGGTAGGGTTTAGGGTTTCGGAGGGTTTGGGTTCCTTTAGAGTGGTCTTGAGGGGCGACTTGATGGGCTACTACAAAGGTTTGGGTTTAATGTAAGGACCTGATTTAAGAAATCTTGGGACTTTCCTGATTTAAGAAATCTTGGGACTTTGCAAGGGTTCCTTATATGAATCCTACCCTTATGGAGGGTTATAGGCCCAGGGTTTCTTAATCAGGTGGTTCCTCATTATAGCGTAATGTCAGATCTACGGTTTTTGCGGGCTTCCTGGGGGTTCAAGACGGGCGACTGTGGCTTTGGAGGTCTCGGGGTGTACCCCGACAGCCCCATGCCCCTGAATTAGGGAATATAGCTTACATCATACTTTGAGGCCCCTTATATTTCAAGGAGTACATTGCTTAAGTAGGGGGTATTGGGCTCTCTGGGTAGTGGCTTGGGAGGGGCTTGCGGGTTTTAATGAACAGCATAGGGTTTTGTATGGTCTTGTGGCTCATTACTTCAATTCTCGCATAGCAGTACAGTTATGATCCCTATTCTCATACGGCACCTAATCTTTAGGGTACGCGAAAAGGGACCCTAATTTTGACAACTACCCAAAATATATGGAGACTGCAAGGACATCCCCGAATGGTGGGCCCTGCCCATCACGCAAGCAAAGGAAGCGAGCTCTCCGGAACGGGACCGGCTGGGCGCGCGATTCCGTCTCATTAGGGCTCAGGGTTTGGCTTAGGGTTCGAGTGTTTAGCTACTTCGTTTTGAAGCACTATGAACCCTATCGAAATGCATGTAGCAACCCCAGACATTCCAACAGCCCAAACCATAATTGTCTACATCCCTCCCGCACAACCTTGAAAAGCACATTGGCATCAACAACATGCAACTGTTGCCGCGGAATCTGAGGCTCCAGACGTCCACCAATCCGCACCACGACCTCATCCGTCCAAGTTTTTGGATATGTTGATGGAGATTGCGGGTAAGTTTCCCCAATGATTGTCAGGGCTTTAGAAGGGATTAATGCAAACGAGATGTATGCGGCCTTCATTCAAAGGGCTGTCAACCGGTTCTAAGAGTGCGTTCGTAAATTTACCGGGAGCTAAAGGTTAACTGCTGAGAAAAATATATTGACATGATCTCAATGTAAAATTCATATGGATGATACGACGCACAAAAAACAAAAGGCAAGGTAACTCTAAATCCCAAAACCTACTTCGAAGCAAAGGATTGTCTACCGGCTAACGGAGTCGGACTTTGGCTTTCGAGCTGGAGCCTGCAGGACACTGTTTGAAGTGGGACTTTCACGGCGGTTGAGGGTTTAGGGTCGAGGGTTTAGGGTTTATAGGGCTTAGGGCTTAGGGTTTAGGGTTGAGGGTTTAGGGTTTGTAGGGCTTATAGGGTTTGTAGGGCTTAGGGTTTAGGGTTTAGGGTTGAGGGTTTAAGGTCTAGGGGGAGCTCGGAGGGCTGGTGCTGACTCTTTGGAGCTCTTTCCAACGGGAAGAGTGCCCCTGGAGGCTCTTCGTTTTGCATTTGGGGCTTAGGGTTTAGGGGCTTAGGGGCTTAGGGTTTAGGGTTTAGGGGCTTAGGGGCTTTGGGTTTAGGGTTTAGGGGCTTAGGGGCTTTGGGTTTAGGGTTATAGGGTCTAAGGTCTTCGGTTTGCGTTTGGGGCTTGCTGTTGAACTCCGAACCTCAAACAAGAGGTTCAGCTGTTTCGAGGCTACAACTTTAGGGATCAGGGTAAGATCCCAGGAAACGCCCTGTAAAGCCCCGTGGCACCCTGTCAAACCCCATAAAGGCCCGCGAAAGCCTGTCAACCCCTTGAATAAGCGCTTCCACACTTCATCTTCATGAACAAACCCTAGACCCCAGACCCAGTTCAACCCTTTACGACCCTAGTGCTTGAAGACTTGAGGTTGCAGGTTGTGTGGTCTTGGGTATCAGGCATCAAAAGCCAACACTGACTTGGGGCTTGTGGTTTAAGGGTTCGGGGTCTAGGATGGTCTATGGTTTAGAGGTGTTTCGTCTATCCTGTGCAATCACTCTGACTTGCTGCCAAGTCACCATCTATGGTCCCGTTTGCGCCGGTGATAGTTACATTTCTGACCTTGCACTGCAAGGCTTATGGCTCTGGTTTCGGGTTCCAGTAGATGTGGCTCTGGGCTGTGCAACGGCGTAAAGGATTCGGTGTCGATGACCCGGGGTGGGAAGAAGAGAAAATGGAGGGATTCGTGTCAGGTGAGGGGTGGCCCCAAACCCTAAAGCCATCAACCCTACCCCAAACTCGAATCCTAAACCCAAACCCTAAACCCTAAACTTTCCTAAACCCTTATCCCTAAACCCTGCCCTTCTTGACTTAACTGGGTTGTAGTTTTGGGGCTCTGAAAAGTAGTTATGAATAGGTACCTCTTTAGGAACCATAAGGTATAATTAAAAGTTTCCCAAATTGCCACCTAGTTAAGGGTGTTGAGGCTCTCGGGCCTTGGGCTTAGGGTCTCGGCTCTGGGTTTCGGGTTTATCGAGTGCAGGTGCCGCCAGCACAAATTTGGGCCCCAAAAAAGCACATAAGCAAAAAAATCTGGGAGGGATATCCCATATACATCCCCTTATAATGAAGCCCAATAAGGTAGGGATATCCCCATCAAATGCTTATGCTTATGTGCTTTTGGGTCCCTAACAAATACCAGAGACTCTTCGGCCGTCATGCTGCCGCGGGCTTCTTATGGCAGGGCCTGAAACCCTAAGGGTCCAAGTACCTAATTATCATATACTCTCCAAAATAGCTCCCTACATAACTACTACCCGAAAACCGAGTACCTAATTATTGGGTCCTTTGGACCCTTATTTTAATTAGGGAAAGATGTAGAACGGGGTTGGGGTATTTTGTGGTATAATCCTATGGGAACTACAAGGGAAAAATACTGCTAACTATTCAGATATCTACAAGCGGGTGTTCATGGAATAGGGGTTGCAGGTTCCCAAACCCAAAGTCCAAAAGTTTAGGGTTTAGGGGCGGCATAACCCTAAACCCTAAACCCTAGGGACTCGGTCTTGATTGCATTATGTTTTGTGGTCACTATATCCCAGCCTTGCTGCCCCATAGCAGCGGCTGATACCTTGCAGACTTGCAGTTTGGGGTTTAGGGGGTTCAGCTAGGGTTTGGGGTTTCTGGGCTTGAGGATACGAAGGGCATTGACTTTGGTGGGTGGGGAACACACCACGCCTCCTGGGAACAAGTTCTCAAAGTTTGAAGGGTCTGGGGCAGTTGAGGCTCATGCTATCATGCCCCAAAGCTAACATAGGGGCCTTAATAATTAGAATAGGGTTTTGGAGCCCACCAAAAAACTATAAATGTAATAAGGAACCCAAAAAATAGCAGAGGTAATGATTGAGGCCCCTATCTTATAGCCTATGAGCCCGAACTTCAGAGATGCAACCCCGATCCCAAAACCGCTTCTCCCTTTTCTCAGACCCTAAACCGCTAAGGCTCTGAGGACTCACATTTTGAGGGTTTTGGGTCCAAAGACCATAGTATACAAGGCTTTTGGGCCATTTTGAGCCTTAGGGTTACCACTACAGCAGAAAGCCTTTAATCCCAAAAGTCCTAAAGCCACAAACACTGAAACGTAACTCACAGATCCACAAACCTAGCAACCTCTCGAAAACCCTAAGGCCAAAACCCCCAAGGCCCTAAACCTACACGCTAAACGCCAAGCCTGTAAACATTAAACTCTCAACCCCCAAACCCATGAACCCCAAGCCCCCAGACCCTAGATGCCCCCAAAACCGCCCTAAAACCTAAACCCGAAGCCACCTAAAACCCCTACGCCCCTACGCCCCTAAACCCTAAACCCCTATATAAGCCCCTAAGCCCCTAAACCCTAAACCCCTACAAAGCCCCTAAGCCCCTAAACCCGAAACCCTAAGCCCCTAAACCCCTACAAAACCCCTAAGCCCCTAAACCCGAAACCCTAAGCCCCTAAGCCCCTAAACCCTAAGCCCCTAAGCCCCTAAACCCTAAACCCCTACAAAGCCCCTAAGCCCCTAAACACTAAACTCCCCCCCAAAAGAACGGCCTCGGGATGGCATCCCGAAGATCCGCCTGTGCTTTGAGGTAGCCCTGACAGGGAGGGCGATGGCTCCCGGGAGGGCTCTGGCTCAATGCTTCCCAGATCTTCGAATATCCCTTGATGAATTCATCTATCTATCTCTATATATATATATATAGAGAGAGAGATATGTAGATATACATATATATATATATATATATGTGTACTTAACCTTGTATATGGTTTAAGGAGCAGTTCTGAATTATGGGATATAACTTGATCAAGGAATATACCTGAATTAAGGTATAGCGGGATCCCAAATATGGTTCAGTCAGGGCAATTGGAAGATCTGGATTTAGAACAACACTCACTGCTCATTGAAGGTTCGGGGCCCTCGTATTCCCGAAACGGAAAGCCCTAACCTTAAACCGTAACAACCTAAACCTTACACCCAAAACATACGTAAGCGGTGTAAACCTAAGCCTCAACACCCTAAACCCAATAAACCCTTTCTAGGGCTACTATAAGCCATTTGAAAGGTAGGTTATTCCGAGTCAAGGTAAAGCCTAGACCTTGGTTTTGCTGAACATCCTAAGGAGGAGTGGCTGATCTTCCCTTGCAGCCTCGTCGGATCTCATTTTCAGCTCTGAACCCAAAGCGGGAAAATCAGAATCCAGCGTTTGATAACATAGAAGCCTAGCTAACTAAGAATATTATTCCTGCGGGCTCCTTATGACAACTCTACCATAACCCTACAATACCTTAACATCAACTTCTCCGCACCAAAGTTGTCCAGGAAACCTGAATATGTAGACTCGGATTAACTAGCAGCTTTGTCCCACCCTGGCCTGTCGAAGGACTTGCTGCGCAGAGAGGTCTGGACCTTCACAATGCGTTTCGAGTATAACATGTGCCTCTAAGACGTAAGGTGTTCCTCACTGGCATCCCCGTCATAACACCCAAATCATGTTCTCACCAATCTTTTTACAGAGCCCCTATGTACCCCCCATAACTTGGCACGAATCCCACCTCAGCCTCACATGTTGAAGGTTTACTGTGCAGATGCTGCAGATGCAGAGCTCCACGCCCCAGGAAGGAACAGCTGGCAAGACCTGAGGAGTTGAGCAAGGGGCAAATGGTTTAAGTGTTTAGGGTTATGTCGGGTTGTAAGCGTCTCGCGTGAGGAAAGATAGCTGAAAGCTTCGCCGGCTTTCAAGCAAGGATTCTACTACTTAGGAGTTGAAGGTCTATGTTAGATTCCCGTAGCTTCTGTTCCCATGCTCCCGGATAGCCCCCAAAAAAGCGGCTCTGTGTGTAGACGCACTGAAGCCCCGTCCTGGACCGCTTCGTCTGATGAACACACACACACACACACAATACCACTGAAACTACTCTCTACCCAAACCCCAATGTCAATGCCTAAGCCCTAAACCGCCTGTGCTTTGGGTTCCCAACGGGCAGCCGCGCACGGTCTGTGTCGGCCTTAAAGAGCTCTTCCAAAGGGATACTACGGGTGGTGTCTTTACGCTGTGTGCTTTGTTTCTGCCGGTGGACGCTGGACTTAAAGCATGGAGCTGGGATTGCATGGGTTTGAGCTGCAGGCAAGCATAGGGCAGCGCATGGGTCGTTGCTTACGAAACTACCGAAGCCCGCCCCAAACTCCACAAGAATGGCGCATGCCGTAAACCAAAAATTCAACTTCCCTGCTTCAGGCCGCCACTACAAGCACGGCGCCCTCCGACAGCCACAGTACCTCTGCGACCCCGTCGCTTACTCTCTCAACCAACATCCAAACCCAACAAGAAGCCCCGAACCCTAAACCCTAACCGATCTAGTCTCCACACTCCGGAACCTAAGCCCTTACTAAACTCTGAAACTCAAACCCTGAACCGAAGTAGCCCGAATCCTAACACATTGAGACACAGGCTTGAGACCCTCGAGCCAACCTTAACCCACCAACATCGCCACTTCAAACAGGGCAGAGGGTTCTTGAGTTGGTGGTCTCGGGGATTAAGGTCTACGTGTGCTTATGTTTTTCCCCTACACCCGAAATACGAACCTCAGGGCACTAGGTTGCTGGTGAGGTTGGCCGGGCCAATGTGCCAGGATCCGGGTCTCAGCGAAGCACAAACCGCTGCTTCTTGAGGTGGCTTGTTGTCTGGATGTTGAGATAGTTCGTATGAGGGCTTACGGTCCAGATGTTGAGGTAGTTCGTATGAGGGCTTACGCTCCGGATGTTGAGGTAGCTGTATGAGGGCTTAGGGTCTGGATGTTGAGGTAGTTCGTATGAAAGTTTAGGAGTGTATGGGTCTTCGGCTTCAGTGCTATGAGGGTTCTTCTCTTAATTAAGGTATATTGGAGTCTCATAGACCCTAAACCCTAAACCCTATAGATCCCTTAAAGGAACCTTAGGTATCTGGTGTCCAAAGGTTCGAAAAGGGTTTCTGTGAGTTGTCTCTAAGACTCTAAGGGTTCCACACTGTAGAAAGGCTCGATCTACAGGGTTTGGGATGTCGTTACAGCTTGAGAGTTCGGCCTGCAGCTCGGGAGTTTGGGATTTGAGGCTCGGGAGTTTGGCTTAAACCCCCCTGAACCCTAAACCCTAAAACCCTAAACCCTAAACCCCTAAACCCCTAAACCCCTAAACCCTTTAGGGTTCTGGGGTTCAGAGTTTCAGAAGTTAGGGTCGGTCTAGGCCCGCCGCCTCAGGTTCGGGATTTTTTGGACGTTGGGCCTTAGGACTACCTTAAACCACCAAACCCTACTTTTTTGTAGGTTCTAACTATAAACCCTAATATGCAAGTTATAGGGACCCTACCAAAAAGTAGGCTTTGGTAGGTTAAGGTAGGTTTCAGAGGCTGGGGCTCGGAAGTTTGGCAGCAACGTTCTGCTTTAGGGTTTGAAGTTTTGGTGCAGAGTTGGATTTTGGTTCTGTTTGTCCTGTAGCGGGGTGGTTTTGCGGGATCGCAACTTGGGCATTCGAGATTTCGTACTTTAAAGCACTGGACATGTGCCCCCAAGCTCCAACCAAAAGCGGTGACGAATCATGGGACTCTGCCCCGGCGTCTCGAGTTGGTTGTCCGCGATGCCGGGTTGCGGCCATCAGGGGCCATGCCGAATTATGTTGGGGGCTCGGGCAATTCGAAATAAGCCCCGCAACACCGCTCCACCCTGAAAGCAGCTCAAAACCATCAACCCCCCTGAGATCACGAAGCGCTGGCCGAACTCGAAATCCTAGAACCCTGAACCTAAACCCTAAACCCTGCACCCCTAAACCCCCAAACCAACCAATGCTTGTCAAGAGCCATGGCTCCACAGCCATCCTCGAGGTTCCTAAAGAGGGTTCAGCAGCGTGTTCTACAAGACACCTATCCGGGTATTATGTGGTTGAAAGGCTATACATATGGGATCGGATCAAGAGGCGTTTTGCAAGAGCTTTTCTATTATAAGAAGGGTTTGTCACCGTGTGCCTTTATGATAGAGTGAGTTCGACGTCCTCAAGACCCAATATTCCGACACGCCGAACTCTCCAACCCGAAAAAAACCTCTCCTTGAAACCACTATACAACCTCGGGACACCCTGTCATGTAAAAACCCTACAAAAAATAAAAACGCCGTATGAGCAAAGCCCCCAGAGCTGCTTAAGGGGGGAAGTGGGAGAGTCGATCCCATGTAATGTAATAGTCCTCCACTCTCCCTAACGCCTGAACCCGAGACCCCTGAACCCTAAAATGCTCGACTCTAACCCTATACACCCTAAGCCCTAAATCCTAAGCCCTAGGCCCTGAATCCCAAACTCTAGACCCGGAACCCTAAATCGGTTTCCTAGGTCCCCTGGCGGAACGACTAAGCGGCCGCCGCCCTTTTCGGCAAGCGCCGCCTGCCAAGGTTGGTGGTTCAACTGGGTCCCTTGAGAGGGCTTAGGGATTTAGGGTTGGGGATCTAGGGATGTAGGGTTTAGGAACGAAGGCTTTAGGGTTGAGGATTTAGGGGCTTAGGGTTCAGGGGTTTAGGGTTTAGTCGCTTGTCAGAGGTTATAGGGATTAGCGGTTTGGGGTGCGGGGCTTTGAGTTCAAGGTTATACGGTTCGGGGATGTGGCGTCAATCACCATGGGAGGCTTCATTTCCAGGAACTTGGTTGATGCTAAACAATAATAAGGGTGGTGTTCGAACCCGAAAATGGCGAAAGGGTTACTCCTGAGGACCTAGCGCAATTCAATGGTATTGGAGATCTGGGCGAAGTTCTTCAAGCAGAAATCAGCTCTAAGTTCGTTCGAGCTCTGGGATTCAAACATTGCGGGCAAGTGAGGTCGCAACGCGAAACCAACAAAATCTGGGCGGCGTTAGGGCCCATATCTCATGCTTATTGAGATCCGATTTTGCTCCCTGTGAAAGCCAGCCGAAGCCCTAAACCCTAACCCCGAAAACCCCTAGAACCCACAAGCCCTCCTAAACTTTAAACCCTGTTACCAAACCCTATTTTGGTGTAGGTTCTTCTTATTATGCACCCTGATATAATTCCATAGTCTCTTTCCAGGAACAAGATTTGTAGCCAGCTTTGCACCGCACGTAGGCATGCCCATCCACAGCGTGGGCAGACATCGTTAAGGGAGGTTTTCCTTGCAGATCTGGCTCACTCGCATAGGGTTGAGGAGGATTCCTTTGCACAATGGCCCTGCCCTGGTCAGTCACCGGCTGGATTCCCTGAGGCCAGCGACCGGTCTCGGCTTCGAACATGTCCATTGCTTGAAGCTTCGCGTCCTTTTCCAAGACCCAACAAAAAAAAAGTAGGTTTTGGTACCCCTAAACCCTAAACCCTAAACTCTAAATCCTAAACCCTAAACCCTAAGCCCTAAGCCCTAAGCCCTTAACCCTAAGCCCTAAGCCCTAAACCCTAAACCCTAAGCCCTAAACCCTAAACCCTAAGCCCTAAACCCTAAACCCTAAACCCCCAAAGCCCTGGAACTTCTAAGCCCCTCTCAGCCGGACCAGAGCTCGGTGCAGCGCGCGGGTGGCAGCTGCGAGCCTCACCGGGCGGGTGGGTAGGGCCAGGGGTGTTAGAGGGATTAAGGATTAGGATCTGTAGTCTAGGGTTTCCTAGAGTTCTGGGTTTAATGTCTATAGGGTTTCGGGCTTACTCACGGAAGTTGTCAAGACTCCGTGGACTGTGAATCCCTCAGTACTTGTGCCGGTCTGCCATCAGGGCGGCGGTGATAGGCCGGAGTTTAGGCTTTAGGGCTAGGGGGCATTTTGCGGATCTTGATTGAGCTTCACTGGGGTTTAGTAACTGGGTTTAGTTGCTATGGACTTTCATTGGGCTTTTTGTAGGATTCGACTTGCATGCTAATTGGGCTCCAACAGCACTACAATAGGTCTATTACGGAATTGAAAGGGCTTCAGAAAGTGATTGTGAAATCCTGCTTCTTTGGGAGGGGTACCCTCAACGACCAAGCCCCTGAACCTCACCTTTACCTACCAAAACTACTCTGTTGTAAGGCCCCTAGAAATTCCATAGTAGGGTTTTCGAACAAGAACCTACAAAACAGTAGGGTTTGGTAGGGTTTGGTAGTTGTTTAAGGGAGGGTTCTTGTAGGGATCCAGCCGACCAGAAATTTCCAGCTACTTGGGGTTAGGGCACCGAAGCAGCTTAGGTGTTGGGGTCCAGGGTTTAGGGGTTTAGGGGTTGAGGGTTTAGGGTTTAAGGTCCGGGGTTTAGGGCTTAGGGCTTAGGGCTTAGTAAGCCCTAGCTACCGTTGAAACCTCAGTGCTCTTGTGGGGATGAATGAAGATACCCATGCAACATACCCCAAGGCCTTATGGTTGCCATGATATGTCCTTTCAGATTCCCTTAATGGCACACTTTGGGCTGGGAGGACGGCTTCAGCTCTGAATCTTGCACATAAAACTGGGTTCTGATTAACTAACTACCGAGCTCAGTCCATGCTATTACCATAGTACGGAAAGCGAACGGATGATCTCACATCCAGCTTTTAATATAGCATCTTGGTCTGGGTAGTATCTTAACACCGATCTAGAAGCAACAGCCTCAAGAGCTCGAGACAGCATAAGGTTCAACCAACCTGTAAATCCAAAACACAACAAAACCCCCGAGTCGCCCTAGACCTATGCCTCAAAACCCTGCTGCGCAACAAAACAATGCATGCAGACCCCAACCTGAAACCCTATAACCGGGATACCTAAACCTCCGGGTTGCAAGGACCCCAATAGGCCGTCGACCCTCGCCCTGAACCCTAAACCCCCAACCCGCAAACCCTGAACCCCTAGACCGTAAACCGTACACCCCTAAACCCAAAAACCCTAAACCAATTAGACCCTGAACCCTAAACCCCCTAGCCCCTCAACCCTAAACACCTAAGAAATCCCTTTTGGGGCAAGCAGCCCCTCCGGACCAGTCTCCGCACCAAAGTCTGTCAGCGATACCTCCAGACCTTTGCGGGAATATGCTTGTACTTAGAGGCTCCTTAAAGGGATCTATAGGGGATCTATAAGGTTCCTTAAAAGGGTCTATAGGGTTTAGGGAGTACTAAGAGGATCATGGGACTTAGTAAGTAGGCTATAATCAGGGTGATAAGTCCCCTAACTGGGGTTATCCTAATTATCACCTACTTATAACCTTACTTACTAAGTCCCATGATCCTCCAAGTAGGCTTTAGGCTTTAGGGTTTGTTGGTGAGGTTCGTCCCAGGCTGAAATAATATACTCGACTTTCATTTTTCTTGGGGCTTCAACACAAATTATGTTGCTTCATGCAATTCTATCTATATAGGGTTTGGATGCTTCTCCGACGCCTCAATCCCAAACTTGAAAGCCCTAAACCCACACTGAAACCCAAACCCCAACCCAATCCCTAAACCCCAAACCCTAAACCCTAAACCCACGACCCTAAACCCTACACCCCTTAAAGCCCTAAATCGGCCAACCTTTGCCTTCTGGCAACCCTTCTAGTCAGAGCCGAACCAAAGGCCCGAGCATGAAGCGGTCACTAGCAGGAGCGCAAGAAAGACCTGCAGAAGGAAGTGGTTTCAGGTTTAGGGGTTTATGTTATACATAAGGTCCTAAGGTTTATAGGGGTTTATATAGGAGCCTAGGGTATAGGCTTTAAGGTCTGGGTTATATAGGGTTTAGGATTTGGGGTATTGGGTTTAGAGTTTAGGGTTTGGGGTTTAGGGTTTATGGTACCTGCAGAAGGAAGCCGAGACATTATGATTCAGAGTTCGTTCAGGATTTAGCGCAATGAAAGCTTCCTCATGACCAGGATGAGGTGTTGTGTATGTATGGAAGTTTCCGAAAATAGGGGACCCTAGTATAGTACCCTAAATAGTAGGGTCCTTATCAAAAGGGCCCCAAAATAAGGACCACTAAGAATGGCAGCTTCTGTCCGCACCGTGCCTGCGTGCACATCGTCCAGCAGGACGCCTGAACTTACTGTGGTTTAGGGTTCAAGGGTTTGGTTTAGTCGGCTTAGTGTTTAGGGCCTATAGGGCTTACACCCCAACTCCTAAACTCTGTCGAGAAAGCCGGCCCACGCGCGTAACTCTGATTCGCATCGTTGCGCTACGCTGGAACTTGTTCGGGGCAAGAACCAAACTGTCATTTAGGGTTTAGGATTTCGGGTTTAGGGTTTAGGGTTTAGGGTTGTTGTCATATTCCTAGAGGCTCCAAATATAGTACCATTAGGGAATTAGGTCTCCAAAGCCATGATATGGATGGTCTTTTGAGACCTAAATCCATAATGGTACTATATATGGAGCCTCAGGGATTGTTTGTGGCCCGGGGTTTGGGAATGTTGGCAATGTGAGCACCGATTCACCGCACAGAGTTGCAGTGCATGTTGCCTTTAGCCACCCGCAACCTCTTGTGACTGCCATGCGCGATCAGCAGAAACCAACAATCAAATCTGCCCCTGTCTCACTGCCCACGATCCCGATATTCGCTATGCTGATAACTTTGAGAATCCTCCTAAACCCTAAACCCTAAACCCTAAAACCCTAAACTCCTAAACCCCCAAACCCTACAGTAAACCCTAATCCCCAACACCTTCAAACCCGTAAGAGCTCTCCTCCTTGTGATGTACTCCGATCCCACCGGCCTCCGGACGCCTCCGCTGCCAGGAGCTTAGGGTTCGGCGTCTTTTAAAGGGGAAAAGGAGGGACCCTTAATGGGATCTATAGGGATTCCATAAGGGTATAGGGTTTAGGAGGTTTAGGAGGGACCCTTAATGGGCACCCCTACCCTATAATGGGCTATATAATGGGTATATAATCGCTAAATAAAGGGTATATACCTAGGGGTCTTGATTAAGGGTCCCTCCTTTTACCCTTGGAGTCTTTGGTAAAGAGTGCATGTACCCTAAACCCCTAAACCCTGAAGCCCGAAACCATGTCGGATTTCGGGTTTCGGTGTCAGGAAGTTGCCTGAAGACTCTTGGGTTCTAGGTCACTTTTCAGGCTTAGAGTTGAGATTTTGGGGGTTTAGGGTTCACAGTATCTCTGATTTATCTTCATACACGCGTCTTTGGGCCGTAAGAACCGTATGCTCGAACTCGTGGCTGACACCTTGCCCAGTCATCTCAGATTCGTCCTGAACCACGCTTCCCAGAATCACAAACTGAAACCTCAGCACTAAACCCTATAAGCCCCACACACCCAGGCCCTGAACCCCAAAGCCATCCAACTTTCGCCTCCTGAACACTGACTTCAGCCATCCAATCTGAAGTCCCACATCTCTCAAAGCCTTCTAAAACATCAACCCAACTCTCAATCCTTAGGGCGTCGACCCGAGTCCCAGTCGCAAGATCTAAACCAAAGATTTGAAACTTGAGACTCAGACCCACGTTCATGTAGACCCCTGATTCCTAACCTGCGGCCCCCTTTGTAGAGTTTAATATCAAGGTGCTTCACTCATCAGAAAGGACTCTCCGCCAAAAAGACCGCCAAGAGACCCGTCAGCAGTCGCCCTCACAAAACCCGAAACAGAGCCCCCCGCGATCAGCCATGAAGGCTTGCACGGAGTTTGGCCAGCAAGCGATGAGTATAGGCGCACCCTATCCTACTTGTCGGGTATCATGAGGAACTATAAAGGTTAACCCTTTTGGGTATATAGGGATTAAATAGGGACTATACTACCCAAAAAAAGTTAAAGGGTTACCTACTCTACCACTGGGTTATACCCTGAGGTCCTGGGCCTTGGGGTCCCACCTTGCGGGTTCAAGAGCTTCGATTGCCCCGGTTTAGGGGTTTAGGGTTTAGGGTTTAGGGTTTTAGGGTTTTAGGGTTTAGGGTTTAGGGTTTTAGGGTTTAGGGTTTAGGGTTTCGGATTGAGATGTCCTGTAGAAAGATCTACGGAGGCAGAGGGAACTTGTTGCAGCCTTTCGCAGAGGTTATGCTTGTGGTCTTGGAGCTGCATGCGTGCGTCGAAGATGGCGCGAAAAGTGGGGCTTCTAGGGGGGTACGTAAGGACAATTGATAATTAGGATGCAGGGTGACGGGACTGGGTTGAGTGCTCAGAGGTTATTCACAGAGCTCCTTCTTATAATTGTTCAGACCCCCAGGCAAAGATAGAAATTTTGCGGTTGGGTTCAGCGTCAATATATACACCATATGTCGCACATGTTCTGAATCCTCTGGAAGCCAAACGCTGCGGCACCGAAGCGCACTGCTACATGTGTATCTGGCTTTCCTGAACCCTGACGTTTAAGGCTTAGGGTGGTGTTGCTGGGGGTTGCCACAAGAGCAGTTTCAAGTAATGCTCCGGCAAAGCTTGCCAAAGAAGGGGATCCCTCGTGCGGCGCATCTCGTGAAAGCCACCGGGAGCAGGAAGAAGAAGACTCCAAAGGCTTAACTGAAACCTGCATTCCTCCCAACCCTAAACCCCCAAACCTAAACCCGTAAAACGCAAGCCCTGAACCCCTAAACCCTGCAAATCGTCACTGCTGTTGTCGATATCACCCTTAAACTCACGTCCTGCTGCTGATATTATGTGGTGCCGGCATTGGTTCCATCGACCTGCTCTTGATGTTAGTGTCACCGTGACTGCAAAGCATTAGCTCAGCATTACTTAAGTTTAAGCCGGTGAGCAACTCTACAGTCAGTTCACAAAACCCTGGGTTGAACGGTTGCCATCCATCTCGGGCGGCTTAGGCTTGGGATGAAACTTCGCAAAGTGGACGACACCCCACGACTGCGCAATGGCTCTGGCGGCTAGGCAGAAACAGCTCCTGCTTTGGGCTGCACTGAACATCTCCAAGTCGAAACGTCAAGCCGACGTACCCCTAAACCCCAAGACCCTCCGGCGGTTTTGAGGTGTTTAAGTGCAACTGTACACGGGTTCTAAACCAGCTTTGTCTGCCTCGAAAGGTGTTAAGGCCTCTACTCTAAAACAAACCCTAAACCCTAAACCCTAACCCACCGTCGAAGTCCTTGACCGGGAGCTTTTTGAAACCTCCGAGCCGGGCCGCCACGGCTTATTTTGGGCCCCCCCAAAGCCACACGCAAATAGGAGCAGCTCATCAAGGTCGCTGGAATCCCCCCCCCCCCCGAAAAGAGGCCCTGAAACCTTAAAGGCAGGATCGTCTTTTTGGGAACCCTAAACCCTAAACCCTTTTTGTAGTTTTTGGAGAGCCCGACGTCTCAGAAGGAGAGCTTCGACCCGGTACGTTCAGCTGCGGTGCCTCAGAAAGCTCGCAGGAAGGGTTTAGGGTTTTGCGTTTGGGGCTTAGGGCTTCGGGTTAATTTAGAGTTTATAGGGTCAAGAGTTTCCGGTTCACTATGGGTTTAGAGCTTTGGGCAAAAGCTGATGCAAAAGGGGTCTAATGCACAAAGGGTACTGGTCAAACCTAAGGGAAGTTGAAGGCTCAGAAAAACCTTTGGTGGTCTGGTGTGGAGCTTGGGGCTTGACTTGCTCCAAATGTCAGACTTCGAGATATGACAGTGACCAAACCGTAAACCCTTCTCCACAAAACCCAAACCCCGTGCCCCAAACCTCAAAACCTAACGCCTAACCTCCAAGACACTGAAGAGATGAGGTGTGGTGGTCGCGCGGACGCTAAACATGCTGCGCTCTCATGCATTCTGGTTGGGACGGATTTTAGGGTTTAAAGCCTAGGCTTTGGGCTCAGTGCAGTTCAAGGCATATGTTCAACGTCTGCACCATGGCATCTCTGAAGAGGCAGCCTGATGTTAATTCGCAGGTCACAGCACAGGGGCTGGGAGGTCTCAGCATTATCTGGCAAGGTCAGATTCGGCTTGGTCTTGGATTTGGGGTTTAGGGTTTACAGTTTATTCGGCTTGGTCAGAGGTTCCTCTGCTGGGAGGGATAGTGGCCGTCTGACACAGCCCAGTATCAGTACCTGAAGCCTCGCTTAAGCTGTACATAGACAAATGCCCAATATATAGTCACATATAGTCACACGCACAAACGGCATGGATCAAAGATATGGAGGGGCATCCCTATAAACCATAATTACTTGCGAGGTCCAGGCCCAGAAATCTCAACTTCTACTTTCGGGTGGTCTGGATGGTCGTAGGAACCCTGGCTGCATAAAACCGAAGGATACACTTGGACCAGAAAGCGAACAATCAAGCGCTGCTATACTGGCTACTACAACATGTCAGAATATAATTCGTTGTTCTATAACATGTATTCCGAGAAGGTCAGTGTGAGGGCTGTGAAAACAAAAAGCTACGTTTAAAGCAACCTTCAACCTCCCCACAGTCTGCGTCTGAGGTCATGTGCCGGACTGGCGGTCAACAGACGCACATTTTGGCAACCCAGTGATGTTGCAAGCACGTATTCTGAGTTTCGTTGGTCAGGCCCCCAACGGGACCCAGAGATGCAAAAGGATCAACATGAATGTCTTTGACATCCAGCTCTCCAACTGTATGCGACTCTACGCCGGAATTCCGTGATGGCAGTTAGACTGCGGTGCGAGATTCAAGCCTTTCCGGACAACTTCCGTGGATAGCCGCTGTTCCGGCGTGATCCAGGATGAAAAGTCTTCGGTCAGGCCCCCAACAGGACCCAGAGATGCAAGAGAATAAGCGCAAATGTCTTTGACATCCAGCTCTCCAAATGTATGCCACTCTACGCCAGAATTCCGCGATGACACTGAGCCTGCAGGGGGAGATTCGAGCGTTTCCGGGCAACTCCCGTGGATAGCCGTTGTTCCGGCGTGATCCAGGATGAAAAGTCTTCGTGAGGCCCCCAACAGGACCCAGAGATGCAAAAGGATCAACATGAATGTCTTTGACATCCAGCTCTCCAAATGTATGCGACTCTCCGCCAGAGATCCGTGATGACACTGAGCCAGCAGCGAGAGATTCAAGCGTTTTCGGGCAACTCCTGTGGACAGCCGTTGTTCCGACGTGATCCAGGATTGCTCTGAGTCACAGAGAAAAGACATGGCACATTGAGGTATACCTGTGAAGCCGGGCGATTATGTGACACCAAGGTGGGCGGAACGCCCGTGGTGTTGCAATTACGGTATGTAGTCTTGTCAAATCCCAGCTCTCGCAATGATGCTCTGAGTCTGATAATCGTACGAAGGCTTCCAAGAGAAGATGTGGAAATATCTTCACTAGGATGCCCAGTAACCTAGGAATAAAAAGGGCTCCCTTTTTGGTATTGGGTAACTTTATCAGGAACCGAGGACTACAAAAAGGGAATAAGGGTACTACTGGGCATCCTTGTGCAAGCTTCAGCAAAATCCGCGTGTTCATGATGTCACTCCGTGTCCACCGTTTTGCGTGCAATCTTCAATGCGGACTGTTGGCACTGTAGCAGGGTGCTCAGAAGCAAGTCGAAGACCAGCATCGCCATGGACATTAAGATTCCAAACCACGCGTACCTTGCATGCACGTGCCGAGGCCCGGCTGAAAGCGCTTGTGGACGGTTATTTACGGGTACACAGGCGATGAAGCCTTGTCAGAGCGAAAAGCATCTGAATAGTCTGAATTTACACCCAATAAGCCCCAAAAAAGCCCTACATACCCTAAAACGCTTGCAAACCTGTAAGCCCTAAACCTGCCACAAGTTGTAAACCGGGGTGCCAGGATCCACCGAAGTACACCTCGGCACTCGGCCAACACCCTCTGAGTATTGAAACGGTCGCAGGTTTAGGGCTTATTCCAGGGCTTAAGTAACTTTGTGTTTGTTTCCAGTTGAGCTTCCATGAGAAAATCCCTTGAGTCGCAACTTCGGGAACTGTTACTAGAGGGTGAGAAGCTGAGAGACTAAGTCCACGAAGCCGATGACGAGCTCTGGAATGTCTTCCACGACGCGGAGCCCCATGTTGAGAGGGATGCGGAAGGCATTCAGTCCTTCGACGTCCTTCTCTGACCTGTAGGAGGGTTTAGGGTTTAGGGCTTAGGCTTGCGCTAGGCTGGTGTGACGGTGAGAAGACGGCTGGACACACGAAAGGTTGTGATCAGTAGTGTTGTCCCGAGATGAACCCCGCTTATCAGCAACTTGCTCCACGACAGAACACAAAGAAGAGAGTGATTACATGGAGGGTTTCGGGTTTGGGAGAATAAACAATAGTATACTAACATATACATAAACTTACATAAGCCCTAAACCTAATGCTAAACATCTGGGCCGAGTGTCAAGTTCACAGCGACGAACACATTGAATATTGGAAGCTCTAGAGCTGCCGCTTGGTTCACAATCGCCTGTGCATGGGACACCAGGACAATGCCTCAGAGAGCCAGTGCTGTCCACCATATTGGCCACAGCGAGATGCTGAATGCCGTCCATGGAAAAGGCCGCCCAACCGCGAGCGCCTTTTGCGGGAATGCTCTGCATCTCCAAGAAGGTGCTGCTAGCATTGTCCCACTTGTAGACAACTGAGTTAAGGTTGTAGGAACTGCCGTCGTGGTGGTTGGTCACTGCGAGGTGCTGAATGCCGTCCATGGCGAAGGCTGCCAATCCGAGAGCGCCTTGTGTAGGAATGCTCTGCATCTCCAAGAAAGTGCTGTTGGCATCGTCCCATCTGTAAACCTTGGAGTTAATGTTGTTGGAACTGCCGTCATAGAAATTGGCCACTGCGAGGTGCTGAATGCCGTCAATAGAGAAGGCTGCCCAATCGAAAGCCCCTTTTGTGGGAATGCTCTGCATCTCCAAAAAAGTGCTTCTGACATTGTCCCACCTGTAGATCTTGGAGTCAGTGTTGTAGGAACTGCCGTCGTAGTGGTTGGCCACCACCAGGTGCTGAATGCCATCCATGTAAAAGGCTGTCGAACCGTAAGGTCGTTTCGTGGGAATGCGCTGGATCTCCAAGAAGGTGCTGTGCGCATCGTCCCACTTGTAGATCTTGCTGTCGGTGAAATGATTGGTCACTAGAAGGTATTGAATGCCTGCCATGGAGAAGGGCTCCCATGCCACAGCTCCGTTGGTAAGAATGTCCTGCAGCTCCACGAACCTGTAGCTTTGACACACCATTGCCCAGGCCAACACCAGAAACAGGACCGGGCGTGAGCAGCATGACATGATGAGCCGCTTTTCCGGCTCAGTTGGTCAGCAGCTACACGTTCTACTTCTCGAGCTGACAAAGCTATTCTCAGTGCCCAATCCATGTCGCCCAAGACCATCACGACCTTCCTGACTAACTGGTGCAAGTAAGTTCAAACAAGTGGCGCTGGTCGTGGTTGTGTTGCTGGTGGTGGAAGTGCTGGTGGTGGTAGCGGTGAGTCATAGTGACCAACAGTCGTCGTTGTCCTTCACGTCCCTGCTGCGGTTCTTGCTTAGACCCGTCCCGAATGGTTAAGTACCGTCATTGTTGGTGGCTGGGACATCACGAACGACGCAGAACCATGCTACTCACCCTCTGAAGGCTCAGGTGGGATCGAAGCAAATTTCAACTTTTCACCTCAAGCTCTTGTGCGTAACCCAAAGACCTAATCTCCCTCCACAACCGCCGCCTGAGTGCCGAGCCCCCGCACCCAAAGCAGTCCCATCCACTTGTCATGGCCACAGCATCGGCTAGCTATCCTGCACTGCCAAGGCAGCACATCTCCTGTAATTGAATTAAACGGAGCAAAGATTGATGATTTCTGCTGTAATTCGTTTCTTCTTCTTCTTAGGCTGGTGTGTTTACTACTGACAGAATTATAAGTTACACCTGATTTCCTTGGAAGTGAATTAATTTCGGTAATGGAAAGGCTTGTGTTTAAAGCTTAGGAAACTAGTTCACGGTTACCAACACATCCCAGACCCAATCTCACGGTTTCGTTCATCTCAAACCCAACAATCAGAAGACGTACTTCTCCAAACCATTGCTTCAGCCCGCAAGTCCAGGCAGCCGAAAGCTTATAACCCTTTGGTGCTGGCCACCGGAAGGGTATCGAGCTGGGATCTATGAGGGATAAGATTTGAGAAGGCGTGTGGGGGCGCAAGCCATGGTTCGGATTCTGTCACGCGTGGTCTGAAACCTCTGGCAGCCAAAGGCTGCGGCACCGCCTAGCGACATGGGCAGTTGCAAGTCATGCCTGCCTCAAACGGTGTCCGGGAAAGGGATCCCGTGTGCGGTATCTCGAGGCAGCACCGGGAGCATCAGGAAGAAGGGGACGCGAGGCTTAAGTGCAACCCTGCATTCCTACCAACCCTAAACCTAAGCCCTAAACCCTGAACCCCTGAGCCCTAAACCCCAAGAGCTTGAAAACTGAATCTCTAAACCCCTGAACCTTAAAACCTAGACCCCCAAAAACCTTAAACCCAATTCCTAGCAACCAAGTCTCTTCTTTTGGCTCGTGATGCACACGATCCTCTCTGCTTCGACCAAAAGATCTCATGAGCTTGTCCGCCGCTCGGATTTGGTAGTCTGAGGGTTTAGGGCTTAGGGCCTTTAGGGGTTTAGGATTTCGGGATTTCGAAGTCAGGCCTTCATACGAAGTGGCTTGCATACGGTAATAAGAATAGCTGCTTTCAACTCTGAGTCCACTTTACCAGAATCAACCCTCGAACCCTAGTAATATCATTGGAGCCCAAACCCTAAACCCTATGTTCGGGTTTGGGCTTCAGGGTATGTGGTTCAGGGCATAGTCTAGAGCCAGGGAAGTTTAATATTTTCGAAACTTCATGTGTGGGCTGAAAGCGGGGACCAGCTCGTGGCATTGCGGCTTCCGCGAGGCCCCTTTGCAGCTCTATAAAGGGGAAACGACATGCAAAGGACCATTCCCTCATCTTCAGGAGAACGGCTTACGTCCCTCCTTCAAACGCAATAACAAGTGCGGCGTGTTCCTCTACTCCTACGGCCATTGCAACTGCCTGTCTGTTCTGTTGTTGCCATTACTCTTGAACTCGTGATGCTCCGGCCGCCCTGCTGCTGATATTGCGAGTTGCCATCATTGACAGCTTTGCTGACCTCTCTTAATGTTCTTGTCACCGTCACGGCGAGACGTTAAATCAGGCTCACTTGGGCTTGAGTAGGTGAGCAACCCCAACCCACAGTTAAACGGTTGCCCTCCACGCGGTGGCTTAGCCTTAGGATGAAATCTCGAAAACTGGAACACTCCCCACGACTGCACAAGGGCTCTCGCGGCTAAGCAGAGACAACTCCTGCTTTGGCGTCCTCTGCAGGTGAAACTGCGTGGGCTGAACCCTCAACACCGTAAGCCGTTCTTGGGTAGTTTAAGGCCCAAAGGCCTCATCTCTAAACCGGCTTTCATAAGATCAATATAGGAGCCTTAATAATAATCTACGTAGGGGTTTGGGGCCCATTATACCATAATTAATCATAACAAGGAACGCCCAAAACAACGCGGTAATTATTTGAGGCCCTCGTAAGATCAAGCGTTCCGGCTTTTCCTTAACCCGGAAGGTTTTGAAAACCTCCGAGCCGGGCCACGGAGATAGTAGGGTCTCATAAGGTCCCTGGAATCCCTGTTAGGGTTTGGGGCTTAGGGTCTAGGATATGAAGGTCACCGAAGGTATCTAAGATATACTTCAGCAGAAGTTCGTGATAACCGGAGTCCCTCGAAGGGTTTAGGGTTTGGGCGAAACCCCAAAGGCAGGATCGGCTGGTTTTTTGCATTTTGGGGGGCCCTGCATCTCAGAAGGAGCAGTTGGCGATTCGACCGGGTGCATTCAGCTGCGGTGCCTCAAGGAGCTTACAAGAAGGGTTTAATAGGGTTTAGGATTTGGGCGTGGGGCTTCGAGCTTAGCTTCTGGCCACGAGAAGTCGGGTTATTATAAGGACCCCAAAACAAGGTACCCCTAATTTCGGAAACTCCCAGATTGCTCCAAGGGTCAGACATCGAAAGGCCAGAGTGGCTAAGCCCTGAAAGCCCTAAAGCCTTCGCCATACAGCCCCTTAAAAACCCTCAAACCTTAAAACACCTAAACTCTAAACCCTAAACCCTTAAAAGCCCTAAAGCCCTAAAACCCTAAACATATTTTACGCCCCAAACCTCACACCTAAAACCCTCAGAAGCTGAACAGACGACGAGGAGTCGTGGTCCCGCCGAAGTAGAACTTTGGGGGCTCTCAGACATTCTGGTTTAGACTTGCTTTAAGCTTTACAGCTCAGGGTCTGGTTTCAGTGAAGTTCAGGGCATAAACCCTTAAAAACCCTCAAACCTTAAAACACCTAAACTCTAAACCCTAAACCCTTAAAAGCCCTAAAGCCTTAAAACCCTAAACAAATCCTACGCCCCTTACGGCTCAGGGTCTGGTTTCAGGGCATAGTGTGTTGATGCTTTTTTGGTGTTCATGATTCCCTAGACCCTGAACCCTAAATCCTAAACCCCTACGTCTTAGTTGCAATGTTTACGCGGCGGCATCCATGATGAGACTGCCTGTTCTTGATGCACAAGTCACGGCAAGAGGGGCTTGGAGGATAATCAGCAAATTGCATCAAAGCTTTGACCGCCTGAATCAGCTTGGTCGCCTAAACATAAAAAAGGTTACTGTAAGGGCTAACAAAAAATCTCATGTTGTAGCTATGTACTAAACGGCTACGATCAGGGTTGATACTATATTATGATATACAACATACTGCAATTGCTACCTTTAAAGCGACCCCCCCCAAAGCTTCTACTACCCTACCCTACTACTACTACTACTACTACTACTACTACTACTACTACTACTACTACTACTACTACTACTACCCTACCCTACCCTACCCTACCCTACACTACCCAACTACCCTACCCTAAACCCTAAACCCGAAACCCTAAACCCGAAACCCTAAACCCCAAACCCTAAAGCTTCGTCGGATTCTGAGGTTCATGCGCAGGACTTACTCACCTCCGGCCGCAGAGGATACTCCTCACGGAGGTTGCCAGATGCAGGTTGAACGTACCCAGAGAGCCCTATTATCCCTTAATTAAGGGTTCCTTAAAGGGTTCTTTTTAGGGTTTAGGGTTTAGGGTACCCAGAGAGCCCAATACCCCTTAACTAAGGAGTATGCCTTGGGTTCCTTTAAGCGCTCCTTTACGGGATCTGTAGGGTTTGGGGTTTAGGGGACTCCAATATCCCATAATTAAGGAATATACCTTGTATTATGATGGGACCCCTAATATGGTTTAAGGCATATTCCTTAATTAAGGAATGTACCTTAAATTATAATGGGATGCCTAGTATGATTTAAGGCATATTCGTTAATTAAGGGATATTGGGTTCTCTGGGTAATACAGAGGCCTCAACAATTAGAATAGGGTTTTGGGGTCCATTATACTATAATTACAATAAGGAGCCCCCACAACAAGATAGGTAATTAAGGCCCCTATAGTAATACAGAGGCCTTGGAATGTGGCTGGGTTCGAACTACAGACTACATCCTTCAGACCTCTGAAACTGTTGTAGAGCCTACGATTAGGGCTTTGGCCTTTTAGACTTTCCTCTGAGCACGAGCCGCGAATCAAAGCACTATTCCAGGGCGGGAAACCGTAACCCGCGAAGCCTCAGCATGCGCTTCGTCTTCCTGATCACTGCCATCATCAACAGCAACTAGCAACAAAAGAAGCAAAAACAACGTCATCCTCACCATCATCATCAAAAGTCGTCATCACCATCATCATCTTCATCATCATCATCATGTTGTTATTCTTCTTCAGAACTCATTAGCAACAACACCAACATCAACATCAAGATCAACAACGTCCTCATCATCATCACCCCCATTGGTACCATCATCACCATCACCATCATCATCATTGGCATCATCACCATCTTGTTCATTGCAGCACACGAAGTCCTGAAGATAGAAAGGGCTGGTGTCGAGGCCGTCTGCGGCCTCAGGCGGAAAAGGTTCAGTGCTTCTTCTCCGATTTTAGGATCCGAACCTTAAACCGATCCGAACCCTCAAATTGAAACCTGAACCCCAAAACCCGAAACCCTACAAAGGTCTGGGGTGCCTAGACTCCGGCCTGCGTCGCCGATGTCTCGTCAATTTTCTCCGTTGTAGATCTCTTAGAGTCTTAGAGTCTCCCTAACCAGGGTTCGGTGGCTCGGCCTTCGACCCTTACTTTCAATAGCTCACAACTGCAAAGGCTCAACTCAGTCAGCCAGAGCTATAGGGGTTTAGGGTTTTGGGTTTTGCGCTTCTGCTGTAGGCGACGTAGCTTAATGGCTTCAATCAAGAGAGGGCGACCTACCCCTTATAGTCGCAGGTCACAGCACAGGGGCTGGGAGGTCTCAGCAAAATCTGGCAAGGCCAGATTCGGCTTGATCTTGGGTTTAGGGTTTATTCGGCTTGGTCACAGGTTCTTCTGCTGGGAGGGATGGTGGCCGTCTGACACAGCCCAGTATCAGTACCTGACGCTGTACATAGACACATGCCCACCATAAAACTCCAAGCGGAGTGGATCAAAGATATGGTGGGGCATCCCTATAAAACATATTACTTGCGAGGTCCAGGCCCAGAAATCTCAAATTCTACTTTCGTGTGGTCTGGATGGTCGTAGAGCAACCTTCAACCTTCCCACAGTGTGACTCTGAGGTCATGTGCCGTGACTGGCGGTCAACAGACGCACATTTTGGCAACCCAATGATGCTGCAAGCATGCATTCTGAGTTTCGTTGGTCAGGCCCCCAACAGGACCCAGAGATGCAAAAGGATCAACATGAATGTCTTTGACATCCAGCTCTCCAAGTGTATGCGACTCTACGCCAGAATTCCGTGATGACACTGAGCCAGCAGCGGGAGATTCAAGCGTTGTCGGGCAACTCCCGAGGATAGCCGTCGTTCCGGCGTGATCCAGGATGAAAAGTCTTCGGTCAGGCTTCCAAAAGCACACCGAAATGCAAGAGAATACACGTAAATGTCTTTGACATCCAGCAATGTATGCGACTCCACGCCGGAATTCCGTGATGGCAGTTAGACTGCGGCGCGAGATTCAAGCGTTTCCGGGCAACTCCCGTGGACAGCCGTTGTTCCGGCGTGATCCAGGATGAGAAGTCTTCGGTCAGGCCCCCAACAGGACCCAGAGATGCGAAGGGATGAACGTGAATGTCTTTGACATCCAGCTCTCCAACTGTATGCGACTGTACGCCAGAAATCCGTGATGACACTGAGCCAGCAGCGAGAGATTCAAGCGTTTTTGGGCAACTCCTGTGGACCACCGTTGTTCCGGCGTGATCCAGAATTGCTCTGAGAGTCACAGAGAAAAGAAATGGCACATTAAGGTATACCCTTGAAACCGGGTGATTATGTGACACCAACGTGGGCGGAACGCCCGTGGTGTTGCAAGTACTGCAAATCCCAGCTCTCGAAATGAAGCTCTGAGTCTGATAATCGTACGAAGGCTTCCAAGAGAAGATGTGGAAATATCTTCAAGCTTCAGCAAACTCCGCGTGTTCATGATGTCACTCCCTGTCCCGAGGCTTCCGTGCAATCTTCAACGCGGACTGTAGGCATTGTAGCATGACACTCAGGAGCAAGTCGAACACCAGCATTGCCATTGACATCAAAATTCCGAACCACGCGTACCTTGCATGCACGCATCGAAAGCATTCTTGAAGTGTTCGTAAAGGTCTACAGGTACGCTCCCGATCGAAAACATGTCAAAAACATCTGCGAATGGTAAGCCAAGCACAGAGAACCCGATATGAAGTAAAGCCTAAACCCGAATCCCTAAACTTTCCACCCTCAACTAAACCATAAAGCTTAAGCCGTCACAAGTTGAAAGCCTGGCTGCCAGGATCCCCCGAAGTAGACCTCGCCGTTTTAGGGTTTAGGGTTTGAGGTGGCAGAGTCGCTGAAACCGCTCATGCTTTGACCCAAGTCTGTGCACCCATTGAAGCATCTGTTGGATCGCTAAATTTGGGGTGCAATGTCGCGGTCTGAAAGACTAGAATAGCGCTTGGGGGTATCCGATAATAAGACACTTAAATACTCAAAGGAAGAACGTAGGCAATTACTCCGACTCCTATAGTGTGTTGCTGCGGGGTTGAGAAGCTGAGCGACTAAGTCCACGAGGCCGATGACGAGCTCCGGAATGTCTTCGACGACCCTGAGCCCCATGTTGAGAGGAGTGCGGTCTCTATTGAGCCGTTCGACGTCGTCCACTGACCTGCAAGCTTGAGCAAACATGGCAGTCGTGCAAGACTATGATGAGAAGTGCTGTGCGCACATGAACCCTTGTTGCTGCAACTTGCTACAGACAGAGGATGAAAACAAGGGTGCTTGTATGGCCAAGCGTCAAATTGAAAGCGACTAAGACGTTGAAAATTGGAAGCTCGAGAGCAGCCCCTGTGGACTCGATCGCCTGCATACGGAACAACGCGATTGTAACACAACGTGTATAGGTTTAAAAAAGCCTTCCGCAAAGCGTCAAAGAAGATTTGAAAACAACAATACTATCGAGCTAGAAACCCAAGTTTCCAGTCTATGTCGGTGGTGTATGAAACTTTCACAGCTGAGGGTGCCTGGCCTCCTGGCCTTGAAGTGGTAAGAACACGAACCCTGCAGCGAGCGCCCACGCAGTCACCGGCAGCAGAGGGCACAGCAAGGCCATTGCCAACACCGCCCCACTGTCACCTGCAAATCCTGGGCTTTTACGTAAGTAACCAGGGAGAAAAATATAAGCTTTGTTTCATAATAGTTCCTTTGAGAAAAACGTATTAGAGTATGGTACTCCAATGGCCCAGATTCCCACGAAGATGGTGGTCACGAGCAACACCGCCAGGAATGCAAAAAATGCCACGAAACGGTTCTGCAGCCGTGATGGCTGGTGCACTTGCAATCTTAAACGAAGAGCATAGAAGCCTGCGTTCCATCCCACCGTTGCACCGAAGGAAATGAGAGCAGCCACCCAGAGGATGTGGCTTAGAGCTTTGCAACCGATCGCCCCGCAGGCGAGCTGCTCCATTCTGTAGGCGTCGAAGTCGCCACAGTTGTCCAACTCCTTCGAGACGAAACAGCTTCCGTCGTCAACCTGGGAAGCATCAAGTGTCTGTCTGTATCCATCACCTACATGTGCAATCTCATCTCATCTCTTGGAATCTCGATTCCCTATAAACACCCAAACACACAATCATGAACCTCCCTGAACTTCTTTGGAACTTGCATTCGCTCGCCTCTGCATCGGCTTCGCACACCTTGTCCGCGACAAGAAATGCATGACAAGCTGGAAGCTCTATTGCTTCGGACGTGGACGGACACTGCGAGCGCTTCAATGGCATCAATGTGCCTGGGGTGCAGGGCTTACGGCTTCGGGCTCAAAGGGCGTACAGGGTCGGGTTCCGGCTTTATCAATGCGCCTGCACCGCACGGCGCTGAATAGCCAACCAAAATGGCGCGCTGATGCGCTTCCATCGCATAGAGCATCCTCGGCTGACCCGATGCTTCAATTAGCTTTCGGATGCATTCCTGTCATAGCAAAACAGTAAAGCAGCGTCAGCTGTACATTCTAAACGCTTGGCAGTTGTGCCAACTTTCCCGCAATGCAATGCTTGCTGCGTGCGGGCCAGGGGGCGTTGAAAGCAGGTTACCGGACTCCAGAAGCATCTTAATGGCCAGGATGTATGGAGACTTCTTCATTATTTGGCGAGCCCCAGAAAGTGATTCGGGATACCATTTCGAAGGAGCTTGAATTTGCGTAAGGAGGGTTGTTTGGGACTGTCCGCCCCGTGCTCCAGCAACTGCTGGGGTTGCTGAGGATGCTGTCGCTGCTGAACCTCGTGGTCTGTCAGAGTTGCTTGGACCATCTTCAATGGAAATTCCAAAGCTCTGCGGTGCTTCGCTGGATTGACGGGATCTCGAACCTGCTTGTTTGCACATTTTGGCCATGAAGACGGGCACCGATAAGGCAACCAGGTAGCCGCCCAGGGCGGCCAACGACCAAGATCTGACATCCTCGAACGCGAAGTCTGTTGCTGCAAGCAGGGACGGAGCCTCAGTGCGTGTGGTGGTGGAAGTGCCCGTGGTGGTGGAAGTGGCGGTGATGCTGCTGCTCACAGTGGTGGAGGTGGTGACGGTGGCCGTGGCAGTGGTGATGGTGGTTGCGCTACTGATCGTGGAGGTGGTTGTGGTGCTGGTCGCCCATATGTAGAGCTTGGAGTATACGGCAGCAGAACCGGCCCCATCTTGACGATTGGCAAGTGCGAGGTGCTGAATGCCGTCCATGGAGAACGCTGCCCAACCCCAAGCACCTACTGTACGAATGCTTTGCATCTCCAAGAAGGTGCTGCGCGTATCGTCCCATCTGTAAACCTTGGAGTCAAGGTTGTTGGAACTGCCATCGAAGTAATTGCCGACGGCGAGGTGCTGAATGCCGTCCATAGAGAACGCTGCCCAACCGGCGGGAGTGCCTTTTGTGGAGATGCTCTGCATCTCCAAGAAGGTGCTGCGCGTATCGTCCCACTTGTAGATCATGGAGTCAACATTGTGAGAACCAGCGCTATCCCTTTCATTGGCCACAGCGAGGTGCTGAATGCCGTCCATGGAGAAGGCTGTCCAACCGACAGCGCCTTTTGTGGGAATGCTCTGCATCTCCAAGAAGGTACTGCTGGCGTTGTCCCACTTGTAGACCTTGGAGTTAATGTTGTAGGAACTGCCGTCATAGCGATTGGCCACAGCGAGGTGCTGAATGCCGTCCATGGAGAAGGCTGCCCAACCGCGAGCAAAACTAGTAGGTATGCTCTGCATCTCCAAGAAGGTGCTGGTGGCATGGTCCCACTTGTAGATCGTGGAGTTAATGTTGCAAGAACTCCCATCGAAATGATTGGCCACGGCGAGGTGTTGAATGCTATCCATGGAGAAAGCTGCCCAACCCCAAGCACCTTGTGTAGGAATGCTCTGCATCTCCAAGAAGGTGCTGCGCGTATCGTCCCACTTGTAAACCTTGGAGTCAATGTTGTAGGAACTGCCATCGAAGGAATTGGCGATCGCGAGGTGCTGAATGCCGTCCATAGAGAAGGCTGTGGAACCCAAAGCACCTTGTGTAGGAATGCTCTGCATCTCCAAGAAGGTGCTCTGAGCATCGTCCCACTTGTAGATCTTGGAGTCGGCGAAGTGATTGCAAACAGCAATATATTGAATGCCTGCCATGGAGAAGGGCTCCCATTTCACAGCTCCGTTGGTAAAAATCTCCTGCAGCTCCACGAACTTGTAGCTTTGACACACCAATGCACAGGCAAGCCACAGAAAAAGGGCAGGCCGAGAGCAGCACATGATGAGCCTCGTTGCCGGCCCAATTGGCCGGCAGCTACATCTTCTACTTCTCGAGCTGACAAAGCTATTTCAGTGCCCAAACCATGTCGCGCCAAGATGATCACGACCTGTCTAACTACTTGGTACAAGCAAGTCCGATTCAGTGGTGCTGGTCGTAGTCGTGGTGGTGGTGCCGGTGGTGGCAGTGCTGGTGGTGGTAGCGGTCCTTCACATCGCTGTCGTGGTGCTTATTCATACTCGTCCCGAGTTGCTATGTACTGCCGCGGCAGTCTCAGGTCGTTGCGTAAGCCAAGTACCCAAGCTCCCGCCACAACCGCTGCTTCAGGGCTTAGCCCAACTTCAAACCCCAATTTTGCACAAGCTTAGGCCCGCACCCAACGCAGTCCCATACACTGTTCATGGCCACAGCATCGTCTAGCTATTCGGCGGTGCCAGGGTAGGACGTCGCCCAATAATAGTCAGGAAACCTAACGTACTGCTCCAAACAAGTGCTTCAGCCCGCATGTCCAGACAGAAAAAAGCTTATGACCCTCCCTCTGCTGCTGGCCAGTGGAAAGGTATCGAGCTGGGATCTAGGAGGGACAAGATCTGGGAAGGCATGTGGCTGCCCAAGCCATGGTAGGGATTCTGTCACGGGTGTTCTGAAACCTCTGGCAGCCAAAGGCTGCGGCACCGCCTAGCGACATGGGCAGTCACAAGTCATGCCCACCTCAAACATTGTCCGAGAAAGGGATCCCGTGTGCGGTATCTCGAGGCAGCACCGGGAGCATCAGGAAGAAGGGGTCGCGAGGCTTAAGTGAAACCCTGCATTCCTACCAACCCTAAACCCTAAGCCCTATACCCTGAGCCCCTGAGCCCTAAACCCAAGACCTTGAAAACTGAATCTCTAAACCCCTGAACCTTAAAACCTAGACCCCCAAAAACCTTAAACCCAATTCCTACCAACCAAGTCTCTTCTTTTGGCTCGTGATGCACACGATCCTCTCTGCTTCGACCAAAAGATCTCATGAGCTTGTCCGCCGCTCGGATTTGGTAGTCTGAGGGTCTAGGGCTTAGGGCCTTTGGGGGTTTAGGATGTCGGGATTTGGAAGTCAGGCCTTCATATGAAGTGGCTTGAATACGGTAACAAGAATAGCTGCTTTCAACTCTGAGTCCGCTTGACCAGAATCAACCCTCGAACCCTATTCATATCATTGGGAGCCCAAACCCCAAACCCTAAACTCTAAAATTGTCATTGGGAGCCCTGGGATACAAGGTTGAATGCTTCAGGCGTTCAGGCTTTAGGGGTCTCAAGGGTTTACGGCTTTAGGATTTAAAGGTAGTGTTCGGGTTTTAGGTTTAAGGTGTAGGGTTTGGGGTTTAGGGTTTACTGTAGGGTTTGGGTAGGGTTTAGAGCCAGGGAAGCTTAATGTTTTCGAAACTTCACGTGTGGGCTAAAAGCGGGGACCAGCTCGTGGCATTGCGGCTTCCGTGAGGCCCCTGTGCAGCTCTATAAGGGGGAAACGACACGCAAAGGACCATTCCCTCATCTGTAGATAAACGGCTTACGTCCTTCCTTCGAATGCAGTGACGATTGTGTCGTATTCCTCTACTTCTACAGCTACTGCAACTGCCTGTCGGCTCTGTTTTTGCCATTACTCTTGAACTCGCGATGCTCCGGCCGCCCTGCTGCTCATATTGCGAGTTGCCATCATTGACAGCTTTGCTGACCTACTCTTGATGTCATTGTCACCGTCACGGCGAGACGTTAAATCAGGCTCACTTGGGCTTCAGTCGGTGAGCAACCCCAACCCACAGTTAAACGGTTGCCCTCCACGCGGTGGCTTAGCCTTAGGATGAAATCTCGAAAACTGGAACACTCCCCACGACTGCACAAGGGCTCTCGCGGCTAAGCAGAGACAACTCCTGCTTTGGCGTCCTCTGCAGGTGAAACTGCGTGGGCTGAAAACCCCGAAATCGAAGTCTCAACCCCCAACATCCCTCAATCTGAAGCCGTTTTTGGGTGGTTTAGGGCCCAAAGGCCTCAACTCTAAACTCTACCCTCAACACCGTAAGCCGTTCTTGGGTAGTTTAAGGCCCAAAGGCCTCATCTCTAAACCGGCTTTCATAAGATCAATATAGGGGCCTTAATAATAATCTACGTAGGGGTTTGGGGCCCATTATACCATAATTAATCATAACAAGGAACGCCCAAAACAACGCGGTAATTATTTGAGGCCCTCGTAAGATCAAGCGTTCCGGCTTTTCCTTAACCCGGAAGGTTTTGGAAACCTCCGAGCCGGGCCACGGAGATATTACGTGTAGGGTCTCATAAGGTCCCTGGAATCCCTGTTAGAGTTTGGGGTTTAGAGTGTAGGATATGAAGGTCACCTAAGGTATCCAAGATATACTTCAGCAGAAGTTCGTGATAACTGTAATGGCACACTACAACTACTACGGAGTCCCTCGAAGGGTTTAGGGTTTGGGCGAAACCCCAAAGGCAGGATCGGCGTTTTTTTTGCATTTTGGGGGGCCCTGCATCTCAGAAGGAGCTGTTGGCGATTCGACCCGGTGCATTCAGCTGTGGTGCCTCAAGGAGCTTACAAGAAGGGTTTAATAGGGTTTAGGATTTTGGGCGTGGGGCTTGGAGCTTAGCTTCTGGCCACGAGAAGTCGGGTGGGTGGTACGGTGTAGGCTTTAGATGGGAGTTTCCGAAAATAGGGTACTCTAATATAGTACCCTAAATAGTAGGGTCCTCATTATTATAAGGAGACCCCAAAATAAGGTACTCCTAATTTCGGAAACTCCCAGATTGCTCCAAGGGTCAGACATCGAAAGGCCAGAGTGGCTAAGCCCTGAAAGCCCTAAAGCCTTCGCCATACAGCCCCTTAAAAACCCTCAAACCTTAAAACACCTATATAAACTCTAAACCCTAAACCCTTAAAAGCCCTAAAGCCTTAAAACTCTAAACAAATCCTACGCCCCTTACGGCTCAGGGTCTGGTTTCAGGGCATAGTGCGTTGATGCTTTTGTTGGTGTTCATGATTGCCTAAACCCTGAACCCTAAATCCTAAACCCCTACGTCTTAGTTGCAATGTTTAGGCGGCGGCATCCAAGACGAGAGAGCCTGTCGTTGATGCACAAATCACGGCAAGAGGGGCTTGGAGGATAATCAGCAAATTGCATCAAAGCTTTGACCGCCTAAATCAGCTTGGTCGCCTAAACATAAAAAAGGTTACTGTAAGGGCTAACAAAAAATCTCATGTTGTAGCTATGTACTAAACGGCCACGATCAGGGTTGTGACTACATTATGATATCGAACCCCCCCACCCCCAAGCTTCGTCGGAGTCTGAGGTTCATGCGCCGGACTTACTCACCTCCGGCCGCAGAGGATACTCCTCACAGAGGTTGCCAGATGCAGGTTGAGGGTACCCAGAGAGCTCAATACCTCTGAATTAAGGAATATACCTTAAATTACAACAGGATCCCCAATATGATTGATGGCATATGCCTCAATTAAGGGATATTGGGTTCTCTGGGTAATGCAGAGGCCTGAACAATTAGAGGGTTTTGGGGTCCATTATACTATAATTACAATAAGGAGCCCCCAAAACAACATAGGTAATTAAGGCCGGAATGTGACTGGATTCGAACTACGTACAGACTACATCCTTCAGACCTGAAAATCTTGTAGAGCCTACGATTTTGGCCTTCAGGGCTCAGGGCTTTGGCCTTTGTTGACTTTACTCCGAGCACGAGCCGCGAATCAAAGCACTACTGCAGGGCGGGAAACCGAAACCCGCGAAGCCTGAGCATGCGCAGGCAAACTTTCGCACCTCACGAGTCTAAAACTTCGTCAGCAGCATCATCGTAGTCTTCCTGATCACTGCCATCACCAGCAGCAACTATCAACAAGAGAAGCACGACCAACGTCATCCTCACCATCATCATGATGAGTCGTCATCACCATCATGATCGTCATCATCATAATCCTCATCATGTTGTTCTGCTTCTTCTTCAAAATTCACTATCAACAACACCAACATCAACATCAAGATCATCATCAGCACCACCACCATCATCATCCCACTGGTACCATCACCACCATCACCATCATCATCATTGGCATCATCACCACCATCTTGTTCATTGCAGCACACGAAGTCCTGAAGATAGAAAGGGCTGGTGTCGAGGCCGTCTGCGGCCTCAGGCGGAAAAGGTTCAGTGCTGCTTCTCCGATTTTAGGGTCCGAACCTTAAACCGATCCGAACCCTAAGCTTGAAACCTAAACCCCTAAACCCAAAACTCTAAACAAGGGTTTGGGGAGCCTAGACTCCGGCCTGCGTCGCCGATGTCTCGTCAATTTTCTCGGTTGCCGCCTGCGCCGCTGGAAGAAGGGGTCTTGGGATACTTTGATCAGAGGTTGAAGGAGACCCCTAAACCCTCAAACCCTGAACCCAAAACACTTGCAGAACCCTTAAGCATGAAATCATACAGATCGCTTACAGTCTCCCTACAACCAGGAGCTCTCGGTGGCTCGGCCTTCGAACCTTTACTTTCAATAGCTCACAACTGCAAAGGCTCAACTCAGTCAGCCAGAGCTATAGGGGTTTAGGGATTTAGGGCTTTAGGGTTAGGGGTTCAGGGTTTAGGGGTTTAGAGGTTTAGGGTTTAGGGGTTTAGGGTTTATGGGTTTAGGGGTTTAGGGTTTAAAGGTTTAGAGGTTTAGGGTTTAGGGGTTTAGGGTTCAATCAAGAGAGGGCCACCTACCACTTGTTGGAACTGACTGAGGATCTAAAGAGCCTATACAGTTTGTACATGTTGAAATAAGCAAGCCCGCCAATATCAAGCTTAATACATCTCCAGGCCTAGTTCTATGCCTGAGATGTTCAACTCCTTTTCGTTTGTCCGAAACCACGCATTAGATCTCACTTTGACTTTGCGCTTTCGGTCTGGGACGTAAGGTCCTGGGTTCCAGATGATGTTTTAGAAAACCCTGCATCGCCTCTTCCGGCGTCTCTTGTGGCGCGGTGAGGTGGCACGGCAACTTCAGCACACTTCCTCACCAGGTTCGCGGATAACGCGATCGAGGCTGCCCGGGGCTTCGTAGGTCAACCATTACACTCGATGAAACGCTACACTTGAAAGCCAGAGCACAGCCATAACATGCCGCGATGGCTTTCTGAACAACCCCACACACACCTGGCGCCGAGTCATGATGGCTTACTTGCATGGTCAGGGGACTTACTAAGGACTACAGTAAGTAGACGTAGAAGTTCCCGAAGAGAGATCCTACTTGGGGTTGTGATATGTATAAGTCTATGAAATAGCTACCTACTGAGTCCCCGACCCTCCAAGTAAACCTCCGACTGAGGCGTGTTCATGCTTGGGTTTAGGGTTTAGGGGTTTAGGGTTTAGGGGTCTTGAGTGGCGTAAACAGTTCTCAGAATCGAACGATTGCACTTGCAGGATAGCCACGAACCCTCAACCCTGAACCCAAAGTGCTAAACCTTAAACTGGCGTAACTTAACTCAAACTTAGATCATCTTGGATTCCAAAGCCTCCAGCTCGTACGGAAGATCTGCAGTGTAAACCACAAGTCTAAAAACCTTTCAGACGAGAAGCCGCAATTAAATCCTGAACCATCTAAAGTCTCAGTCCTAAATCCTCAACCTTAAGCCCTACCGTGCAGCCAGGCATCCATCTAAGTCCAGCCCCCGTCCGATACCGCCTGCAGTCGCTGACAGGGTTGGGGTCGAGGGCTCAGGAAGCTTTATGATCTACCTTAACCCTGAATAACCCACCTTTTTAGGGCTCCTTATTATGATTTCTTTATATAAGTCCTTAAAAATGTAGGTTCTTCGGGGTTAAGGTAGGTGTAGAGTTTAGAGTTCAGGTTTAGGGTTCCGGAGTATCACGTTTAGTGATGTCGAGCACAGAGACAAGAAGGCCTTTGAGACTCAAGTTTGAAGCTATGGGCACAAGTCTAGGACTTCATGTTCACGGCTCTAGGCTCTGCGAAGTAGGTTCTTTGTGTTAAGCGCCTTTTTCGTCTGCCGCAGTAGTACCTTACCAGAAACCCGCGCGAGTTGGGGCTTAGCGTTTATGGGTGTGTAGGGTTGACTTGAGGGGTCCAGGATTTCTTGTTTAGAAGGGCTGATGATTTAGGATGACACGTCTGCCCATCAATTCGCTCGCTCCTCCAAAAGCCCCGAGATCCCCCATAAGAGCCTGCAGACCTCAATCCTGGAATCCTAAACTCCCCTTTGAACCCAAACCCTAAGCCCTAAACCCTAAACTCCCTTTGAACCCGAAACCCTAAACCCTGAACTCCCTTTGAACCCGAAACCCTAAACCCTAAACTCCCCTTTGAACCCCAACCCGAAACCCTAAACCCTAAACTCCCTTTGAACCCAAACCCTAAGCCCTGAACCCTAAACTCCCTTTGAACCCTAAACCCTAAACCCCTAGCCTAACCGCTCCAAACCTCTGAACCGCCCGATCTCCGAACCGGACATCCCGAACCGCCTTAGGGTCTTAGGGCTTAGGGCTTTAAGGTTTTAGGGCTTAGGGCTTTAGGGTTTTAGGGCGGGTTTTAGGCTTAGGGTTTCAGGGTTTAGGGCTCAGGGTTTTAGGGTTTAGGCTTAGGGTCTTAGGGTTTTTGGCTTGGGGTTTTAGGGTTTAGGGCTTAGGGTTTAGGGGTCTTGAAAAAATCAGGAAAGGCCTTTGGGGATATCTTTTCGCGAAAGTGTACTCTCAAACCAGAAACCCTTGAAACAAACCGTTAAACTCTAAACCCTCTACCCTTAAACTCCTGAAACCCAAACCCCTTAATAGATCCCTGAAACCCTGATTCTTAATAGATCCATTTAACGGAGCCCCTATAGATCCCTTTAAAGGAACCTTAGACCCTGAACCCTCAAACCCTCAGTCGGCCTGGCAAAGGGCGAGCACCGAGACCTTCGCCCTCGAAGGAGACCAGTGGAGAAACCTGTAGTTCTGTTGCTGATGTAGGGGCCTTACTTAAAGGATCATAGGGCTTAGTAACTACGGTTATAAATAAGGTAAGTATAGTTATAACTATATAAATGTAACCCCAATTAAGGCATTTATAACCTTACGTACTAAGTCCCCCGATCCTCCAAGTAATCTTCGGGACTGGGGTTTTCGGGTTTGTTATAGCAGAAGCCAGAAAGTTGGAACATCATTCTCCTCATGCCCTTAAGGTAAAGCACAAGGGATCCTAGCACGAATCCTCCTAAACCCATGTCCCAACTTTCTGAGATCCACTACATAGGTAAACGGTAGGGTTTTGGATTTGGGGTATAGAGTTTGGGGTTTAGGGTTCAGGGGTCCCCGACAACCGGAAGTTGACAAAAAGACCTTGGATCTTTGTTTGGATCCTTTATATGGATCATAATTGGTGGATTCACGACCAGGGTTTCTTAAAAAGGATGCTACATAATGATCGAAATCGAAAAAACGCTTGGGTGCAGATTAGAACAAACATAGACCATAAATACTACGGAGCGCACAGTAGCTAACTCCGTGGCTAAACCTTGACCCACAAGCGCTTGTCATGCGAAGAACCTGGAGGCGATCCGAAACATGACTACCCAGGGGCCCCAAAGCAGCTCCTTTTTGGGTGTGTCCTCTTTTTTGATTAGGGACTCTAATATACTACCCAAAAAGGAACTACTTTGGGGCCCCTGACTAGTGTACAGGTGGCCACTATCATCTGCAGTCTGGGGTTTTGGCTTTGGCGTTCAGGGTTTCGGGTTTTGGGCTAGCGACGCCCTGAAGCCTAGACGCCCAAAAAAGGCCGGCGTACACCCTCAGAAAGCTCCTCTCCGCACCGCGGCCTCCATCATAGCATCCGACTCGCTCCCCTCTGTGATGCTGCCTCCGGCGGCGCGAACCCACCTGCCGGCTTCGGAAGCACTTTAGGGCCACTTGCGGCTTATGATTTGAGGGGAAATTAGGTGTGGATGTTTTGGCATTGCACTTGGGGCTTCATTGGGCCTAGAGCTGCCAGCATGGAATTTCCGGAACTAGCGCCTTACACTCGCCTCGGCTCGACGGATGTTTGAGCATGTTTGAGCAGCTAGATAGCCCTGAATCCTCAAGCCCTACCTTTAAGGCCGAAACCCAATTGACATACAACTTCTGATAAAACCTCTACGTTACTTGGAAACGGAAACGCGTAAACGTTACTCCGTACATCCTGTGAGGCTTGAACACCGCTCCCTACACTTTACGAAGATCTTCCAGCAGCGAAGACTTTTGCTCCTCCTCCTCTTCCCTAAACCATATTAGATGATATTATATGAAACCATATAAGATGATATTATGCTTTATGTCGTAATCGGTAATACTTGGAGACATTAGACTGTAGAGACGCCACAAGATTCCGAAGGCTAGTGCAGACCTTGGATGTATTTGCACCCCGAGATTTTCGAACCTTAATCTCAACATCGTAAAGCAATCAGGGGAGTAGATGAATCAAGGTTCTACGTTTAGCCTGCAGCCTTCCACCTGAAGATAGCACAGAATGCAATGAAACCCTAAACCCCTATAGATCCCTCAAGGAACCCTCTAAACCCCCTATGAATGCAACAAAACGATCCACAACTGCCCCGGGCGGGGCGGACGCGCAGTGCAGCCGATGCATGGTTAGCCTGTCGCAGCTTAGGGCTTAGGGTGCAGGGCTCAGGGTTTAGGGGCGACTACAAGATTCATAGGATCCTTAAGGGTTTAGGGTTTAGGGTTTAGGGTTTAGGGTTTAGGGTTTAGGGTTTAGGGTACTAGGGAGCTTTGGGGAACCTTAGGGAAGCTTAGGGAGTATTGGGGGAATAATGGGGATTACTAGGTTACCTACCCCCCTTGGACCACCCCCCCTTAAGGACATCCTAAAAGATTCTGAGCTTCGGAGGAGCTTTATAGGTTTAGAGTTTAGAGTTGAGGGTGTAGGGGTTTGTGGTTGAGGATTCTGGGTTTGCGATTTCGGGCGTCGCAAGTGGAGTCCCACACACCAACCCTGAATCCATATGAACTGATGATAAATCGTAGACCCTACATTCAAGACAAAACTTCACAAGCCATAACGCCTAACCTCTGTATTGTCTATACCCCTTCACACCCCGCAATGCTCCACGGCTAACTGCTAACTGCCATGTGCCTCGCCGCTTCAGCGGTATGCCGGCCCTTTGTCTCTCGCACAGGGGCGAACTCAACCTCCCTGGTGACCTTCCGAGCTTTTGTGGGGATCTTTGGAATAAACCCTGCTTAAGTTATGGGGGCTTCTGAATTTCGCAGTGTCTATGGCCTTTGCCCGGTTTCGAGGTTTAGGGCACGCTTCTTCTGCACGCAGCGTTTGGAATTTTGACGGTTCACGCAGATTTTTCAATACATCTCGTAAACCCTAAACCCTAAACCTAGGGACTTGCTGGCATCATGAATCTACTACGAGTCGGCCCCAACACCCAGACCGACAGTAGCAGGAACTGAAAGATCAGATCCCGGAGCATTTTGATCCATGAGGGTTCTGTAAGGGGTTTAGGGTTTAGAGCTTCCGAAAATTCCGGGTACTGTATTTTGGGGTCCTTAGAACAAGGATGCTACTGTTTAGGGTACTATAATACTTTCTGCATCCGGTCCTAAGCCTATGTCAAGGCCCCCAAAATCAATTTTTGGTGGCTCCTTGTTGTGATTTGTTGTATGAATCCTGCCTATGGTTTTCGGGTGATCAGGTAAACCCTAAACTGCCTTAAGCTTCCATTGGAAGAGCGCCTGGGATCTGATTCCCCAATACCTACATCCTGACGGACGAACTCCTTTGATCCAGCCCAAAACAGACCCGGATATGAGATGAGAGTCATGGGTTCAGGGTCTAGGGTTGAGGGTCTAGGGTCTACGGTTTAGGAGTGATGCGGTGGAGGTTCAAAGCCCCCTGCCCCAAGCCGCAAACGTGATACCAACACCCTACAGGCCTTGAGCCCTACCCCAGACCCTAAACCCTAAACCCTAACCGAAAATATCAAAACCTGATGCCCTAGAGACGAAAAGCCTAACCCTAAGATGCTAAGCCCGAAACCCTGCAGCTGATAACGCAAAGCCTTAGGCCCAAAAATACTTTTAAACGTACATACTAAACCGCGAAAGCTCATGGCCTATATAGCAGCAAGAACTCCAAACCCAAGCACTAGCCCCCAACTTCAGAAAACCATGGAGTAGAGTTCACAGTGCGGAGGCTTCAGGTGTTGAGCGCTTGGGCGATTGAGTGTTTTTCGGCTTTTAAATCCGAAAATAGGGGACCCTAATATTGTACCCTACATAGTAGGATCCTTATTATATGGGTGGTTGTCAAAATTATGGTCCCTCTTTGGGAACCCTAAATATTAGGTGCCGTACTATAATAGGGGCCCAAAAAAGGGAGATTAATTTTGACAACCACCCATATGGCACCCCTATGTAATTTTCGGAAACTCCCTTATATCATCGCCCGGACGAATTCGCCTTAAAGGCCACCGCCCGGTCGGTGAAGGCAAAGTAGTCCAGCAGCGAGGATTCGAGAACCCAGGCGTTGGGCTGGCGGAAGCTCAGCGGCTGTGGGTTTGGGGCTTTCAGATTTTGAACCCTAAGCCCTAAACCCTAAATCCTAAATCCTAAACCCTAAATCCTAAACCCTAGACCCTAAACCCTAAATCCTAAACCCCAAGTCGGGTCTAGGGATTCAGGTTTTGAGCCTTAGGGCTTTAAGATTTCCGGCTTAGGGGGACTTTAACATAGAGGCCTCATGCCCAGACTAGGCTTCCTTGTTGGAATACTATAGTGTACACCTACTAAGGACCCCCTACAGTAAGAGTCTATAATAGGGCTACGATTAAGGTCCTACTATATCTATATTATGAAAATTATACAACTATTACTGAGTGGGGGCCGTACCCGATGTACATCTTACAAGGACCCCTGAGGCTGTAAGGAATGATAATGGCCATTGTTCAGGCTGCCCCCAAGACACTGTAAGAACCGGAAAGCCAACTTGACACCCAAGATCGTTAAACAAGGCAACCCGAAGACCCAAATTATTTCCACAACCCTCGAACCCTATAACCCAAACACCCTAACCCGAGACCAAGACCACCAAGAATCCCCACCAACCTCGAAACGCTGCTCTAAACCGCAAACCCAAATCCCCAAATCCTGGACCCTCAGAAGTTTAGGGTTTAGGGTTTCGGAAGTATGAACTCATCCTTCTGCGGCTGGAGCTGAGGGTTCCACATGAAGCTAGAATGGGTTGTGATGTTCTTGAAATGGTCTTTGTTGGAAATGGATGAAGAGTTGCAAAAACGCAAACACAAGACTTAAAGATGAGTGATTGGAAACAAGGTGACGCAGATCTTAACACACCAGCTTTCCGCCTCTCCGTGCATCTTGTGTTCATAGTTATATCTTTGATTTACCTTTTGCCTGCCTTGGCTTCACCTTTTTGCAAGGGAGAAGGTGTTGCTGGCCGGAAAGTTGGCTCCCAGCACAAGGTGAGAAAAGCCTAGGAAAAGGTGGAGGAGACTGGCACCACTGCCCTGCCTTCGTTCACCTTTTTCACAGTCACCTGTCTTTTACCTTTCATTCACCTATGCTGCTTGGACAAGTCGACCCAAAACTCACCCTAAACCCTAAACCCTAAACCCTAAACCCTAAACCCTAAACCCTAAACGAGACTACGGCCCATAGTCAACAGGGACTCTTTGGGTTTGATGCGCAATCTCGAAAACCAATGCCGCGAGCCCAATCCTGAAGCTTCAACCCTCTCACATACTTACCTTTGGTTAGTAGGGAATGAAGGAATGATAGTAATATATAGTATAATAATACCCATTCCTTCATTCCCTACTAACCAAAGGTAAGCATAGGGGCCTCAACAGTTAGAAGTCTATAGGGGCTTCTGAAGATAGGGGACCCTAATATAGTACCGTAAATAGTAGGATCCTTATTATAAGGACCCCAAAATAAGGTACTCCTCTTTTCGGAAACTCCCATATGATCGTACAACTATGTAAAGTCCCCAAGGAATCGTATTCGTGAAGGCTTTTATACTTGCCAGCACAACTCTGCATCCCCGCACCTTGGCAGGCACCACCAAGCTGCACCTCGCCACCACATCAGGTCCAGAGCTTAAGGGCCCCTTTCAAAACAGCATAATGCAAGGAAAGGGCTAGGGTTTAGGGCTTGCTGTCTAGGGTTAAAGGGTAGGGTTTAGGGAATTGGGGTTTAGGAGAGGGCTAAAGCAAACAAGCAAGCCAGCAAGCAAGCAAGTAAGCAGACTTCGGGCGTGGCCGAGTGCATGTGTCTGAGTTTGCTGTAGCATGGGGCTGCCAACAGAATCTCAGTGCATTCCTGAAAAGCTTCCAACAATGAAGATAGTCTTGTGGGCTAGAGCAGTACCTACCCATCGAGTTTCCGAAAGTAGGTACCTCATTTGGGGGTCCTTACAATACGGATCCTACTATCTGGGTGCTATATTAATTAGGGTCCCCTATTTTCGGAAACCCCCATAAAGTACTACAGGAAAGGCTTCTCGTGACAAGTGTGGCAAGTGTAGCTCATCAGTGTGCTAGACAAAAAGCACCCAACTAGATGAGCAGTTTAGGGTTTAGGGTCAAAAATGACTTAAGCCCTAAACCCTAGGCGTGTGGCACTAGGGCCTGCATGAGAAAACCAAACTAGAAACGGACCTCAAGAGGTTATTGTAGTGTGCATAAAGACTCTGGGAAAAAGCTAAAGCCCAAGCCCCCTTGTAGGTATTGTAGCACTTCACTGGAATTCAGGGTTGAGAACATTAGTGCACGCCATCCGGGGTCTACGATTTAGGGCTTCAGTACACCATTGTATTTCACTACGGTGTCTTGAATTTCAGAATTGTTTCGTTTCGACGGCTCCATCCCATCCGAAGAACCGCCCAAGCCCTTGCTCCATCATACAAAGATTCTACCTAAGGACAACGGGCTTGAGTCCTCGCATTGGAGGAGGTGTTATCGTTTGCCCTTTCTGGGACCATTAAAGATCGCCTGAGTAACCTTTCCATGCTATCACAAGCTCGAGTGTTTTGATGCCCTCTAGCCAGAACACCGAACCAAAAAATCACCTGAAGTACCAAAGAACCCCGTGAATTCATAAGAACCTGCTGAATCTAAACCATATACATGTCCTGAGCATCGGAACTCCCAAGCCAGAAGCCCCGCTTGAACGATTAAGGGCTAAGACTGTAGCCCAGCGGCTTAAACTCTAAACTTTAGACCAAATCCAACTACAGCCTCTCAGTTCTCATGGGTGTTTATTCCACAGATCATCATACAGCCCAAGCCCTAGCCTAAAACCTCTAAACCCAAACCCCTAAACCCATGACCGTAAACTCCCGGAACCCCGAAACACTAGACCCCTAAACCCTGAACCCCTAAACTCTAACCTTAAACCCCAAACACGCGGCACTGGCCTCAGCGGCGCCTGCTCTGCCAAGGCGGCGCGGAGCATCTTCGGAAGGGTTTAGGGTTCATGAGGGCGTAGGCTGTAGGGTTCGAGGCTGAGGGTTCAGGGCTTCAGGCTTAAAGCTTAGGGTAGAGGGCTTGGGGTTTAGGCTTGAGGTGTTTAGGGTTTAAGCTTTCCAAGGGTGTGTTGAAACTTTCGGGAACGCATGCGAGCAGATGCTCTTTCAGGTCATATCGATTGGTCTAGAGTCTCGAAAGCCCGAAACCCCCTACTCCTTGAAAGAACGCCCTAAGAACCAAACCTCGAACAAGACTTCGCTCAGCCACTACTTTCTGAACCCTAAATGATTACCAAAGCTTATGTAAACTCATCGCCTTTTTGGTGTTTTCTCTCACCCTAACCCGTAAACCCGACACATTCTATGAGCCTTGTCTTGTAAACCCTATAAGGTTTACGGGTAAGGGTTCAAAGCTTGCTGCATGCTAGGGTCTTTCAAACTCTAAGAGTTTCTGTGAGCCCGAGAAACCCTGCAAGCCCTACAGCAAACCCCAGAAAGTTGGAAACCGGATTGAGGCCAAATAGTGCTGCGATTCCCTCTATATTACACTTAAGGACTGAGGTTATTGGGTTTCCAACTTTTCTGCTTTTACTATACCTTAACCTACCAAAACCTACAACAAAGTAGGGTCCCTATAAATTCCATATTAGGGGTTTATAACAAGGACCTACAAAAAAGGTAGGGGTTTGGTAGTTTAAGGTATATAAGCGTTTTGGGATCGTTACTTCTCCGACTTTCCCCCAAGTGAACATCCTACCCCTGCCCAGCTAAGCGACTCCCCTGCGCACCCAAAGCCTGATGTCCAAAATGCACCCAAAGGCCCCGAACCTTGGGCTGTTTCGGGTGCCAGACGCTGCAATCCAGCCAGAAATCGGATTCCGTTAAATCCTAAACCCCCAAATCCCCAAATCCCGAAACCCCAGAACCCAAACCGGCCGCCCGCCCTGAAAAAAAGAAACACTAGAAGCCGATGGATAGATCCTTTTGCGGAACCCTGAATCCTGAACCCTCAACCCCTAAACCCTAAACCCTGATTCCTGAACCCTAAGCCCCCAAAACCCTAAACCCTGAATCCTCAACCCTAAACCCCCAAAACCCTAAACCCTAAACCCTCAAACCTTAAACCCCTAAACCCCTAAACCCTAAACCCCTAAACCCCTAAACCCTCAACCCCAAAATGGAGCCCCTGCCTCGGCCCCGGAGGGCCCGGCAAGAGATCCGGGGACTATCCTTGCAGCCGGGTCCAAGAATCTCAGAATGGACCCCTAGAAGTCTACTTTAGGGGTTTAGGGGTTCAGGACTGCTCTGCATTTTCCTTGGGTTCCGGGGTTTAGGGTTTACGGGTTTAAGCTTTAGGGTTTAGTGTTCAGAGGCTTCTGCCGGAGTTTTCGGGCGCAAGGGTCGTAGAAAGTTTTTTTTGCGAGCAGAGTTTCGGACATGCGGCTTGGGCATTTCGGGTTTGACACGTTTGCGGCCTTGGGGTTAGGGTGTAAGGCTTTTGACGGCCGACGTCTGAAAGGCTTCGGCTTTCGGACAGGGCTTAGACCACATGGCTTTGTGGGCTGAGGGCTGACAGGCCGCTTTGCGGTTTTAGTTTGGGGTTTAGGGCTTAGGGGTTTAGGTTTTGGAGTTGATTCAGTGTTGTCTAGGTAGTAGTTCCCAAACCCATGTCCAAAGCCTCAACCGTCAAGCTGTCTTAGTAACTGCTGCTTGCATTATCTGGTCATTCTTTCCCTTGTCTTGGTGCTGTCATGTCTTGGAAGTCTTCTTGCCTCCTTAGGGCATGAATTACAGGGCTTTCTTTCTGGCAGATGCCTGGAAGTCTGGCGCGTTTAAGCTGAGATGCTCCCTCCCCGAAGCCTGTACCGACCAGAAACGGCTGAAAAGCCTAAGAACCACGTTGAAAAAAGAAGGTGCCGGAAGTCTGAGCAATCCCAGCCCGGGGCAGATTTATGCTTGAGGAAATAACTTAGCAGCTGCCCCCCCCCACCCTGCAATAGTGACTATAAGGATTATATTCGGGCCCTGTTATATTCCTATTATACCACTATTACAGGGTGGTGGCCCCTTCTAAACAATTACCTTGCAAGGTGTTTTTCAGTTTCGGGAGGGGGGGAGGGGGTTAAAGCCTCTCGCCGGGGCGTTGCTCTGTGGAGCTTAGGCTCACCTGGCTCCTGAGGGTTTAGGGTTTAGGATTCAGGGTTGCGTAAATGCGAGAAGCCCGTTTAAGCATAGTGGGTCTCACCTCCCTGACGTTCGGAGTATGCAGGGCTAAGTTCAAGCCAACAGCCCCTAGTTAGCCCTAGTTGGGCTATATACGCTGAAGCTCAACTCTCAATCAACAGCACCATCTGAAACCTCAACCCTCAAAACTTAAAATATGTGCCTTAATACTTAAGATAGGCTTTAGGGTGTTATCCTCAACCCTCGCAACTCAATGTAAGGGCCTCAGTAGTTAGAATAGGGCTTAAAGGCTTAGGGGTTTCATCATACCATACTGACACCAAGGAACCCCCAAAAAATAATGTAGGAGCCTGATTAAGAAACCCTGGCCTTATAACCCCCAATACATTAGGACTCACATAAGGAACCCATAAGGACCCAGGGTTTCTTGATCAGGTTCCTTACATTAGGATCATTTAGGCCCCCGGGGCCTTGGTCCGCATGCGGCCTCACGCACTCGCACCACCTGAGCCACAGACTTGGGGGCCACGTGGGACAGTGGCGAATGAGAGCTCAGGGTTTCGGATTTAGGCCTTAGGGTTTAGGTTTTAGGGTGTAGGGTTTAGGTCTTGGGGTTTAGGGTTTAGGGCTTAAGGCTTGGGGGTCAGGGTTTCGGGCGCAGGTCCAGTGTCCAAGGGGGATCTAAAGGTTAACTCTTGGGAATATATAGGGATCATAGCACCCCCAAAAGGTTGAAGGTTACGCACTCTACTCTGCACTACATCCTTGTATCCACATAGAAAGTATCGCGATGAATCGACACCGAAGACTGCTTAACACCAAGAACCCTCGACACCGTAAACAGTTTAGCGCGTGAGAACGACTGCACAATGGAACATGGATGCCGAACAGAAGAGAATAGAAATTTGGGGTATATGATGGTATAGCAAGACTCTCCCAAAGAAGTCTAGCACTAATTAGTCCGAGCCCACTGTATGTAGCTGTCAACATGAAATTCAACAGCTTCTCTTTGAGCACTAGATTCAGTTTCAACCTTGTCGCTGCGTGAACCAACCCGAAACCCTCCGTCCACGAAACCCTAAACCTAAAGTCCAGGCCCGAGATCCCGAACAACCCGAAGATCAGGGGTTTAGGGTTCAGGGTGCGAGGTTTGCGGTAGAGGGCTTATAAGAGTGTAGGGTTTAGGGTATAGGATTTTTTTAGGTACATCCGACCTTTTCGAGCATCCTCGCATTAGGGTGTAGGGTTTAGGGTTTAAGGCAAGCTTAGGCCAGGACGGCCACTGGCCCCGTCGAGTCCAAGTTCACTTCGCAGCGCCAGGCGTTCTCACGGTCGTCTGCACCTCCCGCGCGGTTGAGGGTTTAGGGGAGTCCCTCCTCGTGGTGCCACGGTTGATGATATAAATCCTGCAATACCTTAAGGGCCCTAAACTATGGAATTATGGTATATTCCTTATCATGGGTAATGCAGGATTTATTATTTCGTAAATTTTGGGGCACCCACCAAAACAGTTTAGAAACAAAAATGCGTAAACCCTACACCCTAAACCCCTCAAGCCCTAAACCCAAACCCTGCGCCCCTGAAGCCCTGAACCCTGCAAACTCCCAGTGGTCACCAGGCCTAATTTGTGGTTCGCACGGATTTCGGCCGCAGCAGCCAGCAGTGCCCTGGTTGGGAGGGAGCTCCGGGGTTTAGGGTTTCGGGTTGAGGGTTTAGGGGTTTAGGGTTTAGGGGTTTAGGGTTTAGGGGTTTAGGGTTTAGGTGTTTAGGGTTTAGGGGTTTTGGGGTTTAGGGGTTTGTTTTTTTGAGCTCCTTTGTACGACTGCAAGTCCGTCCCACTATCGCAAGGCCGGAAGGGTTTAGAGTTTCGGATTTAGGTTTTCGGGTTTAGGGACGTTTAGGGTCTAGGGTTGGGGGTTTCGGGCGCAGGGTTTAGGATTTAGGGGTTTAGGGCCTTTTAGGGTTGAGGGCTCCCAGGAGATCAGGAGGGGGGCCTCTCCCCGAAAGGTAATAGTCCGCCTACCTTCATCCCCTTGGAGCTCCTAAACTCTTTGTGGGGTTTCGGGTTTCAGGGTCAACCCTCAATCCGAAACCCTAAACCGCCTAAACCCTAAACCCTAGACCATCCTAGACCCTAAACCGTGAAGCATCCTAAACCCTAAACTAGACCCTAAACCCTCAATAATGCATAATCCTCAACCCTAAACCATCCTAAACCCTACACCATCCTAAACACTAAACCCCCGGCGGAGCCTAAACCCTAAATTCCCACCCAGGCCTGCTTAGGCCGTACCCATCCTTTTTCTTAGGGTGCCTGGACCCAGAAGGAAATCCGGCAATCACAGACACCAACTCTGGATGGACAATGGGTGGAGCCATTGGAGAATGGACGAATTCAGCCCCTGGGGCTGAGCCAAGCCATTAGGCCCCTTGCGTGGCGCCCATATTCGCAGAGGGAATTCCCTCGAATCTCAAGAGATTGGAATACCCTAAACCCGACGACCAAATCCCTTGGTGGGCGTTTCCATTTGGCCCCCCCTCAGAAATCGCCCTAGCGGCCGGCCCAGCGGGCGGGCTTCTAGCAGGAGACCTGGCGTCTTTTCCTGAAACAGCCTCCTACCTAGCGAGGCCCTCGCCCCACCTGGCCCCCCCTGGCCCCCCCCCGGCCTGGTCGCTCCTCGCCCCCCTGACCCCCCCTGGCCCCCCCTGGCCCCCCCCTGGCCCCCCCTCCCCCTCCTCCTCTCAGCCGCTTCTCCCTGACCCTCCCCGGGACAGTTGTCCCAGGGCCCCCCCGGGACAGTTGTCCCAGGGCCCCCCCGGGACATTGTCCCGGGTTGTCTCGGGGTGTCGCGGGCCCCTCCCGGGACAATTGTCCCGGGACCGCCCCGGGACGCCCTGGGACACTTGTCCCGGGACCTCCCCGGGACGCCCCGGGACACCCCCGGGACACTGTCCCGGGGCCGCCCCGGGACCGCCAATTTAGGATATTGGAGTGGCTGCGCGTTTTCGTTTTCTTGCTTTTGTTGGGGTTTTGCTTCATTTTTCAAAAACTCACGCGTGCACCGACAGCTGCAGCGGGCTTCCCACGCCAGCTCCGCTCGCTTTTTTTGTGCGCTCTGGGTGGCCGCCTTTCGCGGTCATTAGTGACTGCTATATCAAAAACAATTTTGGATTCCGGTCCTGGGCCCTCCCAGCGGAAATGGCGTGACTTTTCACCCCTGCGCCCGTTTTTTGGCTATCTACTTTTGGCTCGTCCTTGCCATTTTTTGCTTTCCCTTTAAGGTTGGGACGCAGTCTCCCTACAAAACCTTTTGCGGTTAGTCACCCACATGTTTCTGCGTAAATCGGTTTGGGTTTTTGCCTTAGGACTTTGGTGCCTGCCGCACAAGGTTTTGGACGAACACGAAAATTCATGTATTTTCCTCCCCGGTGCTGGGGGGGAACCCCCTCAGGCCGGGCATGCCCAACGCCGTTTTGTTGCTTCAAGCCGTACATTGTTTGTTGGGCTAGGCGTCTCACCAATTCGTGCAAGGCCGCTCAGGTCTCGAGCTGGAGCAAAAAAAGGGTTCGACCCGTCTGCGGTACGAGGCGAGGTGACTTTCTGTGCCTGCTGTGTCAATTGCATCGTGCAAAGCAATACACCTACATGTTTTCTGCAGCAAATATCATCAAGAGCACAGCTCTCATCCTCAGCATGGCCGCAGCGACATTGGGACCGACGCCTGCCTCGGCCCTGCTTGTTGAAGAATCGTGGATTCGACAGATTCTGAGCGGCGCCAAAACGTGGGAGCTGCGGGGATGCCGGACAGCGAAGCGCGAGCGCATTGCTCTCGCATACAAAGGCTTCTTGCTTGGCGAGGTAGACATCGTTGACTGCCTGGCAGTGGGCCGTGTGGACGCGGGCGGCCAGCTCTTGGCTGTGGAAGGCCACGAGCAGCACCACCTTCTTCTGCCCCACAACATGACGAAGCATAATGTCTCCAGGGAGCGTCTGGCCAGCTTCCGCTGGCGCCGCTGGTATGCGTGGGTGCTCAGTGATCCCGTGAGCTATGATGTGCCGAAAGCCTATCGCCACCCGACAGGCGCCCAGCAGTTCGTCCGACTGGACCGTGACAAGACGCTGTCTGCTGATTCTTCTGAGACTGCAGCTGCTAGCGCTGCTTGCAAGAAGCGTAAGTGCAGCCCGCACTGAAAGAGACAGTAGCAGTGTAGCATCTTGATTTTTTGAAGGCCACGTAGTCCGGCTTAGCCCTGCAGCTTCCATTTGGCGACAAAGCCGGCAATCGAATGGCACACGCTGCCAGATGGTGGTGAACAAAATCCGGGTTGCCTTGCAGGTTCGCTTGCACGCATGAGCCGTGAAAGCGTCGCTTGTGATCATTGCATATCAGTGTTGCACTTAGCTCGGAAGCACCCCTCATACTCACCGCCGTCTCGTATCCCAGTCTTGACGCCATGGCTTATCCTTGGTCCGAGGCCTACAACAAAGGCTGGGGCAAGCCCGGCAAGTGGTCCAGCAAGGGAAAGGCCAAGAAGGGCCCCCGAAAGGGCGACTGGTGGGACGAAGCAGCCGAGGAGCCCCAGGAAGCACAAGTTCGTACTGGAAGGATCTGGTCCAGGTACCAGTTCCCCAAAGCCATTTTGAAAGCGAGCGCCGGTCAGGATGGTTCGGCTTTCGTCAAGGATGCGAAGCGAAACATCTCGGACGACTTGTTCCTCGGCACCAAGCATCTCAAGGCCCTCCTAACAGCTGACTCTACACATGTGCTCCGGCGCCCTGGTGTGGGGATCAGCGAAGCAGCCGGATCCGTGCAGGCCGGGGTCGACGTCCTCGGTGCGCTGGCAGACGTCGAACTGGAGGAACTTGCGAGCATCTTCCACGACCCTGATTTCAATGCAGCCCTGGCCCAGCTCAACACTACGGACACCAGTGCGCAGCACGACAACAAGGACCTTCGCGCGGCTGTGGCGCTGCTGTTCAAGAAGCTGACCAAAACCCCTCGTCTGGCAGAGTTAGTGACGAAGGTCACCATCGCTAGCAGCCGCTTGTACCTGATGGGTACGGCGCTGCTGCCGTTGCTCGTGTGTGCCTCCGATCCAGCATGGTGGGTGTCGCATATCCCGGACACCGTCTCGGACTCTGCCAATGTCAAGGCGTGGCGCAAGCACAGCAACGACACCTCAAGGATGCACAAGGCCTTGGCAACTCTACTCACTGAAAAGCTCGAGGAGGCCTCGCGTGATCGCGGCAACACTGCCTCGTCTCTCTTCAAAAAGAAGCCCCCCGTTCGCGAGGCGTCCGCCAGCCCAACCGGATCCGGCGGCACCTCGGGCTCCTCGTCTCCTACGTCTAGTCCGTCACGTGGGAAGAAGGCAAAGGCCGCGAGCAGAAAACCAAAGACTGCTGAGACAAAGAAGCCGAAGAAAGGGCCAAAGGCAGACAAGTCAGACGACCCGGATTCCATCGTTGTCGCCAACAAGAAGAAGAAAGACAAGAGGAAGGCAGAAAAGTCGGACGACCCCGATTCCATTACTGTCCCCAAGAAGAAGAAGAAAGACAAGGAGGCGCAGAAAGCGGCCAACGAACGCCAGTCGCCTTCGCCTGCTTCCGACTCGTGCTCCAAGCGCCGAGCTGCGAAAGACGTGGCCCTCGAGATCTATCGCGTCACCGCTGTCTCCGGTGCGGGCAAGGCCATGGTGACGGAAGGCTCCCCTGTCCACAAGGTCGAGGTCATTGAAGATGGTGAGACGGTGGCCTCTGCGGTTCGTCGTCTGTTCGAGGCACAGGGCAGTCAAGCTGACGTGGCGAATTGGGATATCCGGGCCATGGATGAGGATCAGGTCATCCGTGAAATCCAGCCCGACGTGACTTTGGCCAGGGAGTGCAGCAAGGTCGTCCTCGTGCGAAAGGGAGGCTAAAGCCAGCGATGGTGACTGCCGCATAGACTCTGTGTTCGGATGTCTCAGTGCCGCGCGTCGAGGAGAGTACAGTCTTGACCGTAGGCAGCAGAGAGGAAGTCGCCTGACTTTTTGCGTGAGAAAACAGCTGCATCCGCCGCGAGGCAACTCTTCAGCCCTTTGACAGATGTGTGTGATAACAGCGTGCCCCTGCTGTACGACTGGATGTTTATGCGACTGGACAATTCTTTGCACCGACAGATTTGGCTCCAAACGTACAATCGTCGTCGTCTAGCGCTCTCGCTTGTAGTTGCCTTCCGACCATGGCTCAGGTTGTGCTTGAAGAAGTTCTTGCTGAGGCTGCCGACGCAGAGACTCTCGCAGAGGACATGTGTGGGGGGCCGGAGATCTTAGTCGTCGCTGAGCATCCTGGTGTGCCCCCTGAGCCCAAAGTCAAACGTCCGCGGCGCCGAGGGCCCAGCGAAACTTGCCCTGGGCGAGATGGCACACCTTGCATCTTCTCATTGCAGGCCCGCACACTTGGACAGGCGGCACGCTGCCGGCACGGTGAAGCGGCCTGCACGTGGTGTTCGCCGGCAAGTCTGACAGCGCAGCTCGAGAACCCTTACAATCGCAGACATGTGACACGTGCTTTACGGATTTGGTCTGAAGCCGACGAGTCCGGTGTCCTCGCCGCAGCGTGGCAGAGAGTGCCAGAGAGCTATCACGCCACGCTGACTGCAGCACTGGCGCGGCCCTCGCGTGCTAAGGCCGCCGTCGCCGCACGCCGAGCGGCTGTTGATGAAGCGCAGTCCTGGCACACCTTGCTCACCCATCGAGTGAATCCTGGTCTGCCTGTCTCAGCTGACGCCGACGCAGTCTACCGCGCAAAGAAAGCCGATGATGCGAGACGCCTTCGGGCGAAGTTCGGGCCTTGGATGGCCGCCAGAGCCGACGGCGACGAAAGCTGGCGTCCTGAGCTGGCCACACGTTTCGAGGCCTGGTGCCGTGAAACCTCTTGGGCTATGTGCCAACAATGCCATCGACTGGAACCTCGCCCAGTGTGGGAGCGAGACATCACAGGTGCTGGGTGCAACCGGTCCACCCGGCACACTATCGCCCGCTGTCAGCACTGTCGGGCTGGAACTGGGTATCCAACGGTATCGCCGGATTTCATTCCTCCGCAGCTCCGGAACTTGTCGTTGAATGTACTCTGGGCTTTGCGGCCGCTGTCTCCGGATGTCGGCTTGCCCGTCTTTGCTCGACATGGCTACCGGGTGCACACAGACATGATCCGCTTCTGGTGGCGACCACGCTCGGTTGAGAGCCAAATTGGTATGCTCTCGGATGTCGAGCGCCCCGCCGCCACGACTGCCTATGACTATCTCATGGGCGCTGACGACAGCTCTTACTCCCGGTTCGTCTACATGCACAACCAATTTCTGCGTCGGTACCGGAGCGACCTCAGCGGCGAAGAACGTGATGGCCGTCTGCGACTTCCGCGTCGCGCCCTCGAGGAAGTGGGGCTGGGGTGTGCCGTCTGGCCGCATCTATATCCCCGGACCACAATGTGCGAGACGCACATTCGCAAAGCCGATGTGCGGCGACGAGGCCGTCCTGCAGAGCAAGGCAGCTCTATGCTTGACAGTTTGGTCGATGCAGAGGATGCCGTCTCCGCAGACGAGGGCATGCAGGACTTGCACGACGAGCAAGAGGAGGATTGTTCGGAAGCCGACGAAGCCGAGGCCGCAGCTCCGCTGGACTTTGCCCGCTCCGGCCGCAACTCCGCGAAGAGTGCCTACTTGGCGAAGGTCCTTGGTCCGACGCTCGGCTACGGTGCCGATTACGAACTGTTTCAGTTCGTGTATGATCTTTGGCTTTGGAGTGCTCTCGGTGCCAAGAAGAACACGGTGGAGGCGCCTTTACGTGTGGCGATGTCCGGTTATTCCTTCTCGCCGGAATATTGGCAGACTCGACACGCCGCTCTCATCGATGTGGTCAAGCAACTGGGGCTGCCCACTCTCTTTGTTACTGTGGCGCCCTACGAATGGAGCTTTCCGTTTCATTCCTGGGTGGAAGACGAGATGGCGAAGTTGCTGCGTGGCAAGTTGCGGCTGCCGGTCGCGGAGACTCTCCACATAGCACACGTCCTGGCTCAGACGGTGCAAGGTTTGCTAACCGGCGCGAACAAGCAGGCGACGTCAGGGGCGGCCCGCTCCCGCGACGCCGGCTGGCGCAGCCACATCTTTGCAGCGAAGGATGGCAGCGGCCGCAAGACTGTGGTGAATTTTTTCGGTCGCCTGGAGTACCAAGATGGCAAGCGGCGCCGGTACGTCAACGAGCAAGAAGTCGCTTCGCAATTCTACCACGGCCGTGGCACCGTTCACTTGCACCTGTTGATTTGGCTCCAGCACATCGAAGCCGTCCGCCTCGAGGAAAGCTTGTCTGCTACCGTGCCCGAGGACAACCCCGTCATGGCGTCTTTGGTGGAAGGCTCCCAGCGCTCCTGGACTGGCAGCGGGTGGCCGGTACATCCGGGTGCCTCCCACTACGATCCTTCCGACGGCGTGCTTCGCCTCCAGCACAAAGAGTCGGACTTTTGCACGTTCAGCGATGCAACTGGTGACCCCGAGGGAGTGCGCGGCTACATCAAGGACTTGCTCGCCAGCTTGCACTGCCACACTGACGTGCAGATGTCGGACGGCCGCGGCATGCTGCTGCGTTACGTCTCGGGCTACGTACCCAAGTTTTCGGACAGCTTCACGACAGAGTGGCTTGCCGACGCCTGCAGCGACTACGCGGTTGCCCGGCGTGTCCTCACCGATTACCACCCCATGGAGCCAGAGATGACACTGCAACTGGCCATGCAGTGGTTCCCACAATGTTTTGCGGGCAGCACTTTGCAGCGCTTCCCTGTTCCTGTCCCTTGGGAAAGCGAGCTGCCGGAGCGTGTGCAGCAATACCTCTCCAGCCCCTGGCGGGCCGCCGACATGCCGCTGGCGGATTTCCTGCGGAGGACGAACCGGAAGGGGGCCATCCACCAAGCCTTGCGCAAACGCTACAACGACATGGTGGGGAGGCCTGGCACCGCGGAGCCACTCGAGTCCCTCGAGGTTTGGTCCAACAGCGCCCCTCTCTGTGGCGACGTGGCCGTGGCCGCCATTTACCTCTCCCGCTACAGCGATCGCTACTACGGGCAGTGGGTTCTCATGAACGTGCCTTTTCGAAGCTTGGACGAGCTGTACCGCCCCGAGCTCGACTTGGTCCCGTCGCACCTCTACTATCAGACGCTGGCATTCCTGTTGCGACCTCAACACTGGACGAGCGAGGAAGCCATTCGTGCAGAGCTCGAGCTGGAGGCATTCCGCGAGCACCACGTGCGCAACATCGTGGCCATGCTCTTTGCCAACCAAGGCTTGATCCGCAGGTACCTCTCCGGCGAGCTCGACAAGAATGAGGACGTCCCGAGTCCTGAAGCTGCGGCGCAGTCCTTCGGCGGCGGCGCCAGCGTCCGGCTATCCGTCCAGCAGCGTCGTATCGCCGACGAGATTGTGGACAGTGCGCAGGAGGGCATGCGCCGGCGACAGCAGCGCGAGGATGCCTGGAGAGGAGAGGGACTCACCAGACCCTGCCGATGCAGCGGCGGCGAATCCGGCCTGGGCAGCTGACCCTTCTCCTTTCGCAGGTGTGGTGGAGGAGGCCCGCACGCCCTTTGCTGTGCTCGGGCCGGCTGGAAGTGGCAAGACGACGGCGGTGCACGACGCCATACAACGGGTCTCTGCAGCGGGTGGCCGCATCTTGCTCACTGCCCCGACGGGCCGTTTGGCAGCCACTCTGCGCGAGCGCTTCCCGGATCTGGAGGTCGACACCGTGCATGGCGCCTTCCTCGTGCACAAGCCTGCGCAGGAAGCCTTCGAAGTGCTGTGGCCTTACGACCTGATCGTGGTTGAAGAAGTTGGCCAACTTTCTCGGACCATCTTCGAGCGTATCCTAGAGCAGTGGCAAGCGACCGATCGAATTCCCACTTTGGTGTTCGTCGGGGACTTCTACCAGTTGCCGGGTGTCGACCCCACCAGCGCTTTGGACTCCCCGCATTGGCACAGCGTCCTCATCAAGAAACGGCAGCTCCACACGATGCAGCGATGCAAGTGTCCGAAACTGCGGAAGGCCCTAGAACTCCTGCGTATCGGCAAGCCCTCTGTGGAACAGCTGCGCCAGATCACAGCCGGCCACAAAGCTCCTTCCTTGCGCAGAGCCGGGTACGTGATGAATGCGGAGCCATCGATGGAGGACGTGGCCCACATTCTCGAGGAGACTCCGAACACACTATTCTTGACAATCACTCGCCGCGCCTGCGCGCAACTGAATGATGCCGCCGTGGCCGCGCTCTTCCGCGAGGACACTCCCTTGGCGGTCGTGCCGGGCGACCCGGAGAGCAACGTGGAGAACTTCGCTCGCGGCCGGATGGTGACACAGACGCCCGTGGAGGTGCCCATTTACGCAGGCTCGCGAGTCATTCTCACCAAGAACTTGAACAAGTCCGTCGGGTTCGTCAACGGCATGGGCGCAGTGGTGCTGGGCATGGACCACGGCAACATCATCGTGAAGACGGACCAAGGAGTCAGGCTGGCCGTGCATCCTTGGACCTCCGAGGACCGCGTGCATCATTACCCGTTGCGGCTTGGCTATGCAAGCACCTTGCACAAAGTGCAGGGCGCGACCCTCCCGCACATCACCCTTTGGCTGGATGTGCCCAACATGCCCGCTGCGGCCTATGTCGCCCTCAGCCGCGTCGAGTACGACGCGAACTGGCGCTACGTGGGCAACCCCGGCGTCCATCACTTCTCGCCAGCACGCCTTCACTGAGATTTTCTCGCCATTCAGCGGCTTGTGCTCACGATTTTCTTTTCTGGCTGGCTGAGCGTGTAGCAGGTGCCGGCTTCAGTAGCTGGTCGGAATCCGACTGAGGGGTGCGCTTCATGGAAAATCGAAAGCACACGGTCGCGGCAAGCCATGGCTTGCTTCCGTTCGTCGAAGTTGGTTTGCACGTATGTGCCTCTGCAATGCTATATACCCGTGCCCCTTGCTCAGTTCTTTGGTGCTAGATCAAGTTTTGCTTTGCTTCCTGCCGCAGGCATTGGCTCACCACGACTTCTTGCATGCTTTTGCACTATTAATGCCCTTGTCTTACCGCTCTGAAGCAAAGTGTCTACGTTTTTTTTGTTTCGTGGGACTCCGACAGTGGTACGCAGTGAAAGCACGCAAAGTGTGCAGCAGCGGCAAGCCAGGGTCGAGGTGGGAATTGAGGGCGTAAGCCTTAAACCCTAAAAGGCAATATTTTGGGTGGTAGCCTGTGTACTCTCACAGCGGGTGGGACAAGGTTAGGAACCAATGTGTAATTGTTTGGTAGTGGAATCGCATTCGAACGCTAGACGTAGATATGCCGCCCCCTCACACCCCTGGGAGTGTTGGGGCGCCATCCTACATAGAAAATACTGCCGCTGCGCGGCGAGACGCCCTAAACCCTAAACCCCTAAACCCTAAACCCTAAACCCTGCGGCTCTCGGCAGCCTTTGGCACGCCAGGTCCGAGGAAATCGTCTCAGAGGGCCAGGACCTCTGAGGGAGGAAAGCCAGACAGGTTTAGGGTTTAGGTTTAGGGTGTAGGGGTTCAGGGTTTAGGGGTTAGGTTTAGGGTTTAGGGTTTAGGGTTTAGGCTTAGGGTTTAGGGGTTTAGGGTTTAGGAGTTTAGGGTGTAGGGGTTTAGGGTTTTGGGGTTTAGGGTTTAGGGTTTAGGATTAAGGGTTAGGGGTTTAGAGTTCAGGGTTTAGGAGTTTAGGGTTTAAGGCTCTCTGAAGGACGAAAGCTCTGGACTTTTGCTGATCAGGGCTTGGGGGGTTTAGGCTTTCATGAGTTTAGAGTTTGGGGTTTGGGGTTTCGGGCTTGATATTACAGTGTGACTGTAGGGGAAGGGAATCATATGTAAGTGTCCATTGTTCTGAGTTCTATACTTTCCGACTTGACAACTGAACCTTCGGGAACTTTCGCAACGTTGTTTCTGCATCCAGCTGTGGGTTCCGGAAAGCCTAAGCCCCCTAAACTGAACCCTAAACCCGAAATCCGAAAGCTTAAATCCCTAAATCCTCCAGCTTAAACCCCAAATCCAAACCCTGAACCCACGCCCTATGTAAAGGTTTTGGGGCTGTGCAACTGGACGACAGCTTCGTGAACCTGTGTAGTTGCGTAGCTGTCATCCTCCAGAAGTGGAGAGCCCGGAATGTAAGGTTGAGGGATCCCTGCTTGCAGCCCTGAGGGTGCTGCCCCATGCGAAGGCCAGCGGACTTTCCGGCCTTCTTGTCTGTCCTGGCAACAGGCCATAGACAAAATCTCATTATCCACGCGAAGGCGTGTTTAGGATCGAGGTTTATACAACATATGCCAGGTACTGCAGGATTTGTCCAGCACTTGCAACAACTGGATCCAAACCTAAGGATTGTGCGGTACTGCCTGTCTCGATGGGGTTCGGGGGGGGGGGGGGGGGTTTCAGGGATCCGAATTCCGGGATGTTTCGGAGCCAGCTGATGTTCACGGACGCTTCCTGCTGCCCGCTATCGAAATCCGTCTAATCCTTCTGCCGCGTGGCATTCGTTGCGCCATTTCTTGAATGAGTGCTTAGAACCTTGTAAGGTAAAAATTCGGTCAAAGCCCTCAACCTGCCACATCCCAAGTCGTTGAGCCGAAAGCCCTTGAATGCCCTAAACACTAAGCCCTCAACCCGAAGCCCCAAGCGTTGAACCGTAAACTCCAAGCTTAGTCTTAAAGCACTTATCGAACCTTCAGAATCGGTGACCCTTCTCATACCCCCTTTGAGCCCTGAAAATACCTGCAAAAGGACCCTCAAAAGGAGCATAAAAGGGACCGAGAGAATCTCCAAAGCATGCCAGGCGAGACGGGGAGGAGCTGCCCTTGGTGAGAAGAGAGGGCGGGCTCGCATCCGGAACCACCTCCGGGGGCAAAACGAAGCGGATGGGCGCGGGTTGCTCAGGAGATTCTATAAATGCCAACCCTGGGCGCGCCTCTCAGCTTCAAAGAAGACATGAGAGCAAGGCCCTTCACCCTAAACCCTAAACCCTACACCCTAAACCCTAAACCCTACACCCTAAACTCTAAACCACCCTCAACATGCTCAGGTCGAAGCCTTGTGGGAGGTTTTCCGAAACAATTGTCTGTACAGGTTCACCTTCTTGGAGCAACAAAACCTCGAAACCCAGAAAAAAACGAACGCTAAGACGACTGAAACCCTGAGATCGCCTCAGACTCCTCCACGCACTCCTCCTGGCTGTCCACCCAGAAGTCGAGGTAGGGAACCAGCCTGCACTGAAGGTGGCCATCGTCTAGAGGCCCAAAGACTACCTGGAGGATCTCATGGGACTTAGTAAGCAAGGTTATAAGTACCTGAATTGGAGTTATAGCTAATAACATCTATATTTACCGTATTTATAACCCTAGTTACTAAGTCCCATGATCCTCCAAGCATGTGAACCGACTATCCATCGAAAGCTCACATTTTCGACGTCTTACACCCCTACAGTCTAAGCCCAAACACCCTGAACCCTAAACATCCCTAAACCCTAAACACCCCTCCAGCCCTCTTAGCCAAGGATCCTGCTTAAAGGCCCGCCTGGCCACCTTTTGGTGTGGCACGGGTCGGTCAACAACCTCCTGGATGTAGGAGACCTCTACATGGAGGCATAGGACTTTTGAGAGTTCTGGGTTTGGGGCTTAAGGTTTAGGGATTAGGGGTTTTGGGTTTAGGGATTTGAAGGTTTTGGGTTTAGGGATTTAGGGGTTTAGGGTTTAGAAATTTAGGGTTTAGGGTTTAGGGATTTAAGGGTTTAGGGTTCAGGAATTAGAGAGTTGCGGGTCGAAGACTTTAAGGGCCCAGAGCTTCGGCTCACAAGGGGCCTCCGGTTGATGATATAAACCCTGCAGTATCCATAATAAGGAATATACCATAATTCCCATAGCTTAGGGTCCTTAAGGTAATGCAGGATTTATATGATCAACCGTAGCTTCGGGAGGGCGGCGCAGCTTCTCATGCAATCGGTGTCTCTCTCTCTCTCTCTCTCTCTCGCTCTTCTCCCTGGCGCTTTGTAGGGAATGGGGGAATGGATCCCTAAAGTAGCCCCTACAAAATCTTCAGGAATGGTTCCCCATAATCCATTCCCCCATTCCCTACTAAGCACCAGGGAATCTTTTTCTCTTTATGTCCGTGTCTCTCTCCCTCTCTCTCCCCCTCTCTGTCCCCCGTCACAACCACCCTAAACCCTAAACCCCTAAACCCTAAACCCCTAAACCCTAAACCCCTAAACCCTAAACCCCTAAACCCCTAACCCCTAAACCCTAAACCCCTAAACCCCTAAACCCTAAACCCTAACCCCTAAACCAACCCCTAAACCCTAAACCTACAGGCTCTGAGCCTGAGCCCTCTCCTGGCCCCTCTGGGTATCCGGGCCGTCATGAAGAAAGAGTTGATGGAGCCCGAGTAGCTGAGCAAGCCCGCCCTGGCAGTTCTAGGGTTTTGGGGTTTAGGGGTTTAGGGGTTTGGGATTTAGGGTTTAGGGATTTAGGGGTTTGGGATTTAGGGTTTAGGGTTTAGGGATTTAGGGGTTAGGGTTTAGGGTTTAGGGTTTTAGGGGGTTTGGGCTTTAGGGTTTCGGGTTTAGGGTTTGGGGTTTAGGGTTTTTGGGGTTTGGGGTTTAGAGGTTTGAGGGCCCGAGACCAAAAGTCTGGAAACTCCTTGTGTTGGGTTTTGCCATGAGTTTAGGGTCTTGTTTTGGGTGTTCTACTGTTGATGGACAAAATCCTGCATGACCCTAAGGACTCTAAACTATGGGAACCATGGTATATTCCTTACAATGGGTAATGCCGGATTTTGTCCATCAACAGTAGGGCGTGGGTAGGGATCCTGACTTGGTGCTCGAGTGCTGTAAATGCTTGGCAATCAGAGTTTTCGGGTTTGGGGCTTGACAAGGCGGATTTGCATGTGGGTGGTTGTCAAAATTATGGCCCCTTTTTGGTTACCCCTAAATAATAAGTGCCGTACTATAATAAAGACCCAAAAAATGACCCTAATTTTGACAACCACCCATGTAGGGTTGACGGAGCACTCGTTGCTTGACCCTCTCGCGCGCTTCACCGGAGCATAGAGAAAGTTATATGGCATGTGTCGAGAACAGACTGGAATTGCGCTGTCTACTTCTCTAAATGCCATACGTGTTGCAAGCTGGTGGGCAAAGCAAGGATCGTCGGTTTCTGGAACCCCTGCATTGCACATATAGTACTATCTATCGAGATCGAGTGGACCGCATGGCATGAACCCTAAACCCTATGTAAACTCTATGCGGTCTCCCTCAACCCTAAGTCCTCTGGACCAAAAATCCTAAACCTTGCATGATAGCCATGAAGGGAGGAGGGCTGCAGGCATGATCCGGAGTCGCGCCTCGATCACTTGCCCCCAAAGACGCTGATCTGAAACTGTCAACTCTTCCACCAACACGATCCTAACGGTGGATGATATAAATCCTGCACTACTTTAAGGACCCTAAACTATGGGAATTATGGTATATTCCTTATTATGGGTAATGCAGGATTTATATCATCAACAGAAGGATTGAGGCTTAGCGTTTAGCCCAAAGCCTCGGCCCTAAGCCAATTCACAAACGAGCCCTTCAGGTCAAGACCTGCCTGTCTTGGGGTTCCTAACCCTAAAACCTAAACCCATACGCAAGACCCAGAACCCTCCGAAGCATTCGGCATGCCTATTTCGAGCTTGCAGCACATCCTTTGGTGCCTGGTGGAAGGAATGTCCTACTTAGAGGATCATGGGACTTAGTAAGTAGGTTATAATTAGGGTTATAAGTCCCCTAAGCGGTGTTATCCTACTTATATCCTACTTAGAACCTTACTTACTAAGTCCCATGAGCCTTCAAGTACAGCTTTAGCATGTTGGGTTTAGGGGACGAAGGGTTAGGAGTTCAGCGGTCCAGGGTTTCTGCTTTTTAGGAAAATTAGGAAAAATAAAATCGCAAACGACAACTCAGAGGCCCAATTTCAAAAACCACTGAAAAATGAAACAAAGCCTTCTTCATCTTCTGCGTTTCCAGGATTCAAGATCTAGTGAATCTACTGACTACTTCCTCAGTTGCTGTATGAGGCCTTCTGGCTGCCCAGGAACTTGATCGAATCGAAGACGGCGTCGCAACTGCGACTTCACAGTTTCAGAAACGGACCCTCTCTTGGGGAGTCTTATTGACTATTGAGAAAACATGGAGGTCACACCAGCCCAGAAAATTACACCCCAAAAAAAACCCTAAGGCCTAACCCAGCCCCCACGCCCCTAAACCCGAACAAACCCAGCAAAAAAAAAAAAAAAACAAACCCTGAACCATCAATCCGGAAAAACTGCTTCCATGTATAAACACGCAAAACTTACGCCCCAAATCATAAGACCCAAAACCCCCAAACCCTAAACTCAAGACTCCGGCCTGCGATGCTTCAAGGCCGCATGCGGCATCTTCGATGTCAGCGAACTGCGAAGGAGTGAGGGTGTAGGGTTCTGGGACGGGCTGTTGGGATTTGAGGGCTTAGGGTTTATAGAGTTGCGGGTTCTGCTGACAGAGAGACCTGCCTTCAGGTTCGGAAAAGCCCGGAGTTCTAAAGAAAATAGGCTTAAACCCCAGACCTACAGCCCTGTGAAATCCAGATTCTCAAACTTTCAAGGCCCGAACAGCCAGAGCCCTGAGCCCTCGGAAGGCCAAGCCCTAATACAAGGCCTGAATAGCGAAGATGGTGGCTTTCGGATATATTCTACTACAACCACAATCAGGGGAGAGTATTACCAATTGCTTAGGCTGCTATACTACACCAAAGCCCCAAACCCTAAGTGCATCAATCATGCTGCCTGCGTCGAGACAGGGCTTTGTCTGACTACGAAGAGTTCGACGTCCTGGCGGCGAAAGCGTTGGGGTTTGGTGCAGGCTTAGGGTTTTGGGTTTGAGGCTAGGGGGTAAGGTTTAGGGTTTGTGGCGGAAGAGTAATGCACACCCCTGATGTAGAAGCCCCTTCCCTCAACAGGGGACCCCATAGGTATCCTCATACAAAAGCCTTCACTTGCCAGGCATCTGAATTAGGAACTACAGTCGAGAAGGTGGTGCGGGGTCTTACCTTGAATTACCGAAACCTACTTTTGGTCGGGTAGGTTCTACATCAGGGCTTGTTATATTAAGAACATACAAAAGAGTAGGTTATGGTGGGGCTTGGGAGAAAAAAACGGGTCCCGGATCTCGGAGTAGACGGCTTCAAGGCCGGTCCTAACCCTGAATGGAGTATTTTCTATTGGAAAAACCTAGACAAGTACGGTTTGTTTTTTGCAAAAAGCTACGTAAGCCCTAAACCCTATACAACTTCGGAGTCCTTGAGTTCTGGGATTGAGGGCTGCACGGTTCAGGGTTTAGGGTTCAGGGTTTAGGGTTTAGGGTTTAGGGTTTAGGGTTTAGGGTTCAGGGTTTAGGGCTTAGGGGAGCTTGATCTGGAATGTGTTGTAAGTTAAGTTGTTCACGGAGCCTGATGTAGAGACGTGAACAGCCGCTAGACTCTACTTAAAGGCTCATGGGACTTAGTAAGTAAAGTTATATAAGTAAGATATAATTAGGACAACCCCACTTAGGGAACTTATAACCCCAATTATAACCTACTTACTAAGTCCCATGATCCTCTAAGTACTGCCTAGACCCCTTTAAGGAACCCTATAGATCCCTTTATAAGGGGCATTACTTACTAAATCCCATGATCCTCTAAGTAAACCCTGAACCACTGAGGTTTTGCGCTGAGGGCCCCCGGCCTCAGCGATGTCGCCACGCTCAGCAACCTCTACGGCGTACAACATGTCTACCAGGACCCTCCTTGTACCCTCAAATAGGGGGTATATGGTCCCAAATAAGGGGCATTTAGGGCCTAATAGAGGATAGATGGAGGGTCTAGGTAGGGTTTAGGGTTGAGTGCTGCGGGGATTCTGGTTTAGGAGTGTTGGTTGAGTGTTTTAAAGATTCAAGTTCTGGGGGTTTGCGTTTGCGGTCAAGGGGTTGAGTTTCAGGGATTTGGGTTTGGGGTTTAAGGTTGGGGCTTGGCGCTTGCATCCTAGGGTTTAGGTTAGGGCTTGTGGCTTGCAATCTAGGGCTTGGGGCTTCAAGTGTATGGTTTTCGGGTCTAGGAGTTTGCATTTTAGGGTTCAGGGCTTGCAATTCAATTGTAGGTTCTTATGATAAACCCTAATACGGAATTTATAGGGACCCTACTTTTTTGTAGGTTCAAGGTCGGTGTAGGGTTTCGGGTTCAGGAACTTGTGTGCGTGACCTGGAGCTTCCGGTGTGAGCCAAGTCTTGGCTTTACTCAACCCTACTTAGAGGCTCATGGGACTTAGTAAGTAAGGTTACAAGTAGGATATAATTAGGATAACCCCACTTAGGGGACTTATAACCCCAATTATAACCTACTTACTAAGTCCCATGATCCTCTAAGTATGGTGAACCTCAGAAAGTTGGAACATTGATTTAGGATGATTGATGCTGGGATTCCCTAGACTTTACTTTGAGGGCACGAGGATAGCGATGTTTCGACTTTCTGGCTTCTACTGTAAACATGCTAAGCCCCTAAGCCCGAAGCCCTCAACCCTAAAACCGAACCCTTTACCCCCTAGGCCCTTGACCTGTAGGGCCTACGTAGAGTTTTATCGGTTTAGGGTTTAGGGTTTAGGGTTTAGGGTTTAGGGTCGCCACAGGCCTTGCACGCACAGTCCACATCTAAGTGGCGGCAAAAGCCAATAAAAACCTGAGACGAGGACATGGGCTGAAGTACTTAAAGGCTCATGGGACTTAGTAAGTGTAGGGTTCCTTAAAGGGATCTATAGGGTTCCTTAAAGGGGTCTATAGGGTTTAGGGAGTACTTAGAGGATCATGGGACTTAGTAAGTAAGGTTATAAGTAAGATATAATTAGGACAACCCCACTTAGGGGACTTATAACCCCAATTATAACCTACTTACTAAGTCCCATGATCCTCTAAGTAGGTGGGGATTTGAGGCTGACGGGATTCTGGCCACAAGAAGTTGAACAGGGATTTCATCAAAACCCCGAAGCCCTGAACCCTGAATCCTTAAACCCCAGACTCATGGGGCAGGGTTGAGGCTTTAGGGGTGTCAGGTTTCGGGGATTTGGGTTAGGAGATTTACGGCCGTTGCCACCAGTACTGGTGGTATCGTGTTGTGAATATCATGCTTGCTACGATTGCGAGCATGACTAACAGCAGTGCTAGCATTATCAGTCTGAGGTTATCGGGCTAGTGGTGGTTGCCAGCAATACTGGTGGTACTGCTGATGGACAAAATCCTGCATGACCCTAAGTACTCTAAACTATGGGAACTATGGTATGTTCCTTATAATGGGTAATGCAGGATTTTGTCCATCAGCAGTATTGTTGTGAAATATCATGCTTGTTGCGAATGCGAGCGTGATTAACAACAGTGCAGTGCTGGTATTGTCAGCGTGAGGTTCGAGAGTTCTAGGGCTAGTGATGGCCTTCCCCCTCGAAGGGTCAGATGACATCCAGACTGTACAACCTGAGCTTGAACTAAAAGCACAGATCAAAGCCACACTAAAGCGAAAAAGCTTTCGCCTGTGGACCTCGATCGCTCTAAATCATAAGGATTAGAACACCAAGACGGAGACGACTGTCGTAGTAATTACACATGTACCATCACCATGACTACTACAAAGAGGTTCATGGCCACCACCACCATCATCATCGTCGTCAGAAGCAGCACCACCATGAGAACAGCCGAAGGCATGATCATGATTCGCGTGTAGCAAATACCGCGATACCCTAAACCTAAACCCCAAACACGAAGCTCTTAAAACAAAAACACTTCCAACCGTACTAACTCTAAACACCAAACTCTGAATCCGCTCGACCTCAGCCAGACGTAGCCTTGGGGGGCCCAGCGGGATCGCAAACTCGTGCGAGAAGGTTTTCTGTCCCCACGATGTGCAAGCACTCGACCTGCCAGGCTCTCAACATAGGGCCCCATAAGTAGGGCCCAACAAAGCACATGAGCAAAAATTGGGATAGGGATATCCCATATAAACTCCCTTATCATGAAGCCCAGTAAGGTAGGGATATCCCTATAAATTGCTAATGCTTATGTCCTTCTTGAAACCCTGAAATAATTGGAATAGGGCTTTGGGGCCCATTATACGTACTATACTTATAATAAGGAAACCCCAAAATAGTATTGGTAATTACTCAGGCCCCTCTATAGTACCCTTATAGTACCCCTTAAAGGACCCCAAAATAGCGTAGGTAATTTTTTTCGGCCTCTACATTCAACCCCAAAAGGTCAAGGCTTCCGAATTGAGTCTCCGGCCCCTCGGTCGCGGCACTGCTCCAGGGCGGAGGAGCTCGCCTGTAGCAGTTTGGGGCTTTTAAGACATACAGTAGAAGCCCAAAAGTTGGAAACCCAATAGCCTCAATCCTGAAGAGTAATGTATGGGGAATCCCAGCACTATTTGGCCTAATCCGGCTTCCAACCTTTATGGGGTTTAATGTAAGGCTTGGGGCGGTTTAGGATTTAGGGTTTAGAGGTTCAGTGTTTGGGGGATTTCGGCTTCAGGTTTGGGGTACCACAAGGTTCAGGGCGGTTCAGAATATAGCCTAAATTCAAGGACGAAAAGAATGTAGATAAATTCAAGGCCTTAAAATATGTAGATTGTTACAAGCAGGAAGACATACCTTGCTCTTATCCAGTGTTACAATGAGTTCTTCGTCGGTTCATTCCTGCGGCTCTTGATGCTCAACCCTGCACCCTAAACCCTGTACCCTAAATCCTAAACCCTAAACCCTAAACCCTGAACCCTGAACCCTAAACCCTAAACCGTCAAGACCTTCCGAAGCTGCCGAGAGGCGAATTCCGACGTCCACCCGGACAGTCAATAGTCTCAGAGAACCCGGGGTTTTTAGGGGTTTGGGGGATCCTTAAAGGGTTCCTTAAAGGGATCTATAAGGCCCGGCCTTAAAAAGGGGCAGAGAACCCTAATATCCCTTAATTAAGGAATATACCTTAATTAACATCAGGGATCCTACTATGATTTAAGGAATATTCTTTAATTAAGGGGTATTGGGATCTCTGGGGTTCAGAACAAGCACTCAAGTCTTCAAAAGAACACGAGCATTCAAAAAACAAGCGAACCCTGCGCGTATAAGAACCATAACCCTGAAGCACTTGGGTTTCCAGGGATCTTGCCAAAAAAACCGAGCTCGCGACAAGCGCTCTCAACACGGCGCCGGTGCCGCCAGGAGATTGCGCGAACTCCCCTGTAAAGGCGTATGAAGGCTTTATGCAGGTTAATAGGGCTTTATGCAGGCGCCCTACAAATTTGGCGTTATGAAGGTGGAAGGATGCTAAGGGGGCCTAATGAGTCTTGCGAGGAACTCAGGGAGTTCGAATTCGAGTTTCGAGCTCGGGTTCAAAGGTAGTTCAAGGCTTCGGGATTTGCAGTTCAATCCTTTGGAGAGGGCTGCTAGCGGGGTTTGAAGGTAAACCCTGCCCTAGACCCTGAACCCCGAAGGTTTAAGAGGCTAGGTGCTGTGGACACAGAGACCAAAGAGCAGAATTCGTCAAGATTCGGTCAGGGTTTAGGGTTTAAGGTGTAGGGTTTAGGGCTAAGGGTTTAGACTTTAGAGTTTCGATGTTTCGATTCTACGGATGCATCGAATTCAAAGCTCAGTTTGGCTTTGCAGATCTTTGGAAGGTCTGGGGCTTAGGGTTAGATGTAGTTTAATTAGGGTTTAGGGTTTTGGGTTTTGGAAGGACTAGTAATATCAGCAAGATCACTAGTAATATCAGTAAGATACCCACACAGTCCCAATATAATTGCACTGGTACTACACAAATGAACGACAAAACCTCACTCCAACTATTCAAACCCCCGCCATGTCACCACCACGACTGCGCCTCCTAAGCTTTGTGCCAGGAGCTTGCCATTCATGTCGAAGACAGGTGCAACCTTCGGAGAGGTAGTCAATGCGTCTGAATAGTTACCACACTATTCCTCAGGGTTCCGTCAATTAAGTAGAGTATCATGTGTTCCCAAGCACCCTATTCTGTGCGTTCATGATATTTTTCTTCTTACCATGAATGCTCTCACTGTTGTTGTACATTTCTTTGATTGTGATGATGGCTATTCGTATGTATCATCTGCTAAGGCCCCTGTGCTTCGGGGTGTGCGGATTGTCAAAGCTCGATCCACACCCTGCTGGTGCAGCAGATCCCTTCCGCCCGACCACCCACCCGATAATCCTAAACCCTACCTGTAGCCGAAAAGACCTACCTTTTCAAAGAAACTATATAGAGAAACCATAATAGGGAACTCTAAAACGGTAGGTCGTTTCGGCTACAGGTAAACCCTAAACCTCCAAGTTGTGCTCTTCTCAGTTTGCAGACTTCGGGTCAGCCTTTGGGATGTAGGGACTTTTTGGATGGTTCAGGTTTCCGTTGGGGAGACTCATGTGGCCGCTTCCGGGTGCGGAGCAGGGGGCCACGGAGGTTTGGGGTGACGCAGGGTTTAGGGTTTAGGGGTGTCGTTCCATAAGGTTAAGGCCCACTGTGCCCCTAACAGCGTGTCTGACGACCTCGTTGTGCCAACTTGTGGCAACTTTGTGGCAGATGAGTCTGCAAAAGCTGCCCTGCAGGCTGACTTACCTGGGATTGACGACATCTGTAACGAGATAGTGTCTTGGAAAAAACAGCAAAGTGAAGGTCTTCGACTCTTCTTTCAGTACTTGATTGAGCTGACAAAGATTGTGGTTCCTGGCCGGAGACGCGCTCTTGCTACAGAGACAGTTACCTGTCAGGAGGCGATGGAGCCCCTTGACATCTTTCGCATATGGGAGTCCAGGTCGCCACGGGTCCCACAGCCCCTTTGCAGTACCAGTTTACCGGATGCAACGTTGCAATGTGCTGGATGGCCTCAATGGTATTTGACTGCATTGTGGAAGTGGGCCGGAAGTTTGTCCTGGGGTTGTCAGGAGCACGTACCACGCCGTGACCGAGGAATTACCTTTTTGGAGCTTTTGGCGAGCTTTGTGGTCTGCTCTCACTGCTGCCCGCCGGTGTCCGGCAGTGAGAGAGGCCCCATGCTTGACCCCCTGGGTGCAGATGGAGTTCTTCAACCGGTTGTCATTCGGCTGGCCTCAGCCAATCTGGTACAGGGCGTCCGCTTCCTGGAGCGCCGCACGAAACAGAAGCTGTGGCCTGCAAAAGCCCATACTCATGTGCGATCTTTCTCCCCGCTGAATGACGTGCACGGCAGAAAGGGCCTGAGCAGACGGCCTGAATTACCGCATGCACACTTGACCTACGACCTGGTTCTCCAGCTTTGGGCGACCAACTGTGGTGAAACTCTGCGGGAAACAGCTTGGCGGCTACGGCGAAGTTAGATCGGAATAGGTTTTTGGCTATCGCAAATGCGATGCCCCGACGCCCAATGTGGCAGGACTCGTCGCTGGCAGGACATGAGGGAGAGGTGGCGTCGCGCTCAGCTGGCCCACTCTTTCCCCTTCATACCCGTGAAACGTTTAGGGGTGTAGGGGTGTGGGCGGGGTTCAGTGGGTTGGGGGTTTAGGGGTTCAGGGTTTAGGGGGCTGAGGGGGGTGTAGGGTTAGGTTAATCTTAAGATCTGGAAATTGAAAGATCCAAAAAGAAGCTAAAGCTATCCGAAACATCATAAAGCGACTACGACCGAAAAGGCACCTAAGCTCCCTACAGCCTAATTATACCTGCCCCCCTGTTTTTCATGAAAACACCTTAAACCCCAAATGCCTGGACCCTAAATCTTGGACCCTGAAACCGAAACACCATAAACTTTAGACCACAAAAGTCCCAAAGCCCAAACCCCAAAACCCAAAGCCATAAACCCTAAACCCCAATTCCTGAACAGCTAAACCTAAAGACCACCCCCCAAACCGCTAAACCGTGTACGCCTAAAGGAACCCTTAAAGGAACCCTAAACCCTATACCCTTAAAGGAACCCCAGACCCACACCCTTAAAGGAACCCTTAACCCTATACCCTTAAAGGAACCCTAAACCCTATACCCTTAAAGGAACCCTTGAAGGAACCCTAAACCCCAGGTCAGAGGTCCAAGCCGGTTGATCGAAAAAGATCACGTCACCGGGGTGCAATCCGAAGTACTGATTCGCCTGGCGGGAGAGTTAACCCTAAACCCTAAACCCTAAACCGTGGCTCTAAGGGTTTATAGGGTTTAGGTCTTGACTTTTACGGTTTGGGGGGGTAAGGGTTCTGCAAGGGGTCTTCAGGTTTTGGGGTTTAGAGGTTAGGGTTTTGTGAGTTTGGGAGGAGAGCTGCCAGGGTTTATGCTTTATACCTTAACCTACCCAAACCTACTTACTGTTTTATAGGCTCTAAAAAACAAACGCTATATAATATGGGATTTCTAGAGACCCTACAAAAAGTCGGATCTGGTGGGTTAAGGTAGGGTTTAGGGTTTTGTAAGAGGTCTTCAGGATTTAGGGCTTGAAGTGTACGGTTTGGGGCTTAGGGTTTGGTGCATTTGGGACCTTTCACGGCTCCGGTGGTAGGGCAGTAGCGTGCGGGGTTTACAATTCATTGGGCTTACAAGACTACGACCTTACGCACACCCCCATAGTAGTTCCTTTTTGGGAACACCTTATAGGATTCTATATACTAACCCCAAAAAGGAACTAAACTACTTTGGGGCGTTTGTGTAAGCTTCCAGCATGGCCAGCCCCGGGTGGCTTGGCACCTCTGCCGAGAAGGCCCCTTTTAAAGTTGGAAAACGAAATACTCTGATAATGGGGCAACAATAATGGCCCAATACTTGTAGAAGGCAATTATTCTACGTACTGTGGGGGTCCAGGTTAGTGCTGGTACCCTAGAGCCTGCAGTTGGGAATGAAGACAGTGAGCGTTCAATCTTATGGCCGATACTGTCAGCCCTGTGCCTCCACTAGAAACCTGGGATCTAGCCACCAGGCATCCGCGCCTTCAGTTTCAAACTCAAGGCCCACCTTCTTCAGGCCTTACAAACGCTCCTGTAAGAGCCCTCTGGAAACCTAATACTCATGACCCGGATCAAGGTCTTCATGAAGCTTTACAGCCACCATAAGCCCGCATACATCGCACACCACCTGAAAAATAACAAAGGCTTCGTGGAACACCTTTACATCCTGTAATCCAAGCCCCAAACCCGAACTCTCAACCCGAAACTCCAAACCCTAAACCCTCAAACCCTAAACCCTTATCCAACCCAAAACCCTTGCATTTCCCAAACCCTTGGACCTCGAAATGCTCGAAGACCGCTCGGTGGGTCAGCCGAGAGGTGAGAACGAGGACCTCGGCATGCAAGAACTTACCTTTGGTTGGTAGGGAATGGAGGAATGGGGTACAATTATAGCTGCTACTACTACTACTACTACTACTGCTACGACTACTGCTACTTCTACTACCAGTCTTCCATCCCGCACTGACTAAAGGTAAGAAGAGGAGGTGGGAGAGCCCGAACCCGAGCCTGCAGCCTTGCCTCAAAAGCTTGAACCTCAAACAGTAGAGTTTAGGGTTTAGGGTAAGAGTTGGGTATAGGGCTTAACTAAGGACCCGACACCCTAACAACCCAACACGCGAGACTCATAGATCCGACTTCCTGAACTCGAACACGTCTTGAGTCCGTGCCGACGTATAATCGGACTTGTTTAACAAGGCACTTTCGCGTATAGCAGCCGTAAAAACCTAAACCCCGAGCCCGAAACTAAACCCTGAATCTTCAAACCCAAATCCCTAATCCTTGAACCTCACACCCGAAACCCGAACTAACCCCACCTAAATGGCTGCGGGCTCAGGAGTTCGAATCGTAGAGCGGGCTCAGTGTTCCAGGCTATGGCGTTTGGGATTTGGGGCTTGGGGGTCCATACATCCAAGAAGCAGTCTTTCTACTTGCAGGCTCACGGAACTTAGTAGACAACTGAGGAAGAGTTATACACTTACCCTTAAAGTCCAAAGGACCCAGTAATTAGGTGCTGCAGCATGGGGTTTAGGTTAGTAGCTATGTCGGTTACTATAATGGGGAGACGTATGATAATCCCTCATTGTTTGCGCCTTCTTCGTCCCGGGGTCCTTCAATTAGTGTCCAGATTCTACTTAGAGGATCATGGGACTTAGTAAGTAGGTTATAGTTAGGGTTATAAGTCCCCTAAGTTATCCTAACTTTCACCTACTTATAACCTTACTTACTAAGTCCCATGATCCTCTAAGAACCCTAAACCCTACCCTCAACCGTAAACCCTATCCCAAACCCCTAGACCCTTAAACCCCTAAGGTACACCCTAAACCCCTAAAACCTGGACCCTGAAGTTTAGGGATCCAGGGGTTTCGGGTTTTGCAGTTGCCCCTGTATTATATTGCCTACGCGCCCTACACCCTAAACTCTAGTTCTCCTGGGTCTCTTGGGGTACGTGGGCCCCCTAAACCCTAAACCTAAACCCTAAACCCTACCCTAAACCCTAAACCCACAACCCGAAACTGAACCCTAAACCCCAACCCTTAACCCTAGTTCCCCTGGGTCTCTTCGGGGACCTGGGCTCCTTGCCGGTATCGCAACCCGCTTTGCTGCCCGACGATCCTCGCACCCGGGGGAGTCGGGAAGTAACGTAGGGACCCAGATAAAGACCCCAGAATACTATGGTCCTTATTCTGAGGACTCCCAAAAATGTACCCCTAATGTTGGGCTTTAAGAATTAGAGTAAAGGGGCTCCGTTAAGGGATACTATCATAAGGGTGCTATAGGATTTAGGGTATTGAGGCCTTAATGGTTAGAATATGGCTTTTTTGGGGGGTACCGCATCATAAATGTAGTATAATATACCACCAAGCCCTATTCTAATTCTTGAGCCTCCTACATAACGCTTCGAAACTTGAAGGTGCTGCATCTTGGTGGATGGTATAGCCCAGGTTGCTGGGAGGACTGCTTAAGGAAGCTCTTTGCTGACGGGTGTCGTCGTCTGAGATGTAATGCGCGGGTCTTGGTTCAAGGTATGGGCCAATAGCTTGGAAAAAGACTCTTGTGTGCAAATCACCACGAAATCTTCAATCCCAAGCAAGTTGCAAGTGCAGGGGCCTGACTATTTGGAATAGAGAATATAAGGGGATACTGTTGGTACCTATTCCGACCCCTATATAAGGTACTAATGTTGAATCCTTTCCACCCCAGTCCAAAGTCCTTCAAAACCACACGATGCCCTCATAACACATGAAAGTCAGCATAATACAGGGGCCTTAACACTTACCTATACTGTTTTGGGGTTCCTTATTATACTTAGTGTATAACGGGCCCCAAAACCCTATTCTCTTTATTGAGGCCTCTATCTCAACTAGCGAGAGGCGAGGCGGTTCTTCGAAGGAAATGGTTCTTCGTACCGAAAGCAATCTCCACCCTTGACGATCGCCATAGGCTCGATTGTAGTTCCCTTTTGTGGTTGGGTTTAGGGTTTAGGGGGATGTGGGGTTTAGGGTTTAGGGTGTATATTTAGGATCCTATAAGGTAATCCCCGAACAGAAAGTACTATGGAGCCCATGGGTAGCCACTCAAGGAGTTGTTTGAAAAGAACGCCAGCCCACAAACCCTAATTGGGACCCAATGTCCCTAAACTGCAAACCCTCCATCGTAACGTTTTGGACCCATTGCAGCCTTAATGATTAGAATAGGGTTTTGGGGCTCATTATACTATGAATATAATAAGGAACCCCCAAAATCGTATGGGCAATTATCTAAGACCCCATAGTACGGAATGTACGATACAATGCTTTTGGGGGTCATTTGGCTTTATGATGGTCTTGAACTTGCAAATGCACTACGACAACGGAAGCGGCCAGAACAATAACAGGTTGATTTCAATGCTTGCCCGGCAGTATATGAAGCACACCTAAATCCCCAACCTTACACCTAGACCCCAAAAGGAAAACTCCTAAACCATAACCCCAAAACCCCAAACCCAAAACCCCAAGCCGCGCCGTAAAACTGAAAGCCCTAAACTCTGAACCCTCAACCCCCAACCCCTAGACCCAGAACCCTCAACCCTAAACTCCCAAACCCCAAACCGACGCAGCCCGGGTCCTCAGTTCGGCAAAGCATTGCCACGCGCCGCACTCGTTCGCACAGCAGCCTCAAGAAGGTGCTTGTAGGGATTCATAACGTTTCGTGGGGTTCTACAGAGTCTTGGAAGTATTTTTTGGAGTTTCCATGGGGTTTAATCTGGATGTTTATGACTAGAATGGAGTTTGGTGTAGTTTGTGCTTTGTTCCGACCCCTGCGTCTGCAACTTGTGCACGGTTCCAGCTGTCTGCATTTGCATGTAATTACTTTCAGCACCCTCAAAACCACCACAAAACTCTATAAAAACCATAAACCTGAATGCAAACCCTTGAACCTGGCACCCTCTGCTCAACCATCGCCTCAATCCCAAAACCGCATACAAAAACCTGAAGCCTGAAGCAAGACGCGAGGAAAAGTAGGACCAGGTCGAGCCCCATGGCTGTAAGCCCTTACGACTCCAGGGTTTTAGGGTTCAGGGGTTTCGCGCCGAGGGTTAGGATAAGAAGGAAGCGAATAGTAGGCCGAAAGTTGCAGTGCGACCGTTGGATTCGGCAATCATTCTCCACAACACGGCACCCTCCCTCCTTGTTGCTCAGCTTTGCGGGAATTCCAAACCAGAAGGGGAACATGGTACGAGGGCTTACTAGGTGACTATCCGAAGCCATCAAGCCTTTGTCACTAAACTCTAAACCCTAATCGACGAACTGAACCCTAAACCCATAATCCCTAAACACTAACGCCTAATCCCTAGGATCCTTATGCAAAGGAGCCCAAAACAAGGTACCCCAAATTTTCGGAAACTCTAAACCCTAAACCCTTTATAGAACCCTTACAGATCCCTTCAAGAAATCCTTTAAGGATCCCTTCTAAAGGTACCCCTTCTAAAGGTACCCCAAATTCGCGGAAAATCCCAAATGAAGAAGACAAAGAGCTGGATGATGCTCTTGCCCGACTTGAGATTCAGCCTTCCGAACGAGGGTGGCCGGAAGTCGCCAGGTTTAATGCTTTAGGGTGTAGGTTTAGAGTTTAGGGTTTAGAGTTTAGGGTTTAGGGTTTAGGGTTTGGGGTTTAGGGATTAGGGTTTAGGGTTTAGGGATTAGGGTTTAGGGATTAGGGTGTAAAGTGTAGGGTTTAGGATGTAGGTTTCGAGAGTTTGGGATTCGAGGAGCCGATGTTGCTGTACTCTAAGAAAGTATTGCCGGTCAGTGGCTTCAGATATCAAGGGTATCCTGACGGGTTCTGCCTTTAAGCTATCGCTTAAACTTGGACCAACAATGCCACACATGATACTAGCAATATGAGAACTACGAATAAAGAAGAAACACAATCAAAATAATAAGAATGCCATTATGGCATGTTTGAAGAGTTCATGCCTCAGCAGAGCCCAAAGGTGGGAAAAAACCTTAAAACCTAAACCCTTCAGCCGTAAACCCTGAGCCTTGGGCCAAAAGCCCGAAGCCTTACTACAGTAGAACCCATCCCTAAACCCTACACCCTAAACCAGACCCCATGACTATTGCTTTGTGGCTTAGGGAAGGCTTTCAGGTCCCTTAAGTTCACGTTGAAGCTTTCGCTGTCGGGGTTTCCACACCCCACATAAAGCCTAGACGCTGAACTCTGTGGCTGCAACTCCCTAAACCGCCAAACCCTAAGTATAAACGCCAAAATTTTGCCTGGGATACCTCGGGCTAGGGGTTGTTGATGGGCTTCTACACGATAGGTAGCCCGTGGACTGCTAGTCCCTAAACCCTGAACCCGAAACCCTAAACCCTAAACCCTAAACCCCTAAACCCTGAACCCGAAACCTGAACCCTAAGCCCGAACCCCCAAGCTATAATCCTATGCATAAACCCTCAACCCTGCCCAGACCTTCCGAAATCCGTAAATTAAGGAATATACCTTAACCCTAAAACCATGCTAGGGATCTTACTATACTTCAATTGATATATATATATATATATATATATTCTTGAATTAAGGGATGTTGGAAGGCCTGGGTTATCCCCTAAACCGTAAAGCTTGAACCCTAACCCCTAAACCCCTAAACCCCTAAACCCCACACCCTCAAACCCTAAGCACTTTAAGCCCATTGAGACCCTAGGCCCTTGGGACCCTAAACTTGGCAGGAGGACCTGCTAACACCAACAGGTCCGGAGCCCAGGCGCCAGTTTGCACCTGGCGGCTGCTTCAAACTGGGTGGGCAGATAGTCTACTTGGAGGATCATGGCCTAGTAAGCAAGATTTTAAGTACCTTAAGTTGGAGGTACATTTACTTATTTCTATGTCCATATTTGCCGTATTTATAACCTTAGTTATATACTAAGTCCCATGATCCCTATATCAAGCCGCCGCTTCCGAACCCAAGATACAACAGACGCCTCCGGCCAGCAGCACTACGCCGACCTTTCCTTGCCGGATCGCCTCAAGGGGTGCGCGTCTTGGGTGTCGAGGCGGTTTTGGGGTTTAGGGTTGAGGGATTTAGGGATTTAGGGGTTAGGTTTTAGGGTCAAGGGTTTAGGGTTTAGGCTTTAGAGATTAGGGTTTAGGGTTTAGGCTTCAGAGATTAGGGTTTAGGGTTTAGGCTTCAGAGATTAGGGTTTAGGGTTTAGGCTTCAGAGATTAGGGTTTAGGGTTTAGGCTTCAGAGATTAGGGTTTAGGGTTTAGGCTTCAGAGATTAGGGTTTAGGGTTTAGGCTTCAGAGATTAGGGTTTAGGGTTTAGGCTTTGGAGATTCGGGTTTAGAGTGAAGGGTTTAGGGTTTAGGGTTCAAGGCCGTTTAGGGCTCCCGCGGCTTTGGGGTGGGAGGGCTTAGGTGTCTTGGGGGTTTAGGGTTTAGGGTCGCGAGGGTGCAAGGCTTTGGAAACGTACGGAGTACAACCATACAGATCACTTGCATCAACAGCTCTCTTCCTGATGTACGGGTCCGAACAATTAGGAACATAATCCCCTTATAGTGTCGATGTATACACCCCAAAGCCCTGTTAAGGCCACCATCTAAGCCCAAAAACACACCTATAAAACCCCTAAACTATACACCCCCATGAAACCTCTTCAACCCGAAACGACAACTTGTGAACACCTAATGCCCCTGAAAGAATTCGACTCCTGCTGCTTTCTGTAGAAAGCTCACCATGTACCTAGGTTCCCCAGTAGCCCATAATAAAGGTTCCCTTGTTTCCACTCTTTGGCTTCATTCAGGGAACCCAGGACAAAACGATACTACTGGGGAACCTAGTTGCTCATCAGGCCACACCGGGCGCTCACCTGAAAGCTAAAGACGGCCTGAGCCCTAAAATCCCGGGCAAGCGATGGCTAACCCGACTTAATTCTGAATTGGAAGCCACTTGCTCGCCAAACTGTCTTGCTTCACGACAGCCCACATGACCGATTGCATACATCCTCAGACCTAAACCCTAAAGCCAGGAACCCTTACAGAGCCCTTCGGCGAGCTCTTAAACCCTGAACCCTAGACTCTAAACCCTAAACCCTAAATCCTAAACTCGAAACTCAAAACCCTAAACCCTAAACTCGAAACCCTAAACCCTAAACCCAGGAATCCCCCCGCCCCAAGGGCCGAATCCGACATTTTTACATGCGCAGAGCCGGGCCTGTAGGCCGACCTTCCGCAGATGCATGACCTAGCAGAGGAGGGCTTAGGGTGTAGGGTTTAGGGGTTTAGGGTTTAAGGGTTTAGGGTTTACGGGTTATAAGTTTAGGGTTTAGGGGTTTAGGGTTTACGGGTTATAAGTTTAGGGTTTAGGGGTTTAGGGTTTACGGGTTATAAGTTTAGGGTTTAGGGGTTTAGGGTTTCCGGTTTAGGGTTTATGACCTAGCAGAGGCTGCGCTGCGTTTCGGGGGGGAGTTCGGATAGAGGCTCCAGGGCTGTTTTTGTTCGACTTGTCGGGTATCATGAGGAACTAAAGGTTAGCCTTGTTGATTATATAGGGGTTATAATATAGGGATTAATTATACTACCCCAAAAAAGTTAAGGGTTACCTACGCTTTTGCTAGGTTGTTTAGGCAGACTTTGAACTCCAGTTGGCTACGCCACTCTGCAAACATGACGCTGGCCTTGTCATGCTGCGCCTCCTCTGCTGAGAAGACCTGCATGCGAGAGCTGAGACGGGCTGTGGCTTCAGGATCTGAGGGATTGTGCTGAGTTTGGGGTTTAGGGTTTAGGGTTTCGGGCTTTAGGGTCTAGGGGTTCACGGTTTAGGGGTTTAGGGTTTAGAGTTCAGGGCTGAGTTCTGGGTCTATGATTGTGCTCCCGCGCTCAAGCTATCCCGCCTGCCCAGCGCTGATGACGTGGTCCAGGTCGAGCTCTGCCCATGGAACCGTGATCGGCACGGAGTAGGTGTACCTGGGTTGTCAAAATTAGGGTCTCCTTTAAAGGGGTCCCTTAAAGGGTTCCTTAAAGGGATCTATAAGGGTTCCATAAAGGTTTTAGGGTTTGGAGTTGCAGATGGGTGGTTGTCAAAATCAGGGTTCTTATTTTGGGTCCCTATGATAATACGGCACCTAATATTTAAGGTACCCAAAAACGGGGCCATAATTTTGACAACTACACACCTGCAAGGCGGCTGGGCATGGCGACGTGCCGAAAGCCGGCGGGTGCGATAGACCCCACCGGGTAGGCAAAAAAAGGAAGCAACGTGTGTAGGTAGACATCCAGTGGGACTTTACCAGATGTTATGACTCTTTCACTTCAGTCAACCCCTCTAGCCCCAAATCCTGAAACCCGAAACCCTGAAACCCGAAACTCCCAAAAAGCCTGAGGCCCGTAGAAACTTTATGGGAGCCCTTGAAACGAACCCGACAAGGAACCCCTACCTCCAAGACCCACTCCTCCCCTCCTCCCCGCCCCGCTCCCTCTCTGAGATGCTGGCTCGTCTGCTGACTCGATGTCCCGATACCGATGGGCAACGTTCTTCAGCTGCGCACACTGGCGGAGCAGAGATTTTGAGTTTAGGGGATCGGGCTTAGGGTTTATAGGGCTTAGGGTTTAGGACTAAACCCTAAACCCTAACCCCTAAACCCTTAACTGACATTAGCCCTTAAACCCGAAACCCTGCAAACCCTAAACCTGAACTTTAAACCCCAACCCCTAAACCCTAAACTCCTTATAGATCCCTTTAAGGCACTCCTTAAACATCCCTTTAAGGTTCCCTTTAAGGAGTCCAAGAAACCCACTAAAACCCTAATCAACCCTCAAGCCTACCCTGCAAGAGACGCCGAACCTGGAGGCTCCGCTGGAGACCGCGCAGCGCTGCGCCGGAGAGCCAGGGCCTCACGCGCATCAGCGTGGCCTGGGTTTCGGAGGGTTTAGGCATAGGATGGTTTAGGATAATAGGGTTTAGGGCTTTTTGTTTTTAAGAGTGTGTTGGGCCTTTCTCCGCTGCAGCAGGTCACAGGCTCGCCCTGTGACCTGCTGCAGCGGAGAAGGTCACAGGGCGTAGAGTTTAGGGGTTTAGGAGCTTTAGGGGTCTAGGGGTTTAGGGTTTAAGGTTTTCGGAGGGTTTAGGGTTTAGGGCTTTGTTGGTTTCGGGCTTAGGGGTTCAGAATAATTTAGGCTTTAGGGTTTGTGGGGTTTAGAGGTCAGGGTTTACGGGTTAGGGCTTTTGGGGCTGCGGGTGCTTTTGGGTGTTTTGCTGCTTTGCTTGTGGCTTGCATCTTTTTGCGGGCGGATGCATGTGGTTTAGAAGTGTTGGACTTAGGGTTTTGGGGTTCATGTTTTGGGGCTTGGGGGTTGAGTCTCTCAATAAGGCCCCTTTTCAGAGAGCCAGAAGTAGGGTTCAGAAGGGGTGCCCTTCAAGGGGTCTTAAGAGGGTTTAGGTCTTGCATGATGCCTTCTTCCGGTTGCTGAGCTTTTAAGACCTTACGGGTGTGACATGTCTCAGTGAGGGTTCCAGGTTTTGAGTTGCGGTTCAATGGGATTTGGCAGCAGAGAGGACTATTCGGGTTTGATTTTTGAAGAGGCGTAATCTTTCCTACAAGTCCCAGAAGGAAATACAGCAAGACCGCACTACAGCTTATGGTGGTTACTTTTCATCCTAGAGCGGATTGCTGTTGAAGAGTTAGTGCCGCAAATTGACCATAGCGGAGGGTCAGGAAGGAAGGCTTTCATGAAGGGAGGAACCTGATTCTGGTCGTTGCACGAATGGAACTCAAAGCTTCGGCAATGCAGCAACACAGTTTACGTTCCTAGCAATACGAACCCTACACTGGGCAACATTGAGTGCAACCCGCGTCAAACTATAATTATTATGGTTATGATTCTGATTATGATGAGTAGTATTATTTGCTGTTCTTATTCTTGTTCCATTATTGCCAGTATTACTCACATACTCCCGAGTAAAACCCAACGCCCCGCATCCGTGAGCTCTCAAGTCTACTCAAGAATCCGTGAGCTCTCAAGTCTACTCAAGAATCGACACCGAAGGACGCCCGAGCAAATGCCCTTTCGACTGAAATCTCCAAAGTTTAAGGGGTTTAGGGTTTTGACTCCAAAGCCTAGATTCCAAAGCTGATCGCCTCCCCAACTCTACCGAAGTTGCCTGTCCACCCTCACGAAGCGCATCGGCAAGCTCTCTGGGACCTGGGCAAAGCGAAAAGGACCACAATCTGGCAGTTAAGGCTTCAAGTGAGGGGTTAAAGGCCTCGGATGTCGGAAGCACTTGCGCCCAGGCCCGTTACCCTTGTTCAGCTAACGAGGCTCATGCAAGTGTAGAAACAGTCAGCGAACCCTTCACGGTGCACGTACCCAAGCCCTAGCCCTTTGTAAACCCCAACCCCGAAAGCTTATCGGCCCTGAATAATGAACCATTACGTTGCTCCCCCCTGAGCACCACAAACCCTTGAATCCCTTCACCCCAGAGTTTTGATCTGTTTCCGCCCTAAACCCTAAACCCCAAAACCCCTCGAACTCCACCCTAAACACTTTCGCCCTAAACCCCCAACCCTCGATGCCCAACGCTTGCCAAGGCCCGGACAACCTGCTAGCAGCTCTTCCACATCCGGAGCAATGGTCCCGGTGCCGGCCGCATTGTACCGTTGGGGCCTTCACAACTTTAGCACTTTATGGTTCAAGGCTGAAGCGGCTTAGAGCTCGGGCTTCTGGTTTACAGTAAACCCCAAGGCCCAATAGTGCTGGGATTCCCTATACATTACTCTTAGGGGTGGAGGCTATTGGGTTTCCAAATTTTGGGCTTCCACGGTAGGGTTTAGGGCTTAAGGATTCGAAGCGGGGTTCAGCAAGGTGAAATCAGGGCACGGAGATTTCCCTTGCGATGGTAAAAAGGAGAGATTGCTGATGGTTCTGTAAGGGCAGCACTTCAAAAAGGGCCTCACAAGGAGTTTCTACATGGGAGTTTCCGAAAAGGGTGTCCTTATAATACGGATCCTACTATGTAGAGAACCACAGTAGGATCCCATCGATATACTAGTCACTATAACCCATTCCCCCCATTCCCTACTAAGACCCAGGGAGATGAAAGGGTCGAAGATTGAATCCAAAAGTCGACTGAAACCCACAGCATACTATGTCGGCCTTGTTAAGTAGACAAAGGCTTCGCGGTATAGGGTAGTATAACTATGTAGGGACTGTACGGGAACACAATTCTACTATACTTACTAACAGAAGGGGATACTAGTCTACTGTCGAAATTCTATAAAGCAACCACTACAGAGGGATACTATCTCTGGACTTTTCAAGTATGGTACTCCAAACCCAGGATCTACTACTTGTAGCCGTTCCGACCCCCTGCTGGATGCTGGCCTGATAGCCGGGGAGCTCAAGGCCCAAGCGATGCTCTCGTTGTCTGGAAGGCCCTGGCCGCACTGTGTCATAGGGATCCTTAGGGGTGTAGGGGGAGGGGGGGTAGGGGGCCTTAAGGCCCATAATCAGGACAAATAAGGCCTATTTAAGGAAATATAATCCCCTACACCCCTCCACCCTAACCCTAAACCCTAAACCCTAAACCCTAAACCCTAAACCCTGAACCCTAAACCCTAAACCTACACCCCTAAGGATCCCTATGACTGTGCTTTGGAGGCCGTCCTTAGGGGAAGTTTCAGGGTCTCCACCCAGAGATCCCAGTACCCCTTAAGGAGTATGCCTTGGGTGCCTTTAAGCGTTCCTTTAAGGGATCTGTAGGGCTTTAAGCGTTCCTTTAAGGGATATGTAGGGTTTAGGGTTTAGGGGACTCCAATTGTTTTATAATTATGGAATATACCTTAGATTATAGTAAGCTCCCTAATATGATTTAAGGCGTATTCCTTAATAAAGGGACATTGGGTTCTCTGTGTAGAGGATCGCAGTACTTAGGGTTTAGGGTTTGGACGTTTAGGAGGTAAGGCATTAGGCTTTAGGATTCAAGCGTTTAGGGTGTATGATTGGCTTAGGGCTCCGGGTTACCCTAAACCCTGACGGGAGGCCAAAAGGGGGGTTTAAGATTTTTGGGGTAGGGATTCCTTATTAATATGAACCCTATTGTGGGAACCCTAATCCCTACTAAACCCCCATAGGCTAAACCCCCTTTTGGCCTCCTATGAAACCCTTATAGATCCCTTGAAAGGAACCCCTATAGATCCCTTTAAAGGAACCCTAGGGATCCCTAACCCCCATAGGCTAAACCCCCTTTTGGCCTCCCATGAAACCCTGAACTTCCAAGTCACTCGCAGCCAAGGCTCCTTCTACACATGCGTTGGCTGAAAACACCCCGCACCCCTCTCCACCCATTTCCAGATTTAACACCTGAAGACGCCAATCCCCAAGCCAAGACCCCTAAACTCCTAAACCCTAAATCCTAAACCCCTAAACTCCTAAACCCTAAATCCTAAACCCCTAAACTCCTAAACCCTAAATCCTAAACCCCTAAACTCCTAAACCCTAAATCCTAAACCCCGAGACCCTATATCCCTGTAATCTCCGACTCGGAGAGCCAAAGTGGCCTCGGTGCACCAGGAGGCCGATGCCTTTTAAGTCTGCGGGCTTAGTAGGCTTTACCCTGAACCCTAAACTCGGAACCCTAAACCCTGATGGCTTATCGAGCAGAGTGCTTCAGAGAATTCGAGGCAAGGAGCTTTCCTGGGGGGTGTGAGATTCAGGTTCAGGCCGTCAGGGTGTTTCAAGAGCTTGAGGGGTTTTCTAGTCGAGCGATTTTTGGCTTTCGGGGGGGGGGGGGGGGGTAGGGCTTGGGATTTACAGCTTACGTCTTTTATGTCTTGGGTGGAACTTTAAGGGTCCCCGATCTTATTTGGGAAGGTCAAGAGCATGGTTCAGGGTTTAGGGTTTAGGCTTCATTTCCGCTGTTTCAGGGCTCGCGGGCAGTACAGAGGGGCCTAGATGGTTGAAATAAGGTGCCGGGTTGTATCCTACTGCAATTATACTCCCGAGCCCTCTGCCTAAACACCGAACCCAAAACCGGCTCCTGCATTAAGTTTGGGTTCCGGAAGCTCTCGTGCTGAATTGGAGGTTCCGGCTTGCATAGATTTTCGCCAGGCTTTTGGGCAGTTGGGTCTGAATCCAGGTTTAGGGTTTAAGACTTACAGTTTAGGGTTTAGGACCTAGGGTTTGTGGTTTGGGATGGTTTCGGCCGTGGGCGGGTTAAGGGTTTGGAAATGATCGAGGGGTAGGGTAGGGTCCGCGGTTTAGTTGGATGGGATGATGCGCAGCGGCAGTTGAAAGCTGCGCGGTTGCGTTCTCCGGGACCATGACATCCAGTATCTGAAATCCTAAACCTTAGATTCGAAGCTCGACAATATGCATGTCCCTTGATAAACTTCTACGAGTACACCCGAATTAAATCCTCTAAACCCTAAACCTAAAATTAAATCCTAAGGCGAAATACCACGAGCCTGAACCACCCGGCCGAACTTGCCGTGTGATCCCGCGGACGGCTTTGAGGCTTCAAAGAGACCCTGACTCTTAAGCGGGCAAGGTTTGGGGCTTAAGGGTCTAGGGGTCGTTTGTGGATTTTGGCATTTGGGGTCTAGGGTTTAGAATCTTTAATTGCAACCCTAAACCCAGCTTGAAATCAACCGCTAGATCCTGTTGAACATTTGAGGAGCTCATATAGAACCTCTATAGACAGACAGAAAACCCTCAACACCGAAGGCCGTAAAGCGTTGAACCCGAAAAGAACCGTTGTAGAAACCTGAACAAGCTCAAACTCGAAACAAACGAAGACCCTCAGAACAAATGAAATAGAAGCCGCAGCTGTACAAGCACTATGCATACTTCACTATTAGTTCTTACAAAGCCGTTCTCAAAACCGTAGAAACCTAAACCGAAGACCCAATAAAACCCTAAACCCTGAACGCTAACCCTAAACCCTAAACCCCTAAACCCCCCACCCTAAAAGCCCTAAGCCCTAAAGCCCTAAAAGATTGTCTTAACCCCTCAAGACGGCGCTGCCCACCTGGCCCATGGGATGCGGAACTCCCAGGCCTCACTTGAATTCGGTCATCGCAGACTCAGGGTTTAAGCGTGCGAGGTTCAGAACCTAGGAATATCCAGTCTTTTTATAAGCGCCTCATTTTCCAGCTCGCTTAAAAAAAAAAAGGCGCTTAAAAAAGAAAAGGTTTAGGACTTAGGGTTTATAGCGAACCCCAGAAAGTTGGAACACTGGACTAGCATGATTTGTGCTGCGATTCCCTACACTTTACTTCTGGGGCATGAGGATAATGATGTTCCAACTTTCTGACTTCTTTTGTAGGATTTGAAGGTTCCGTCTCAGGATTTAGGAGTTTAAGGTTTCGGAACTTCGGGCGAAGGGCTGCAGCGTTTATAAGGTTTAGGAGCTTCAGTTTAGGGTTCAGGATTTTAGGTCTAGGGTGAAGGCTGTAGAAGTGTAGACCTCAAGGTTTAGGTGCTTGAGGAAGGCCCAGGTTTCCAAGCTGTCGATGTCAACAATCCCCAACATGGCTCATAATTAGGGCTCTATATAACATATACTTTACTTAACCCACCACCAAAACCTACAGTTTCGTAGGGTCCCTATAACATCTACATTTGGGTGTAGAACAAGACTCCACCAAGAAGTAGGTTTTGGTAGGTTGAAGTAACAGCAAGGGATACTACAGGATTTAGCGTTGGAGGTTTGGGGTGGTTCTGTGGAATCGCGCGCATGGTGTTTGATGCTCACAACTGGCCGGAACTCTAGCAACTCCCTCGAACCCTAAACCCTAAATGAGATTCGATCCCAAGACCCTACACTGCAGCCTCTAAACGCCAAAACCCAAGACAACAGCGGCTACAAAACCCTGAACCCCAATGTGGTCGGAACATTGACTTAACATATTCCACAAGACCCTAAATTTAATCCCGACACGCTAAACCTGAACCCTAAACCCTGAACACTGAACCATAACCCCCAAACCCAAGCCCAGAAAAAAAAAACCGGAACCCTAAACCCTGGGACCCAGTTCTGGAAAGGCGTCTGAGGCTCCCTACAAGCAAGCTTGTGGAGCTCAAACTCCCATCGGGGTGTTCTGGTATTCTGGGAGCTTCGAAGATGCAGTAATCGTAGTAATCGTAACAACAATAGCTACAGTCTTTCGATGAGGAGTAGTAGCAATCGTAGGAACCGCCATCGTAACAGTTGAAGTAAGATTGGGGGACTGAGTCTGAGTCTAATACGGATCAACTTCGGGCCCTAATTCTACGAAACTCAGGGGGAACCCTAAGCCTAAACCCAAACTCTTGGGTGTAGACAGCAGCTGGGCTCAGGGAACCTACGAACCGGGCGCGCCCGGGTTTTTCTCCTTGAGCCCTGAATTCTGGATCTTAGCTCTTCTAAGTAGAGACTGTTTGCAAGACTCTACAATATTTCCTGACCTCCACCCGATGCAAATGGAGCCTGAGCCAAAGCGACGCAAAGCTGAGTTTTGTCACAGTAAGCAGCAGATCTCTCGCGTTGCCTCAACCTCAGACCGTACACCATCAACATCCCTAAACCCTAATACAAAGGGGTTAGAACAGGGCTGTGGCGTAGATTGTAGTATAACAGAGTATCTTCGGAACTCTGACGGGATAGTAGTACCAGCTAAACCCCAATACCAGAGTATAGTATAACAGAGTTAGGAAATCTTAGGGAATAGAGAGGTGATGAGCCCGGAAAGTAGCGCCGAGGCTGTTTCCGGGCCGGGCTTTATGTAGGGTTTTCGGGTTGTTTAGAGCTTTAGGGTTTCGGGCTCTCCCGTTATGGTTTAAGGGTTTAGAATTCCGGAACTTATAGGGTCTAAATGTTTATGCAGGGTTTACCCTAAACCCTAAACCCCAAACCCTAAACCCTAAACCCTAAACCCTAAACCTTACCCTAAACCCTAAACCCACTTTACGGTATCAGATCTAGGGTTGACTCCCGATCGCCGACCTCTTTTCGCCCATGCAGCATGGCCCTCACCGACGAACAGGGCATTCATGGCTGAAAACCCTAAACCCTTAAACCCCTAAACCCTAAACCTTGAACCCCTAAACCCTTAAACCCCTAAACCCTATACCTTGAAACCCTAAACCCTGAAATTAAACCCTTAAACCCCAAACCCCTCAAACGTTAAACCCTAAATTAAACCCAGAACCAACCGTCTGAACCTGCAACTTTCGAGCCACTGATGTCAAGAGCTTCTACAAGGCCGAAACCTTAGCCTCAGCCCAAACGTGTAGATCCGACCCTAGACATCCATCCAAAATTAGAGCCTTCGAGGAATGTTAACCCCCCTAAACCCTAAACCGACACCTCCAAACCACGGCTGTACATCTGACCGATGTCGCCGAAGCAAATTTCGAGAGCCCGCGCCGGCTTGGCCGGCCCGCTAAAGTGCCAAAGGCAAGTCTGGCCTCCGACGTCCGTAGCTAAACCATAGACCGTTTAGGGCTAGGGGTTTAGCTGAACCCTAACGGCATGGCTGTTCGTCTGCTTGATCCTTCCGTCTTACCGCTTTTGGCTTTTGGGCAACTACAGAAACCCCACAGCGGAACGCAAAAGCAGATACCGAAAGCCTTAAAGGGCAACCGTTGTTGAAGATTCCTGCATGAACCACGCGGCTCGGACGGCTAAACCTCCTTGGCATTTCTGGGCCGCTTCAGGCGGGATCATGGCGATTGTGGGGATTATGACAAGTACTTCTGCACGAGTGATGAACAAAATGAGTTGTCATGACTCGAACATGCCGAATTGCCGAACAACTGCAGTTGCTGCGTTTACTGCAGCACTCTTATGAATGTGATGGTATGATGATTGAGAATCCTCAGTGCAAAACCCTCCCTCCACTTCCAGGATCTTTAAGAGCTCAAGGCTTAAGGGCAGGCCCGTCTGAAGCTGCCCGGGAGCTTCTGGCAACTTGGTTGCCTCAACTCCGGCTCACTAACCGGACGTTTGTTTTTGTTTGGCCATGGACTTCGTCCATGGAAAAGAGAGGCACTCCATGCTTCAGCCTGCTGCAAATCAATAGACCCGAGGTTGATGTGCCAGGATTGCCGGATTCGGGCCAAGTATGAAGGTATGTAAGGGTGTTGGGGTTTAGTGCTTACCTGTGGCCCGAAGACCTACCTGTTCAAGGATATATATATATATATATATATATATATCTATCTATCTATCTATCTATCTATCTATCTATGTATGTATGTATGTATGTATATATGTATAAATATATATGTATATACATATATATGTACATATATATAACCATATATATATATATATACACACATAGCAACCCCCACAAGGAACCCAAGAAAAAGTAGGTCTGTTCGGCTACAGGTCGGGGTTGAGGCGGCTAGAGGCCTTTTGTTTGGAGTGTACGTGTCAAGGTGAACTCCGAAAGGCTCTGTCTAGGGTTCAGGATTTAGGGGTTCAGGGTTTAGGGGTTTAGGGTTTAAGGTTTAGGGGTTTAGGGGTTTAGGGGTTCAGGGGCTCTTGAGCTGGCCTACGTCTCCAGGATGGGAGAGTCCTTCGCTCGGAAACCTCTACGAATCGAAGCGAGAAGGCAAACTTCTGAACAACTTCTGAAAGATCGATCAATCAATAGATGTTGCGCCACTATCAAGAAGGGGCCGCAGGGAGAAGGGTATTATACTGGAATCCTGTTTCTGGTCTGACAAATCCTCGGTCAATCTACAGAAACTAAAGCCCTCGAGGCCAAAACCCTGAACGCGCAGAGCCTAGTTTTTGTGATTCCATATCATGATTTCCGTATATAATATGTCCTGCAAGAAGTGCGCAGGTGGTTTAGGGTCCTCAAAAGGGGGTCTAGGCGTTTAGGGTTTAGGGTTAAGGTTTTAAGATGAGGGCTCAGGCTTTCGAATTTGGAATTACGATGTTGGCAACCTTTGCAGGCAAGCTGCAGGGAGAGGAATGCACAAAGCATTGTTGATATCAAATGTCCAGCAGTTCGAAACGGAATCACGGCGGTTGATGTGTACCCCAACTTCTTCTGATGACTTCCAATTTAACCCGAACCTCAGACTCCACCAGACAGCCTTCAGCCCTTTGCCCGAATGCCCTGAACATACTACCCTGAACCCCCCCCTAAATGCAGGACAGAGATGCTCAACAACACCGAATTCGCATGGCATCTTGGCATCTTTCACGGCAGGTCTTGACCACAATTGCGATATCGCTTGCTTCGGGTTTATTGTTGAGAGCCTTTCAAGTTTAGGGATTCGGGGTTTAGGATTCAGGGTTTAGGGCTTAAGGACTCTAAGTGGATAACCCCAGAAGCCCTAAAGCCAACAACCCATTTGGGCTCCAAAGCCGGACCCGAACTATACCCCCTTAGAATCATAATGAACATAGTATGTTAAATATTCTCTTGGGCGTTTTTTGAAGAAAGTTTTTTAACCTCAAAAGACAGTAGCGAAAGTCAGAATTGAGGGTTTGGGGCTTAGGGTTTAGGGTTTAGGGGGCTTAGGGCTTAGGCCTGGCGACAGGCCGCACAAGTTAACGCAACTCGAAAAACGAGCTGCTGAGAGGACCATAGGACTTGGTAAGTAGGCTATAGTTAGGGTTATAGTCCCCTAAGTGGGGTTATCCTAATTATAACCTACTTGTAACCGTACTTACTAAGTCCCATGATCCTCTAAGTGTAGATGTAGGAGCTGGACCACCTAGCTTGCCCAGAAATGCTATCAGCACCTCGTCTGAGGCTCGCCTTAGTTAAGGGCCCTCGGATTTTCGAGCGGTGAAGACCCGTCTTAGCCGCTGCCCGCAGTCCCAGCATGATCTGTGATGACTTTCGGATCCAGGGAGATTCGGTTCACCAGCCTCAAGGAGCTCAGGAGTTCAGGGGCTTCGGGGTTTGGGGATCCGGGGCTTCAGGAATTTACAGTAGAAGCCAGAAAGTTGGAACATCATTATCCTCATTCCCTTAAGGCAAGGTAGAGGGAATCCTAGCACTAATCATCCTAAACTCATGTTCCAACTTTCTGGGGCTCACTATAGGGTTGTAGGGGTTTGGGGATTCAGGGGTTCAAGGGTCTAGGATTTAGGGCAGGGGGCATGATTCAGGTGTTAGAGGGGCCAGGGCTTAAGAAGTTGAGGTTTAGGTTTCAGGCATTTCTCATATAGGCAAAGCTTTAAGGCTCATAGGGGTTCAGGAGTTGGGCTTGATTGGCGATTTAAAGCATCTCGCTCATCTTTCCCTCTCTGCAACGTAGGAACTTAACTAAGAGACCCAACATGTATCCAAGGATCTAGTTCTTGCTCGAGTTCCTACATCAAGGGGCAGACGGAAGTAGCACAGCGGCCTTTTGATGTTCGGAATTTAGTGCTGGGGTATACTATGTTGATGTCACATAGAGACCTATGCGCTCTTATTCTTACCAATCCTTCAGAACGAAATATTGCGAACATCCTTAAACCCTTAACCCCTAAGCCCTGAACCCCGAACCCCCGAAACCCCTTAAACCCCTGAACCCAAGCCCCTAAACCCTAAACCCCTAACCCCTAAACCCCTAAACCCCAAAAACTGATTCAGGATGATCGGGGATGACAGGCTTGGCGTCTGAGGCCAATACCCTCGCGCGCGGGCCACAATCTCCCGATTTCGAGGCGCCTTTTGGCTGGTTTCAAAGGATGCAGATTACCAGAGCCCTTTGGGGTTTGGGGTTTAGGGTTTAGGGTTTGGGATTGGGGATTTAGGCTTCAGGGGTTTGGGGCTTGGGGTTTAGGGTTTGGGTGAAGAGTCAAGGGTTTAGGGCTCAGAATTTGAGAAGCTGAGGCTCGTTTAGTTGAAATCGGCATCGAGATTTCGGACGATGTGAGTTGAACATGAGAAACTTCGGTGGTCAATCCCTCACCGAACCCTCAAAACCCTCAAACCACAAAGGATGCTCATGGGGTGAATGGAAACTAGGGCTTAAGGCTTAGGGTGCTTTTAAAGGAGTTCAAGTTCCATGCTGCTATAGGGACCTAGAAGCTAATTACCACTACTATTTGGGGGTTCCTTATTATAACTACAGGAACCATAGTATATAATATCCCCCAAACCCTTATTCTAATTATTGAGGCCCCTATGTTACCCCTCTCAAGTCTCCTCCCAAGTCCCAGGCAGAAGCCCTCTGAAACCCCCTGGGCCCCCTCCCAGCCTTCTCCACAGGCCTTCTGTCAGGCGCCAAAGGGGTCGTGAGTTTGGGTTTGGGGGTTTAGGGGTTTAGGGTTCAGGCTTTGGGGTTTAGGCTTTGGGGTTTCGGGTTAGGGTTTGGGGTTTAGGGTTTGGGGCTTAGGGTCGAGGGTTTAGGGGTTAGGGAATTTGACGCACTCAGACTAAAGGTTTGCTTGAGAGCTCTTGGCTTTCGGGCATCAGCTTAGGGCGTTTAGCGTGGGCTCCGGGGCCATCACCACCATCAGGATCACTATCACCCCTAAACCCAAAGCCCTTAGCGCCAAACCCCAAATCCTAGACCCTAAACCCTAAACCCCTAAACCCTAAACCGACCTACCCCCAAACGCTCAATCAGCGCCCAGATCATCACGGTTCCACACGCTGACTTCTCAGATGACAGCTCGAGAACGCCCCCGAAAGCACGCCAGCCGGGTTTGGGGTTTACCTAAACCCCGAAGAGTAAATGAAATAATGGCCCAACGGACCCAACACCGATAAAAGGCCATTAGTCTACATTTATCAAAATTCAATAGGATTGTGTTGGGGGCACATGAGAACCTGTGCGGTAAGGGTCTTTTTGTGTGTGCGTACAGTGTGCGGTGGGTTGTCTGTGCATGTGCGTGCGGCGCGGGCGGTGCGTGCGTACAGCGTGCGGTGGGTTGTCTGTGCCTGTGCGTGCGGCGCGGGCGGTGCGTGCGTACAGCGTGCGGTGGGTTGTCTGCGGTGTGCGCGGTTTGCGCGTGCATTGTGCTGGGTTGTGCATGCAACGCGCGGACGTGTACGTGCGGAGTGTGTGGCATGTATGCGCCGCCCACATTGGAATCATCATGAAACATGGCTGAAGCCGGCAGGGCCCATGACATTTTGCACTCCGCATGCGTCAGGCTCGAAGAGCGGTATGCCTTACTGGCGTCAAGGTACTCTACAGTCTACAGTCTACAATGATGCACAAAATTTGCCACCGGCCGGACGTCAAGCTTCACTGTTGGTGCTGCGCTTGTGGTGACGCTATGTGTTGGCTATAGACAGGTGGACTCTAGACTCCAGACTCCAGGGCCTTTAGTCTCTAGGACTCTCGCTGGTGTATAAGTGTATGTATAACATCATGGCGTCAGTGTTCCTTGATGCCCAGCAAAGAAAGGGCATGTATGCGTACGGCATCCTACGGCGATGCGTGACAGTCGGTGTCAAGATCAGGGATCAGGTCGTGCTGGAGCTGCGGAGCCTGGGTGTCGGTATGCAGGTCAGGTGAACCAGAGAGGGATAGTTCTCCGGCGGTCGCTACCTAAATCTAATTCGCCGAAGATTTCTAAGTCAACCCCAAAACCAAGAATCAAGAACCAAGAACGTAACTTAACTTAACTAAACTTAACTCAAACAGTCAAACAAATTCCAACCCGAAGTCATCGTGACGTTGCAGCGAGCCCCGCCAAATCCATCATTTCCTCGTCCTCACTCTCGGTGTTGTAGCTGAGCTCAGCCATACCACACAAGAAGACAGCAAGAAACACTGTCGAGGAGAACCTTGGCGGCATGCAGCATGTGCACAAACCCATCGCATAAGTTCTCGAATGCTCCCCACGAAAATCGTACCACGCTGTACGCGCGCACCGCCCGCGCCGCACGCACATGCACAGACAACCCACCGCACACTGTACGCACACACAAAAAGACCCTTACCGCACAGGTTCTCATGTGCTCCCAACACAATCCTATTGAATATTGATAATTGATAAGCATATCAGAAAAAAAAACAAGTGACCCCAAAGTCTAGAGTCTAGAGTCTAGACTAGACTCTAGCTCTAGGACTCTAGAATTTAGGCTCTAGGCTCTAGACTCTAGACTCTAGACTCTAGACTCTAGACTAACGACCAAGACTCGGAGACTAAGGTCGAGTCTTGTCAGAGTCTTGTCTTGACTCTTGACTTTTGACTTGAAAGAACAAATGACTTGTTGTGGATAATGTAGGTTATACTGGGAGTTGTGGTGATGCATAACTCATGACTCATAACGTCGAAAGTTACAAGTCGAAAGTCTTCGTAGTAACAAGTAACAACCGCTCATGCCAAGCAGCGCGTTGCCAGCAAAGTCTGTCATCTGCGGTTCCGATAACGGATCCATCTGATGGGGAGTGAGCTGGATGCCCTGCAAATGAAGAAGTTCTCTTCCTTGGTGTAACAGTGGAAAACACTTCAATACTTCAATACAATAGAATAGAAACACGGCAGTTGTGGTGGTGGTAGTAGCGGCGGCCGCAGTAGATGCAGTCGTGTTCGTGGTTGTAGTAGTAGTAGCAGTAGTAGTCGTAGTAGTAGTAGTCGTAGTAGTAGCACTAGCAGGAGTAGCAGTAGCAGTAGCGGTAGCAGTAGTAGTAGCAGTAGTAGTGGTAGTAGTAAGTAGTAGTAATTAGTAGTAGTAGTAGTAGTAGTAGTAATAGTAGTAGTAGTAGTAGTAGTGGTAGTAGTAGTAGTAGTAGTAGTAGTAGTGGTAGTAGTAGTAGTAGTAGTAGTTGTTGTAGCCGTAGTAGTAGTAGGAGTAGTAGTAGTGGTAGTGGTAGCGGTAGTGGTAGTAGTAGTAGTAGGATTAGTGCAAGTAGTGGAGGTGGTAGTAGTAGTGGTAGTAGCTGTAGCACTGTAGTGACATATAGTGACTGTAGGGGTTCTTTGTACTGGCACGGGCACATGTAGTAGCCGTAGCCGTAGCCGTAGCCGCAGCAGCAGCAGCAGTGGCATTAGCAGGTGCCGCAGTAGGACAGTAGAGTAGAGGTAGAATGTAGAAGTAATGTAGAAGTAGAAGTAAACTTAAATTAGAAGTAGAAGTAGTAGCAATCGTCATCGTAGCAGCAGCTGACTTAGTTAGTAATTGCTGATTACCTACAAAGAAGCGAAATGGCGGAGGCAGTAACAGTGGCTATAGTCGTCGTAATCCGAAATCAGAGATGCAGCCACAGATCCTAGCAAAAGGCGGCCTCGCTCAAGGTCAACGAGCTTCGTCGATGGGAGGATAGTTGGCACCACCTGTCGTGTACATGTTACCAGTTACCAAGTTACCATGTTGGATGTCGGAGGGACCTTGTTACTTGTTACTTGTTACATTGTTATTATTATTAGCTAACTGCTAAGCAGCTAAACTAAACTAAACTAAACAAGTCTGACTACTAGTCAGTCTACATTATATTATTATATTCGGCAGAATCTGCTTTGTAGTACTGTGCAACGATACCGATACGGAGGCTCCTCACCACACCGCCTGTGAGTGGAATCCGCCTCAATGAAAGTAGAAACTCGACGCAGGCTCAGACTGAGATACACTTGCTCCTCTGGTCTCCCTACCTATACCAAACAGGACCTCCAAAAACTAAGCCCCTCAGGCTCAAACTAGAGCTCTGACGCGAACTAGGACCTGCTGAGACGCTTACTAAGGTTCGGAGTTGAGTCCTCTGAACTGAATGCAATGGAATGAATAGAAACACAATTTTAGGTAGAAGCAGAATTAGAATAGTTATTGATGTACCGAATTGTTGACTCGATCTAGCAATATAAATCACTGACTATTAAACATTAAACTTTACATTAAACTATATTTAACTATTAACTATATTAAATATTTCATCTTTATTGTACATTGAAACGAACTACGACTAGGACTAGGACTCAGACACGGAAGAAGATCACCAATGCTGAGCTTGTGAATCCTCGAGTGACTCTAGGTGACTAGTGTCCTGTCAAGCGAAAAGAAAACACTCTGCATCGTATGCTCCCATCCCCAACCTCACCTCAGCAGAAGATGTGGGCGTTCGATTCGCATTGTGGTACAAGTCGCCGTAGCGGATCGGAGGTTTGCCAAGCTTGATCAGCGTCTCGCGCGCGTCTAGTAGGAAAATGTAGTTCTCGGTGTCTCACCAAAAGGCTCTCGAGATTCAAAACTCACAACGTAACACAAGGCATGCCATCTCTGATTCGGTACAGCTTGTGGCTTCAACGCTTCTTGAAAGCCGCAAAACTACGAAACACGAGAGCCTTAGCCTCTAGTGACTCTAGTGTCAGGCCTTTTCGGCCTTGAATCCCCGACTTTAAACTTGAAACTAACAAAGGTGAACCTCATGTACTTGAGTCTACTTAAAGAAGACCCCTGGAAGAAACACTCACAAAACTCAAAACTCAAAACGTTGCATCGCATACCTCAAGGTTCCTCTTGCTCGCGGCTGCTCAAGGTTTTGTACCACTCATTGGTCTTCAGGGCTTCCGGGATGCGCAGCGGCCACTGGATGCCCCCTCGCAATTTTAGGTGTTTAGATTTGCCTAGTGACTAGATTGCCTTGACTAGAGTTAGGTTGGTAGTTAGTAGTTAGTCGTTTAGGCGCTATGGAGTGTGGGACTAGGACCTCGGTTGAGTTAAGTTAAGAATAGATAGAATCAAGAATAAGCAGCTGAGCAGAAAGATGACAAGAAAGTTCAGCATCTTGACTTGAATGATTGAATCCAGCACTTGTTCTTGAGTCGTCAGTATGTCTAGATTCTAGAATCTAGATCAATATGAACGGCCATGGCCCCTGACTCGAACTCTCTGGACTCGTAGACTCTTACTCTCAACATACGCGACCAGTGACATGTGACTAGACTCCCGACACGCCGACACGAAGGGTCTAGAGTCGAGTCTAGAGTCGAGCCTAGACTGTAGACGGCTCGAAACTTTAAAACTAGTGGCTAGACTAGACTCTAGACTCTAGACTGGATTAGGCCATGAGCGCCGAGTGACGGGTTTCAGCTAGGTTCATGTGCAAGGACTGCCACTTTGACTTGTCTTTCACATCCATCGGGGCCGCATCTGGATCCTCGCCGGTCTCTTTGTCCTTGTCCTTGCTCTTGTCACCCTTCTCGGCCCTGTCTTTTCGCCTCTGCATGATGTCATACCGTCGTAAGAGTTCATCCTGCACGACAAAGCAGTCGTCCGGGAGCATGTAGTCGGCCTGGGCGACATATGCATGTAGATCTCATCAAGCACCAGCTACATTGCATATTGTATTGTATAGTCAGTGATTAAGTCCCCAACTCTCCAACTTCGTCCTGCTGACTGATCTCAAGGTTTAAAGTGATACTTTAATGTTTCTATATATTACAGTTTTACATACAGTAAATAGTTCAATTCATGTCTGTATATCCACACTGTGAACTCTAAACTCTATACTCTATACTCTATAGCACTCTATAGTAAATTCTAGATTCTAGACTTCAGCTGGACTCTAGCCACCACACTGATATGCGCCAACTGATAACCAGGAATCCAGATTCAATACTCACGGCTTTAGCCTTTAGACTACTCTAGACTGACGTAAGATTCTTTCAACTTTCAACACGTCCACTCACATCTGGCAAGCGACCGGCGGCTGGCACTTCAGACGACACTTCTGGAGGTTCTTCTCGAACCGTGCGAAATTCACACGATCTTGGGTTTTCGCATTGTAGCCTACAAAGTACAGGCGCATGCGCCGCTGCGGCAGGCCATAATCCTGTGAATTCAAGTGGTATGCCCGAACTGTGTAGCCGATCTCGGACAGAGCCTTGATGATGAGTCCGAAGTTGGAATCACTGTCCGCAGCCGTCGCGCTGCCGTCTGATCCTGTGCTCTCCATATCCACATTCTCGAGCACAAACCAGTCAGGCACGAAGGTCTGTAGCGCACACACACATCCATTGAATGTCGACACCGAGCTTGCATCCTGCAATCTTAAAACTTAATACTACCAATATCAGACTAGCAAGCTGCCTGAATCCTTTGTCTTTACTACACAACAGTGTCGTAGTCATGTCCTTTTTTTTAGGCTTTGGCTTTGACC